CGCTTTTTAAAAAATGGAGCAAGGCTTTGAGTGTGGAGGCCTGCTGGATACGGTTCAAACACCTGTTCCCAGCATGCCCTCTGTTCCCTCTGCCATTAAACGCTAGTTTGTTCCTCACTTAATCCTACGCTCTGAAATGTATCTGTCTGTGGGAAATGTTTTAAAACCTGTTTGGTTCACTCGAAAATATTTGTTACTCTTTGCCTGGGTGATGACCAACTCTGTTTTGCCTGCAGATCCATAGGTGATGCTTTTTAAACAGGTTCTGTAGATGCACAGTAGCACAGATATGCATTTCATGACACAGCGACAAAGTGTAGCCCCTTTTTTTAAAGGAGCTATATGTAAGAAATCTAAAGCAAATAGTCATAAAATCATCCTAATATGTCACAGAGACTAAGGAATAATGTTCATATAACATACTGATCTCACTGACAACAATTGTACAGCCAGAATATTCCCATTTAAAAAACATTTTTACAGTCCGCAAATCATGTTTATGTTTTGAATTTGTGTTTTGGCCTGTTGCGCCACCCACCGCCGTCTCCCAGTCACGCGGTCAGTAGAGTCTCAGCATCAGTTACAGTTACGACTGAGCTACAGCAGCATGGCAAGCAGCATTAGCAGTGTCCCGGTGCATAGCATTAGCAGCTGGCTCCTCCTCAGCTGTATCCTGGCAGCAGCGTTAGCAGCAGAGAAGCCGGACTTGCTCAAACGATCCGCTGGAAAACCGAAGATCAGCCGCCCGTGGGCAGACAAATCCATCTCCAGCTTGCCGCTGTCCAGCAACCTCAAATCTGTAGGGGAGGGGGGGGCGGACACGACTTGTGGCAGTATTTTGAATTTGAGTGCAGTAACCGTTTTGGCCACATTCTTACATACAGCGCCTTTAACTAAGTCATACTAATCAAGTAATTTTTTAATCACCTTTCCAAAACCAAAAACACAAGCAAAAGTGTAAGGAATGGATTTAACAGTGTGTTTATCTGCTCTTCAACTGCAAACATTAATATGTTCATTGATCCTAGGGTTATGTTAGAACTTTTGATTACATTCTTAGAAATTATGCAATGCTATAATACTAGTTCAGTCATTCTCAACGGTTTTTTACCTTTCTTGCATTTCACACAGCACTGAGGAAAAATTTTAACATCCACAACTCCCATCCTCCTCCTCCTGCAACTCCACCTCCCTCCAAAGGCCTACTCCCCCCTCCTCCTCCTCCTGCAACTCCACCTCCCTCCAAAGGTCTACTCCCCCCTCCTCCTCCTCCTGCAACTCCACCCCCCTCCTCCATTACGTCCTCATTATGTCTATGATAGACGTAGGCGTTGGCAAGGTAACGTTAGATACACGGAAGAGGAGAGCGAGTGTAACGTTACAACCAAGACAGTCAAATGCAACCCTGGAGTTTTAAAACTCAACCGGAGTCAGTGATGAGTTTTAGAATAAGGTTACATTGCTAACGTTAGGTAGTTGCGTTAACATTACTAGTGAGTGGAAACGCACAAGGAAGATAACGTTAATGTTTCAGAGGCTACGCTACAGTAGGCTAACGTTAGCCATTAGCAACTGGATGCTGTGTTGTCATATATAATGTTATATTAGAAGCAAACTAAACATAACGTTACCTGTCCTGCACAATAAAACACAAACCCAGAGTTTTGAAACTTATCAGGGGTAAGTAATAACTGATGAGTTTTATAATATAACGTAAACGCTAACGTTAGATAGTACTGGTGACTGGCAACAAACAAGGAGGCTCAGGCAACTTAAGGCTACAGTAGGCTAACCGTTAGCAACTGGATGCTGTGTTGTCATATATAACATTGTAGCCTATATTACATTAGAGGTGATGTTACGCGAGCGGTTACGTCAGTCGGAGGCCTCCACGTGGGGAAGACAGACAGGATGCTCGACCAATCATTGCATTCGGTCCGAATGCAATGATTGGTCAGAGTTTTCTTAGAACCATATGAGAATGGTATAATTATGAGTTTTTATTTCTGGTGGAATTCACTTATATTTCACTGTGCCATCAGCTTATTAATAGCATTTTAAACTAAACAAAGAAAAGCGTAAAATTTCCAAGTGTCGCTTTAAGTGTGCTTTCACACCTGTCCTGTTTGGTTTGGTTCAGTTGAACTCAAGTTTGTTTGCCCCTTAAGTGCTTTTTGTTTGGGCGGGTGTGAACACAGTGGTCTCACCCAGGTGTGCACCAATACAACCAGACTGAGACCTTCTTGAAGAGGTGGTCTCGGTCCGGTTACAAACAACTCTGGTGCGGTTCGTTTGTGGTGAGAAAATATTCTGACCTCTTCAATGGAAATTCTGACCAATCAAGATCAGCTTTCTCACACAAGGTATTTTATCTGGTCTGCATGAAAATGCTGCTGTGAGAACACAAACCAACTCTAGGCAATTATGTAACTTTAACAAAATTAGTCCCAGATCAGACCAAAGCAAGACAACTCTAGGTCTGAAAGCGCTCTAAATAACAAGCATGCTCACCTGGCTCATTCTAAGTTACCTCAACTGTCTCTTACAAGACACGCATATTTAAAAAGAGACTTTCATCTGTTGAGCCTGGAGCACAGGGCAATCTCCCTTCACCTTAATCTTGGGAGCTATGGCAACCAAGCCACGTAGGCACCTTTATCTGGGCAGTTGTACTCCCTCCGCCAGAACTTGGAGACCAAAGATGGATTGCGTTGATAACAAAGGTTAAGTAGCCTGAGCTTAAGGCCTCTTTTAGGCCTTCTCCCATGTCCTTTACTGACTGAGGTTGAAGGCTGTAACACAACAAAATTCCTTCACAGTAACACTAAAGTTTTTAATTACAGTTGAGGAGATAACCATGGAGAAAGTGAAACCTAGGATCAGTGTAATCAATAATGACTCTTATTCACCTTGGGCTCACTTCTTTAGTTATTAAATATTGAAAATAATACTATTCCCTATTTTTCTGGTGGCTCCCTGAAACTTTCTCACTGACCTCTGGGGGTCACCAGACCCTGGGTTGAGAACCACTGATCAAGTGACAGTTGTCTTTCAGCCTGTTTTTTATTCACTTCTTTTTAAAATTTATAAAACATTAAGAATTTCAAGTGTTTGCTGCCATCATTCTATTTTTGTAAACTGCGTTATGAGCCATGCCAGCATATAAAGCTGTACAGGTGGCGAGGCTTAAAAAATGTGCAATCACAACATCAACCGTCTTCTCTCCCTCCAGCAGTAGTGGAAAGTAACTTAGTACATTACTGTACTTCTACTACTACCCTCTATTTTTAGGTACTTGTATTTTACTTGAGTATATTTTTTTTTACAGAGGAGCCCTTTTTTTGTCATTTCTGTACATTTATAGCAGTCTGCAATGCCAAGAAGGAGATAAAAACTCCCGTGGAGGTTAGGAGTGTGATTGACTACAAGACCCATAAGCCACTGGGCCAATTGTTGGCTATTGTAGGCTGTGGAGAGGACATGAAAGCTGCTATTGGCTCAAGTGAGGTGTCAATTAAAAGGTCAGAGTTCAGCCACCATTTTGATATCTATGGAGTCCTGATTTTCCCTACAGTCTCTCTCGGTTGTTGCTGGCTGGCTGTTTGCAGTCCTGTGTGCCGGATGGGCGCCGAGAAAAACAAGAAATTCCACAACGCACACCCACTACTCATGCAGCCAGTTTGGCACGGTGTCATTCCTCGACTATTCTGTGTCGCCGTGCCTTTTTGCTCAGCTGCCTGTTCCATCAGTCAAGCCCGAAAACTGACCTCTGGTTGCACATGCTGTGTACTACATATAATGAGTTTATTAAAGGGAGGAGAGCCTGTAACAGTATTGAAAGTCATACAGTACCTTCAGGATTTCTAAATACCCCGGTATACTGTAGATGTAATAATGTGTTTGGACTAAATATTTTACTGGATTTTGATCGTCTGGACATTTGGGAGTTTCTGAGGACTGTTTTTGTTGGTATGATATTGATCTGAGGATTACAGTAAGGCTCCATAGGTGAATTAAAACTGTTTATTTGTTTGATTTTTGTCCAACAAAAGTTTTTATTGAACCTGCTGAAGGGGTTGTATCTTGAAATGGTCCACATCAATCAAACCACAGGGAGTATAGCCTTCGAATGATAGGTTGCATAAGTAAATCACTAAGACACAGCAAATACAGGTGTTTACATATTGTAATCATCAAACAAAATCTTACAAAGCCCTGCGGACAGGCCGTGGGACTGTTGCACTCTTTCTGCCCTTTCTGATAAAAGGTAAGAGGTGAAAGGGCTCGAGAGCACACAGTGGTTTGTCTTGTTTTACAGTAGGATACAGACACCTTCGGTGACCCTGTTGTCTTATTAGGGCAAAGCCCAGATCACAACAGTGCTTCTTATAGAGTTTAATGGACAGAAAACCTCCCCTGCACATGAATCGTGGGAAAGCTGTTTATCCAAGGGATTATCCAGGATGCTTAGGGGCGAGAAGGTCGGAGGGCATTCATCACTAATCATCTGCTCATGCTCCCCATCTCTGACTGGCTCAGTGGCTAAAGATGATCCTTACCAACTGTGCACATCACATATGCACACAGGCAGTACACACGCCCACACACACCCACACCCACACGCGCACACACACACACACACACACACATGCTGCTGTGCAGAGATGTGCTTGATGCTGCTCTCTAAGCTAGTAGACAGATTACTTGGGAGTTGGATGCTTGGAAACTTGAGCTCAGTGAAGCTGAAAGCAGCTGAAGCCATATGTGCCATATCCTCCTGAGTTTACAATGCAGGATTTCCCAGTGTTGACAAAATATGAGAGAGGTCATGTCATCCACTAGGTGCTCTTATCCTTTAGCTTACAGACTAAACTGTGCTCTGTTGAATGTTGACATGAAGACAGCGTAAACAAATATCTGCCATATTCAGGCTATAAAATTATAACAATGTTCTGACATTTCTCCAAATCAAAAGTAACATGACATTTGTCTGTCTACAGGTGTTGAATCTTTTTCTGGCCCTGCTGCTCAGCTCCTTCAGCTCTGACAACCTCTCCGCTCCCGACGAAGATGGCGATTTGAACAACATCCAGATCGCCATTGCCCGCATCCACTCTGGCGGATCCTGGCTCATCACGAGCATTGTGGACCTCTTCAACCGCGGCGTGAAGCGTCGGAAGGAGAAGGCCAAAGACGCCGGTCAGGCCATAAAGCTAGTCGGAAATCATGTGGAAAGCAATGGTGGGATTTTTGGACGTTATGGAGAGAAGTACATCATACCAGAGGGGGACAGCTATATGACGAACCCCAACTTGACTGTCATTGTTCCCATCGCGCCCGGAGAGTCAGACGTGGAGTTTCTCGAGGACGAGGAGATTTCAGAGTCATCAGAGGATGAAGACAACAAACCGGTGAGTTTTTCAACTCCAGATATGTGTGTTTTCATTGGACCTGTACCCTCATGGTTTACTGTGGTAGTGGTCTTTGGATGGTATCGTCTACCAGAATACTTTTTGTGATAAAATGATCAGCTAGTGGGAAAAGACTGCTACTGCTGTTTAGGGCTGGGTATTGCAGAAAAGTTAACATACCAGTTTCATTAGGCCCCGAACACATAGAAAGCGTTATGCAGGTTGCAAAACACAAGGTGCACCGCACTGCTTTTTGATGGGGATCTCGGGGAGTACCACCCGTTGGTCCAGGAGCTTCGCCTCCATGATGGATGTTTCCAAGCATATTTTAGGATGACTCGGGGGCAGTTTTACAACCTGCTGTCTATCATCGGTCCCTATAGCTCTGGGTATCCAGCAACTGCTACTTTCTACTCCATTGTTTACCAACTGTAAACTTGTCGTGACCACCACAGAAGGCCCGCCTCTCAAATCATCCGATTGGACAATGGAAAAAAATATGATGAAAAAAGAGATGACATGGGGCAGCTCAAGGAGTTTGGAGCGCTCCGCCAAAAACACCAGACGCCTAGAGCACAGAAACGCAAGGTGCCTAGCAACGCAAAAACCCCAAGAAAAAAGGTTCATTCTCATTAAGAACAATTACAAAAAGTTGCCTCCAGCTGCTGAAATGCTTTCTGTTTGATCAGGGGCTTAAAGTGATATGGATATCAATAGCTTGTTTGCAATCATATGACTACTATGATGTGCAAAATTCAGATGGAGGGCAGCAAATGGACTCAGAAATCGAGGAAAGTGACTGCAGGAAAGGGTTGGATATTATGTAACTTGTTTGAGTGGCTAATGTGTGGGCTGTGAGTTCCAACAACCACACCGTGTGTCTTTAAAGCTTTACTTTGGAGCAAATACAGTGCGTTTTCGTTCTTGTTTTTTTTTTAGCTTCATTAACATTGTTGTCATACTTCTTTTACAGTGTTAAGACTCTTACAGACATTTGATGTATGCAGACCGTAGGATGACTGCATCTACTGAATCGTAGGGCCACGACTTATGATGCAATAAGAACCGCCGTGTTAGCTGTTTAATGTTTTGCGTAGAGGTGATATTTCAGGCTCTAAGTACTCTACTTTAAGAGAATGTTTTTTTAAACTGGTTGAACCTGTTGTCCTCGTTTGTGGACACTTTTTTGTGCCATCTAGTGGTAGTAAGAGCACAATACACTAATCCATGTAAAAACAAGATGGTAGCCATCTCTGCCAAGTCAGTCTGCAGCTGAACCTGACACGAAAGTGAACAAGGTCCAAAACCTGATCACATTTTATGGTTCAAACTTGTTTAGTTATGATTAATAATGTTTGTAGTTTGATATGGCAACAAATTGGACCAATTTTAGCAACAGGAACAAGATAAAACACTGTTAATTAGAAAGTACTCGGTTGAAGACGCTGGGACTTTATTGTTGTCCCGTTTGAAGACATTGGGACTTTATTATCGTCTCGTTTGAGGACATTGGGACTTTATTATCGTCTCGTTTGAGGACATTGGGGCTTTATTATCGTCTCGTTTGAGGACATTGGGACTTTATTATCGTCTCGTTTGAAGACATTGGGGCTTTATTATCGTCTCGTTTGAGGACATTGGGGCTTTATTATCGTCTCGTTTGAGAACGCTGGGACTTAATTGTTGTCTTGTTTGAGGACATTGGGACTTAGTTGTCGTTTTGTTTGAGGACATTGAGACTTTATTGTCGTTTTGTTTGAGGACATTGGGACTAAATTGTCGTCTCGTTTGAGGACATTGGGACTTAATTGTCATCTTGTATGGGGACATTTGGACTTTATTGTTGTCTCTTTTGAGGACATCAGGACTTTATTATTGTCTCGTTTGAGAACATTGGGACTCAATTGTTGTCTTGTTTGAGGACATTGGGACTTTATTGTCGTCTCGTTTGAAGACATTGGGACTTTATTATGGTCTCGTTTGAAGACGTTGGGACTTTATTATCATCTTGTTTGAGGACATAAGGACTTTATTATCGTCTCATTTGAGGACATTGGGGCGTCATGTCGTATCATTTAAGGACATTGGGACTTCACAATCATATCGTTTGATGACTTTGGGACGTTATTATTGTCTCGTTTGAGGACAATGGGACGTAGTCTCATTTGAGGACATTGGGGCTTCATGTCGTCTCATTTAAGGACATTGGGACTTCACAATCATATCGTTTGATGACTTTGGGATGTTATTATCGTCTTGTTTGAGGACAATGGGACGTAGTCTCTTTTGAGGACACTGGGACTTACTTATTGTTTACAATGTTTAGTTTTTTATGCCTATCAGGTCCTACTGATCCCAAATAGCTAGGAGAAATTGAAAATGCACACCAAACAAAAGTTCAGGTCTCAGGAGGTTATAGATAATTGTGTTGCTTAAACAGATACAGATTACCATGTACTGGCTCATCCCTCGTGAGTTGTAGACTGACTAAATCTCCATCAGATAACAAGCATGTGTGTCAGAGCTATTCAGTTTACCCATGACCATAAAAAACTCTCGTAACAGTACAGAAAGGCTCTTGGATAAATGTATGTTTTAAGGAGGGACTTCAAAGAGATCACTGACTCAGCTGACCTGATTTCCTCAGGCAGATAATTCCAGAGCCACAGGGCCCTGACACCAAACACTCTGCTCCCTTCAGTTTTCAGCTGGGCTTCTGGAACAGACAAAAGACCTCTGCTACCCGAGGAAGTCAAAGTACATCCTGGTGTGTACTGTACTAAGAGGTCAGAGATATAGTTGGGAAAGAGACCAAGAAGAGCCTTAAAAGTAATCTGTAAAATATTAAATCTGTGCCTATACCAGTACAAATATTAATAATTTTTGCATGGATGTACATCATGTACATTTTCTTAGTCGACCAATAGTCATCATTTAGGGCCATTAGTTGACCAGTCGCCTGCATGTTTACGATATTAATTAAATTATTAAATGATATGTTTTGGGCTTGGCAACACAATGGTTTGAGTTGAAGGTGTGAGAAAGAATAGTATCAGTAACATTGTTAACACTGTGCTACATTACAGAGAAATACAAAACCGTACTAATGAACCTTCATTAATATAGGCCTATATTTTATCTACAAGTGCACGTCACACACTGAGCGAGCCGCCTGTTAATGACGCTGTCGGCAAAGCAGTAATGATTGTGCTAAGTGGCTAATGGGCATGTAGCTACTTCCATGTTTCAGATGATACGTCATGTTTGTAGTCGACCAATGAAGATGAGTTTACATATTACCTTGGGTTCGTCCTTCACCTTCTCAAAATGATCCCACACTTTGGATTTCCTGCCTGACATGTTATTAACTAGCCTGTGGAATAACCGCAGGTACCAGCCCTGGAAATTAAGGGCCGTACACATGCCGTGTCTTTAACCACCTGGAAAATGCAAGGTCGGATACTAAGCACTACTCTTGCGCCTTTTTTGTGCCAGCTTTCAAGAGCGCGGCTGCAGGTTGCATCTGAGGTTGCTAAGCAACCTTAACAAGCACCATATAGCCTATTGACCTGAATCCTGAGTGCAGAGCTGATCTTCTTCCAGGTGTTGTTTATAAGTGTGTAGGCCTATCGTCCATGAGACAGATGTAAAGCTCTGGGTGGCCCTGCACTAACATGATCAACTTTTCTGTATTTATCAGACTGAATATTTACAGAAGAAGGGAAAGATATCTGTTGGCTGTGATTGGTTTGTAACGTGACTCCAGTCTGACTGCTGAGCGTGGCCACTTCCTGTGTCTGTCCTTTCAAATTAAATTCCTACATGGTCCAGTCATATAGGTTTGGATTAATTTTGACAAGGCGCATGTTGAGTAAACCCTCCCTTTTTATCAGCCTCTCCTTATCAACCTTCCTGTTCCTTCCTCTTGTCTTCCTCTCATTCACCCATCCTGTGTCTCCTGGACTCCTCTGTCAGTGTCCTGTGGGTCAGGGGTTTGTTGGGGTGGAGGGTGTGTCGCTCCTGTCCTCTCTGGCAGGCAGACAGCAGCAGGCCAGATGTGGAGCCAGGCCCTGCAGAGCAGATTAAAGTGACACATCTGAGCGGAGCCAGGCAGGGCCAGGCTGAGCTGAGCAGGCTGCAGTCTGGCGCTCTCTCTCCCTATTTCCCTGCTGTGCTCTGCTCCACACCACACCAGAATTAGGCTTCAGGGAAATGGAAATGAAAAAAAACAGCCCTCCATTAGCTTAGCTGGGCATCAGCAGCTGCTCAGCTGTAAAGATGGGTACATTTTACATGTGTAGAGCTTTGAATACACACTGAAAATGGCAAGATTGTGGTTTTTAATAAGTTAGTTATGAATAAAGTGTTACTTTACACACATCTGTAAATCTCCTTAACGAACAATTAGCTTGTGTGTGTGCATGTTTCACAACTACATACACTGTCCTATGCTTTTCTTTATTTTCTGTTACATATAAAATGTTAAAATGTCAAATGTTCATGTTAAACATAGCCAAAGTTTCAAATAAATGTATGTGAAAGTAATCCCTCTGAGCAAAAACCCCAGGCTTCAGACCATTCTGAGTACTTTGTTTCCGACTTTGTTTTCCTACTTTATAAACAAGCTGATATCAGCTTGTCAGTTTTCTTTATATGGTCATTTGCTCCAAGCACTGTAAAGGTTTACCTTATATACACTGCTACATGTAGCTACATGCTAACATTAGGGAAACATATTATCTTGATTGCTGATGTTGTTACTTTCTCCACGATTTCAGATCATATTCCTGGTGGAACATATCCAGTTGTGATGAAAAGCTTGTGTTGGTAATTTTTTCAGGAGGAAGTGCGGCTTTACGCAGTCATTTCCTGACTGCAAGTAAACTGCTACATGTAGCTACATGCTAATGTCAGAGGAACATGCAATCTGGTTAGCTGATGTTGTTAATTTCTCCACAATTTCAGATCATGTTCTGTTGTGTTAAAAAACTTTTATTGGTGATTTTTAACAGGTGGCTATACCCTGTTACAGTCATTTCCCGGCTCCAAGTATACTGCTAACATAAGTGTAACTTCTAAATAAGGTCAGGGAAACATGTAATCTTAATTGCTGATGTTAAATTCTCCCCATTTTTGGATCATATTATTGCTGGAACATGTCTTGTTGTATTTAGGAACTTTCATTGGTGACTTTTAAGAGGAGGAAGTGCTGCTATACCTGTACCTATTTCCTGGTTCCAAGTAAACTGCTACATGTAGCTTCATGCTAGCATCAGAAAACTTTCTCCTTGTTTTTGGATCATATTCCTGCTTGGACATGTAATGTTTAGAAGCTTGTACTGATTATTTTTAATAGTAAAAAGTACAGATATATGCAGTTGTTCCCTGCTCCAAGTAAACTGCTGATTTTTAATGGTAAATGCTAACATCATGGAAACATAATTGTGGTGTATAATGTTGTAAATTTCTCCCTGTTTTTGGATCATATTCCCACTGGAACATATCCAGTTGTGTTTAGACGCTTTTATTTGTGAATTGTAATGGGAGAAATGCTGCTACAAGCAGTCATTCACTGACTGCAAGAAAACTGCTACATGTAGTTCCATGCTAACATCAGGGAAACTATAATCTTGGTTGACAGTGTTGTTAATTTCTCCACAGTTTTGGGTCATATTCCTGCAAGAAAATGTCCTGGGGTCCGTTTCACAAAGCAGGTTTAGTGAAAACTAGGAGTCTGTTAACCCTGAAATGAGGGAAACTCTGAGTTTTTTGTTTCAGAAGGGGAGGTAACTCAAACCAGAGAAAGAGGAGTAACTCTAGCCTGTTTCAGAGAGAGAGAGGTAACTTAAGCTCTCGGTCAGTTACCGTAGTAACAGACTCTGTGAACCTAACCTGGTCGGGACCAGGTTTTTCTCAATGAACCTCGAGTTTCTCTCTGTCTCCGCCCTCTTTCAGAGCCACACACTCCATTTGATTTCCTCATTCATTCAGTCAGCAGGCGAGTTTTGGCGTAGCCTAGTTCTGCCGTCTGTCATTTAAAAAATCAGAGTCAGTATTAGAAGTCCATTAGGCACAGTAGGTGGCGACTTTTTTCACTAACATGGCATGTCCTTTTGATAACGATCCCGTGGATGAAGACTGCGCAGAGAATGAAATATTCGTCAGGAGATGGTTATCAGACCGCGCATAGATGTTTTAGCATTTCCACACAATTATCTTTTTGAGCTGTACCGTTTCACGTCACAGTCCATCATCTACATACTCAACCTAATCCGTCCTTACATTTGCAACATTACCAATCGTAGTCATGCTCTCACACCCCAGCAGATATTGTGTGTTACGCTCATAGACTGTATAAAAATGCGCTGTGTTTCTTTGCAAATGGAAGTTTTTTGTACAATGTCGGAGATGCTGAGCACTTGAGTAAGGCAACTTTATGCGGGGCGGTCAGAAAAGTGTGCTCGTTTTATGGGCATCTGCCTTCTTTCTGTTGGCTGAGTAGAAGTCTGTGTTAGTTTAAATAGGCTTTAATTATTTAACAGAACATGATATAGATGATAAGACATTTATGTGTGTGAAAACAGCATTATGTTGGGGATACAACAACTGCACAGTCAAACAGCCACTTAATATTTACTTTACAATGTAAAACATTATCAAAATGAGGTACCCCCATGAGATTATGCTGAGCCTTACCTGTTTGAACAATGTTTTTATATTTCATCCTAAACTGCTGCCAAGTGAGGGATTGCACTTAAATGAAATAAACGAATAGGCTACCATTCAAGCAGTTTTCCCCTGTAATATTATTGTGATTGCAAAGGACTACATTTAAACTTATGCATTCTCCCACGCCGTCTCCCTCTCTTTTGCAGCTGCAGAGGTGTTGCACTTCTTTTTGAAAACGTGTGCAAACTCGCCGTATGAGCGCATTAAGATTTCTAATTCTAGTGGGGTGAAAAACGCAGCCCTCCCCGTCCCCGTTGCCATGGTGACTCGTCGAATCGGGGCTCCATTGATGCTGGCTTTTTATAGTTGTGGTGCACGCGCTTAACTCCAGGTGAAACTACTCCGAGTTGATTAAACTGATTCAAATCAGCTGTTCTGGAACCGGAAACTCAGAGTTTCCTATCTCAGAGTAGATCAACTCAGAGTTCAGGATTTGACTCAGAGTTTGTTGAACCTGTTTTGTGAAACGGACCCCTGTTGTGTTAAGATGCTTTTGGTGATTTTTAGCAGCAGAAAATGCAAATATACACAGTCATTCCCCAGCTGCAAGTGCACTGCTACATGTAGCTACGTGCTAATGTCAGGGAAACATGTAATCTTTTGGTTGCCGATTCTCCCTGATTCAGATTATATTCATGCCGGAAATGTCCAGTTGTGTTGAGTAGTTTTTATCAGTGATTTTAGATGGGAGGAAGTGTCGCTATACTCTGTTACAGTTATGTAGTTAAGTGCTTACATCAGGGAAACAACTTGATGCTGATGTTAATTTTGTACCCAATTTTGGAGTATATTCTTGCTGGAACAGCTTTTATTGGTGATTTTTAACAGTAGAAAGTGCTGATGTACAGTCTTTCCTTGGCTGTATGTAAACTGTGACATGTAGCTATATGCTAACATCAGGGAATGATGTTATCTTGACTGCCGATGTTGTTAATTTCTCCTTTTTTTTAAGATCATTTTCCTGCTTTAACATGTCTGGTTTTGTTTGTTTTATGGTTTTTGTTGGTGAGTTTTAACTTGAGAAAGTGTCACTATACTCTAGAGTTATTGCCTGGCTACAAGTAAACTGCTACATGTAGCTACATGCTAACATCAGGTAAACATGTAGTCTTTTGGTTGTTAATGTTGTAAATTTCTTCCAGATTTCAGATATTTCTGCTGAAAAACATGTCCAGTTGTGTTTAGAAGCTTTTATTAGTTATTATTCACTGACTGCAAGCACACTGCTACATGTAGCTGCATGCTAACACCAGGGTTATCTTGGCTGCCAATGTTGTTAATTTCTCCTTGTTTTTGGATCCTATTCCTGGTTGTGTTTAGAATCTTTCATTGGTCATTTTTCACAGTAGAAAGTGTACATTCTTATCTTTAACAGTCATTCCCCGGTTGCAATGACGATGCAGAGACGTGAGATGCAGAAGACCTGGAAAAGCTGACCAATCAGGCAGACTGGGGAGGGGGGCTTAAAGAGACAGGCGCTAAAACAGAGTGTCTTAGACAGTGAATACAGGTCCACCATGATAAAAAATAAAGTGTTTGTTTAACAGTAAAACATGTAGACATGTTCTATTAGAAGTGTGAACCTGAAAATGAGGACAATAGGTCCCCTTTAAGATGTCATCAGTGCCGTTCTCTCTTCTCTGTCTTTGAGCACGAACACTGGTAATCTGGTCTCCAGGTCCTGCGGATGCTCTTGAATGCTGGATTAGATTTTGTACCAGTTTATAGGATTGACGCTGCACCTCTGTCCTATAAATCATGTTAAATATGTTGCTGTTACAACACGTGGAAATCTCATCAAAATTGTATTAAGGCTCAAAAGAGATTGAAAGGCAAGGCAGTACATCGAAGTGAGCTCGCTTTGATGGGATGAATCCATGCTGAACACAGGGCAGGAAATGCTGCTAAACTGCTCTGTTTGGTTTAAAACGTGTAAACATATTGCACATATGGCCACACACCCCAACCAGTGATGTCACAGCGGGTGTTTAGCCTTTAACAGCTGATGGAAAACGTCAAAATCCACCTGTCAATATTCTGTAACATAACTATGTGTAACTCAACTCATTATTGGTTCGTGCACTGTTTAATAAAAGGATAAGTGAGAAAGGGGTCAGTAACAGTAGGATTTGTCACTACTCAGGAAAAAGTCAGCCTATCAGAGGGCAGCACGGTGGATCTGAGGAGGCCTGGAGAAGAAATAGACAACCTATCAGAACTAGCTGAAGAGAGTATGGAGCCAGAGGACTGCTTCCCAGAATGTAAGAATCGAGTATAAAGTTGTGACCCTATAAAATGATTAACAGAAAATATGATCACGGTTTTTAAAACATTCATTTAATATGTTATGTGGTGTTTGTGTAGTCTAATTTCTTCATGTGTTGTAATCTGTACTGGTTTGTTTGTCAGTGTGCATGAGGCACTGTCAGTGCTGTGAAATCGATACCAGCCGCGGTCTGGGCGAGTTCTGGTGGAGGCTGAGGAAGACCTGCTACCAGATTGTGGAACACAGCTGGTTTGAGACTTTCATCATCTTCATGATCCTGCTCAGCAGTGGAGCTCTGGTACGGCAAACTCTATTTATTATTTATTTATTAGAACACTTTTAATTTTGAAATGGATTTAAAGCACTTGTAGTTTTATAAACCAGTGATTCCCAACCAGTTGTACTTGTACCCCAGGGGTACTTCTGTAGTTGCCAGAGGGTACCTGGAAAAATTGAAGGGTAGCTCAGCTAATTAAAAAAATACAAACACCTTTAAATTTGTAAATGTTGCAATTGAGAGTGTGTGAAATCTACTTAGCAAGCTGTTCCTGTTGTGCTGTTAATCAGTCTACACTGTTTTGGGGTGAGATGCTGAGTGCTGGAGATATTGGCTGTAGAGATGTCTGCCTTCTCTCCAATATAATGGAACTAGATGGCACTCAGCTTGTGGTGTTCAAAGTGCCAAAAAATACATTTGAAAAACTCAACAGCAATGTCTCTTTCCAGAAATCATGACCTGGTTACTCAAGATAATCCACAGACCTTGTTGTGAGCAGTTTCATGTAGGCTGTGTGGGTACTTGAGACAAAAAAGGTTGGGAACCACTGACTCAATACAGCTCTGAAACAACTGTAAGAGAGTAAAGAGTTAACAGTGAGACTGGATTACATACATGCATTGTTTTCTGCAAAAAATTAAGTGCATGAATGGCGGACTCTGCCACTAACAGTGAAAATACAGACAGGAATGTACTGAATGTAAACTCAAAAAAAGGGCCGTAAGACAGAAAACTTTTAGAAGTTGGAGTACAATTTCTGATTTCTTCTCGTCTGATCCCAGGTCTGTTTGGTGCCTGGTTACAGTATAATATTAAACCCACAGTACTGAAGCTCAGTGGTTCAACTTTAATTAACAACAACCTTTCTGCAGTGGTTGCCAGCAGCATGTTTTCTCAGAGTGGTAAACAAACTGAAATGCATGGTTTCTGAGTTATAATTGTGCCTTCAGAAACCTTAAAGTTCAGCTGAAATGTTAGTGTTTTGTGTGTTCAGCCAACAGTAGTGATGTGAAAGTGCCAGGCAGCTATGGTTCAGGAATTAGACTGGGCCATCTACAAGTCTGCGGTTCACTTCAGGTGGCACTCTGTATTAGGTGAATGTGTCTTGAGTGGTCAGAAGACTACTCAAAGCGCTTTCACACTACGAGTCCATTTACCATGGTGTTTTCTCACACCGCTGTCCCTCCTCTGCTGCAGGCATTTGAAGATATCTACATCGAGAAGAGAAAAGTTGTAAAGGTGGTGCTGGAGTACGCTGACAAAGTCTTCTCCTACATCTTTGTGCTGGAGATGTTCCTCAAGTGGATTGCATACGGCTTTAAGAAATATTTCACTAACTACTGGTGTTGGCTTGATTTTCTCATCGTGGATGTAAGTAAACATTTTTGCGTGTTTTTGTTGCACTACATGAAAGGATGCTGGTAATTAAAAATCACATGTTGAGAATTCAGTAACCCCTCTCATTGTAGCTGAATGTTGCTTTTCCTGTGTGTGGGATTTACAGCTCGGTGAGTGTCACATTATTTACAGGAAAGCACTTGACAATTCATAAATGCTGAACAACAACCGGCCACCTTCATAACTGAAACCGTGCTCATCAGTTACTCCTGTTTAAAGCAACAGTGTGTAAGATTTAGGGGGATTTAGTTGCTTATACTGGTGAGGATTGCAGATTGCAACCAGTTTAAACTTCTCCTGGTTAGGATTCCTTCAGTGTTCATTGTTCAGGAGGTTTGAATTATTGAATTATCTGCAGAGGTCTTTTCTTCTCCGAAACAGAGCAGGTGATTTAAACTGGTAAAAACACTGAATAAAGCAGTTTCATATTACAAATCAGTGTTTCTTCTACACTGTTTGGCATGGCACAGACAGGCCACTTGCCCAGCACCTGCTATGTGTGCTCACCTTTTTTCTCCTATAACTGAAGATCTAGACGTTGGGGAGATTTTTACCAGGAGCTGAATTATCCTCAGAGGTCTCTTCCTCTCCAAAACAAATGGACTTGTTGATTTAAACTGCACTAAGCACTAGGGCTGCCCCCAACTGATCCTAGTCAACCAATAGTCGTCATTTATGGCCATTAGTCGACTAGTCGCTGCATGTTTACGATATTAATTTATTTATTAAATTATATGTTTTGGGCGGGGCAACACAATGGTTTGAGTTGAAGGCGTGAGAAAGAATAGTATCAGTAACACTGTTAACACTGTGCTACATTACAGAGAAATACAAACCCGTACTAATGAACCTTCATTAATATAGGCCTATATTTTATCTACAAGTGCACGTCACACACTGAGCGAGCCGCCTGTTAATGACGCTGTCGGCAAAGCAGTAATGATTGTGCTAAGTGGCTAATGGGCATGTAGCTACTTCCATGTTTCAGATGATACGTCATGTTTGTAGTCGACCAATGAAGATGAGTTTACATATCACCTTGGGTTCGTCCTTCACCTTCTCAAAATGATCCCACTTTGGATTTCCTGCCCGACATGTTATTAACTAGCCTGTGGAATAACCGCAGGTACCAGCCCTGGAAATTAACCTGACTCCTGTCTGACTGCTGAGCGTGGCCACTTCCTGTGTCTGTCCTTTCAAATTAAATTCCCACATGGTCCAGTTAATTAATTTAATTTAATTTATTTTGACAAGACGTAGCTCCTAAAAGTTTCACATTTTGTTTGTTTTTTCTGCGACTAAGCAACCAATGAAATCTTGCTGACTAATGACCTTTCTGGTCGACTAACGTTGGGTCAGCTATTTGGGGTAGCCTTAAAAAGCATAAAATAAAGCAGTTTCACATATAAGAAATAAGTGTTTCCCACTCCTTTCGTCACAGAAAGGCTGACATGAAAACACAAACACCCTTGTAGAAACATGGTGGTGCAACATGGCGATCTCCCTATGTCGAAATAAACAGCTCATTCTAAGGTGACAAGACACATCAATTCTTTTTTTCAGGTGATTATACACCAAAGAAAACGTAGTTATTATTATTACTATTTCTACCAATATATCCCCTAAATCCTACACGCTGGACCTTTACTAAAACAAACTCCACACAAGTTTTTCACAACCTAGAATTTACTAGAAACAGACGGATAAATCACACACTAAATATCTGTACAGCTCTACATTTGCTTTAACGTCAGGATTTTGCCAGATAAATTCATGAAAACTGTTGGGTAAAATGGGTGTGGCTCTGTAGTGGTGATCCAAAGTGGCCGTGGCGTGCAGCCCGAGGCCTGACTTGACTTCCTCTGATTTCACCTGCTGTTACACAGATTGCCACAGACCGCTCTATTGTTAGGGTAAGTTGTAGTTAGCAGGTCCCAGGTGAGTATGGGCTCTGGGATTGGAAACTTTACATCTGCATCACAAATGCCTCTGTGTTTCTTCACTCGTAAGTGCTTTCTGTTGCGATATCAAAAGCCACTGTCTTGTTTCCAAATGCACGTCTTATGAAATGTGCTAAAATTTTTTTTACTCAGCAGTCATTCTTTGAATCAGTTACTTCAGGACCTTGGCTTTTATATCAAGAACAAATGTAGTGCCATTTACTCTCAGGTTTATCTACAGAAGATGTACTTTATACAGCGTGTTAAACCTATAAAAATGTTGCTTAACAGACATTTAGTCGATGTAGAAATGCACCAGCCGAGGTCATGTCTAAACTGTCGTGTCTAATTCTTGTATTAAGTGTTATTTGTTATGTCTGTTTACAAGAAAAGACAATTCCTGTTGATAAGTGCAACTACCTACCCTTCGTTTCTCACTATGAAAGCTACCACCTTACTTTCTTTTACAGTGTTTTTGTATTCTTTCCGTCTGCACTTCTTTTGGAGCCAAAAACTTCACAAGTCCAGAGAATAAATTCTGAGTATCTTCTTTAGATATATTGGACAAACACATGTGTAAATAGACTTTTATAAAGAAATTCAGATCATTGGGACCTTATTAGTCCTAAATTGTTTTTAATAAACTTATTGGATCTATTGGATGGAAATTGGGAAACAAATTTGGCAAAGATAGACATAAATTCTTTATAAAACTCACTCTATTTGATATATATACATATTTTATATGCATATATAGCTGAGTATGCATTCATGGACACCATTTGTCCATATGTGCATACTGGTCTGTGTTTTGTCATCATCAATCATGACATGGATTTCTTTCATTTATATCACGCCATTCTCATTCACAGCTGTCATCCATGGGTCATTCAACAGCGGAATACCATTTTGTTTTGTCCGTTTTGGATGTAGAATAGAGTGGAAGTCTAAATTTGCTAAAAGATTACACAACAAACAAAACAAATGTAAACCTCCAAAATTAAGTAATTGTGTTCCTAACTGTGGAATGTCCCAAAATACACAAAAACTCTAAAAATGGCTCTTCAAATGTTTTCTACCTGTCTTTGATGGTCCTTTATCATGTTTTTTTTTTCCTTTTTAAATTATAGAATTGCAACCCAATCACCAGAAAAAATGTTGGCAATGCATACTTCTGCAAACCACTGATATGTTACATTATGCTGTGGTTAGTGTGTGGTTAGGTTTAGGCACAAACTTTGTTGTGGTTAGGAAAAGATCATGTTTTAGCTAACATACCTGGTGTAGGGGGCCCAATCCTGCCTAGGAAAGTGACGATGTCTTGGTAAAAAACAACCGCTTTCATGCCACTATCCCAGCAGGAAAAGCAACATCGCCTCTGTAAAAGACAACCAATTTTTGTGCCACTATCCCAGCAGGAAAAGCAACATTACCTCTGTAAAAGACAACCAATTTTTGTGCCACTATCCCGGCAAGAAATGCAACAATGTCTCCGTAAAAGACAACCAGTGTTTGTGCCACTATCCCGGCAAGAAAAGCAACAATGTCTCCGTAAAAGACAACCAATGTTTGTGCCACTATCCCGGCAGAAAAAGCAACAATGTCTCCGTAAAAGACAATTGTGCCACTATCCCGGCAGGAAAAGCGACAATGTCTCCATAAAAGACAACCAATGTTTGTGCCACTATCTCGGCAGGAAAAGCAACAATGTCTCTGTAAAAGACAACCAATGTTTGTGCCACTATCCCGGCAAGAAAAGCAACAATGTCTCCATAAAAGACAACCAATGTTTGTGCCACTATCCCGGCAAGAAAAGCAACAATGTCTCCATAAAAGACAACCAATGTTTGTGCCACTATCCTGGCAGAAAAAGCAACAATGTCTCCGTAAAAGACAATTGTGCCACTATCCCGGCAGGAAAAGCAACAATGTCTCCATAAAAGACAACCAATGTTTGTGCCACTATCCCGGCAGAAAAAGCAACAATGTCTCCGTAAAAGACAATTGTGCCACTATCCCGGCAGGAAAAGCGACAATGTCTCCATAAAAGACAACCAATTTTTGTGCCACTATCCTGGCAGAAAAAGCAACAATCTTTTGGTAAAAACAACCATATTTTGTGCCTAAAAAGCTGCTGGAAACTCAGCAGTGGCTTCCTAAATTACAATCACCCCACACCACGGTAGCTGTGGCTCAGGAGTGGCACTACTCGGAAGATCAACGGTTCAATCCCTGGCTCCTCCAGTCCACATGTCGACATATCCTTGAGCAAGATACTGAACCCCAAATTACTCCTGATTCCGTCGGTGCGTGTGTGTGTGTGTGTGTGTGTTAAAAACTGAGTAGCAGGTGGCACCTTGTATAGTAGCCTCGGCCACCAGTGCGTGAATGTGACTTGTAGCGTAAAAACTGGAGGTCCATTTACCATGTTGTTGGTCATTAGGGGCTGGGCAGCCTAAGCTGCCAGGACCCTATTGTTATCCTGCATGTTCTTCTTCTTTCTTATTTTTCCGAGGAAATCCTACTTCCCATGCGCGAAAAATCACCAAACTTTGCACAAAGGTCCAGTCCCATGCCAGATTGCCTCAGCTGCAAAAACAGGCCAATAGTCCTGATGGTGGCGCTACAGCAAGCCTCTAAAGTTCAAAATTTTGAAAATTCACAACAAATCAACCATATGTGCTACAGATTTGCAACTTTCACCAAAATGTAGCCCCAATACTAATTGCAAATTATGAAGTCCATCACTCTGTTTTTTTTTCAAAAACTGTAAAACCTATTAAACCTATCTCCTCCCACAATTTTTGCTCAATTGACACCAAACTTGCCACAGAGCATCTTCAGACTGTCCTACCCAAACGATCGACACAGATTTTTGATTTATCGAAAATTGAGCCTACAGTGCATCAAAAGGTTTGACTGTAAACAGTATTGTAAACATATACATGCAAATTCTTGCTAAATACATTTTCAGTGTTCATTAAAAAAATGACAAAATTTTGGAGTCATGGTAGATGATGTTTGGAAAATATCTGAATTTTATCTCAAAAACTGAATTTTTTTTACAGCATTTTGAATTTCGCTTTCATGCAAACAATTGGAGTCAATGCAAAAATGGCATTTTTAAACATCAGTTTTTCACTTATGGAGCCAATAAATCATTGTTAAAAACAAATAACCAACATCTCCATGCTGTCTAGATGCAATTTGTGTATTTTCGGATTTTTGTCTTAGTAACTGAATTTTTGACAGCCGTTTGAAATCTGCCTTTACACACTAACAGCTGCTGTCTTGCACACAGGTGACTGGCTTAGTCAATTTGTGAAGCTACATGTGATATTTCTGTTTGCCAGTTAGCTCAGTGAGATAGAGGATGGTTCTTGGTGTTGAAGATTGTGAGTTCAAGCCTCAGCTCGTGCAACATTTCCATATGAGAAATCTACCCAAACTTTTCATAAAGGTCCAGTCTCATGCCAGATGTCCTCAACTGGAAACACAAGTCAATAGTCCTGATGGTGGCGCTACAGCAAGCCTCTAAATTTCAAAACTTTGAGTTCAAGCCTCAGCTAAGGCAGAACGGACATTCTAATGTGAAAGTCCTATGTTCAGGCATCATGCTATGTGGATTAGAGACTACTAAGGTGAAAATAATTATGATCCAGGCAGTTTCGTGTAGAGACAAATACTCTTTATCAACACTTTTCCCTGTTATCCCTTGTCTCTTTTCCCTGTTTATTTGGCTTAGCTATCAGTCAATATGCAGTCTATCCAAGAGCTACTTTTACATTGTAAAAAATGTTTTCATCTTTGTCACCATGGATAATGTTTAGCTTTAAGCTAGTTCAGGCCAGTTTGTTCATAATTGCTAGCAGTTAATGTTATTCTTACTTTCATGTTCTTGAATTTTTTCTTTCCCTTGTATATTATTAGTCTGATCACTTCAGCCACTCATCCACAATTTGAAGGGCATGCCATAATTATATGATGTAACTTCTATGTTGTGATATGCTTTGTTTTAGTGTGTGTGTTGCTCAGAATTGCCTAATTTTGCCTAAAATTGCCCAGTCCTGACCATTGCTGTGCAGCAGCTATAATTAATATTGGTCTGCAGCTTGGGAAGCGTCTTGCCTACTGTAGATGACTTGCCCTCCAGGTGACAAAGAAATGTTGATGTGATTCATATGAAACGTCCAAATGTAACATATTCATGGTTTGCAGAAACGTACAATGCCAACATTTTCCTCAGGTGACTGGGCTGAGAATTGTTAAAAAAAATATATGAAGTTTTTAGGCTAATGTGTTGATAAGACTAAGTATATGATTTTGCTTTAATTCAAAATATTATGTTCTTCCTCTATTATTAAAAAAGATACTGCTACTTTCCCTCCAGGTTTAAAGCTTTAAACATCAACAAGAACTGACGAATGTATTTGAATCCATTTTCTGATTCTCACAGTACACACGTCTCTCTGTTCTCCATGTAGGTGTCCTTGATAAGCCTGGTGGCTAATTCACTGGGATACTCCGACTTTGCTGCAATCAAGTCCCTGAGGACTCTGCGGGCTTTAAGACCTCTCAGAGCTCTGTCCAGATTTGAGGGCATGCGGGTGAGAAATGCGTTTTCTCAACTATACTGATGTCACATTTGCTTTTTGCAATATAGTTTCTTATGAATATTAACTTGCTGATAAATCTCAGGATTATTACCTCCACCATGGGGGGCCTGTTGTCACCATAGTTTGCTTATTATTCTGTGTGAAAAGTGGACAAAATCCAAGATTATAAAGATTGCATTAGATATTATTCAAACTTTACGTACGTGCTATTTGAGACAACAACAAAAAAACACAATTATTTGTGTAAAATATTTGGGCTGAATTTTGAGAATTGCATATTGTTTTGCTCCTGGAAATTATTTATTTATTTTTGCCCTTTGAAAAACATCTTACTCTGGAAACACATCAAGCAGTGGTGAAATAATTTCTTTTTCTGCATGTTCACGTGTTTCAGGAGGAAGAAATTCTATATATCATAGGTCAACATGTCACAGGAGTAACAGGACTGTCTGTTTACTGATTGGCTTCGGGTATTCTCTGGCTGCAATTTGCTGCTAAAAGTTCAAATATCCCCAACTTTTAGTTTGGCCGCACTTTGACGCAGAATCAAACAGCCGCGCTTGGACCTTGTACCTAATATGATGTGCAGACACAGGGTGTTCAGGAGTCAAAGAGCTTGAGGAAAGAAGCTGTTACAGAACATTGTGGACCTTGTCTTGATGCTGCAAAACCTTCTACCTGATGGCAAGAGGGCAAACAGACTGTGGGAGGGGTGGGAGGAGTCCTTCACAATGGAGGAGGCTCTGCGTGTGCAGCATCTCTGAAAAATGTCCTAAATGGAGGGGAGGGAGACTCATTCTTAGGATCAGGAAAATTTGTCTAAAAAGGGGTCTATATGTGGGCATTTTGTGTTTAAAGTTAAAAGGACCTTTCATGCCGTCTTAATGTTAAAATTGAGCAAGATATGAAGCTTATTATGTTAGCTTATCAGTCATGGAAAAATATGAAATCTGCTTGGCTTTTTAATCATTTGGATCTGTTGTGCACCATTTTGTCTGTATCCCGACCAAATTTCATGGCTCTAGGAGTTATATTTCGGAAGATATTGAACCCTAAAAATGGCTTCCCACCTTGAAATTGTTTTTTATTGGGGGTGAAAATGACAACATTCCCAGGGGCCAAAAACCATGCAATTCTTAAATTTCAGGCAAAATATTGTACAGAACTTATTCAACCCAATTGCCAGAGGAAATGTTGACATTGTACATTTTTTCAAGTCACAGATATGTTACATTTCAAGTTTTGGTTAACGAGTGGTTATGTTTAGGCACAAAAACCACTTGGTTATGGTTAGGAAAGATGTTTTGGCTTAGAATACCCAGTTCTGGGCTGTATGCTCTGGACTGAAATTGCGTATTTATAAGGTTTGAATGAAATCTAAAACATAAACAAAAACCTTCAACTGTCTGTCATTACGTGTCTCTGTCACTTGTTGTTCATCAGGTGGTCGTGAACGCGCTCATCGGAGCCATCCCCTCCATTATGAATGTGCTGCTGGTGTGTCTCATCTTCTGGCTCATCTTCAGCATCATGGGGGTCAACCTGTTCGCTGGCAAGTTCGGGAAGTGCGTGAACAGAACAGGCTTCATCCACAGTGTCTCTCTAGTCAACAACAGGACAGAGTGTCTCATGATGAACGACACCCAGTTCTACTGGACAAAGGTGAAGGTCAACTTCGACAATGTGGGACTTGGCTACCTTTCCCTTCTGCAAGTGGTGAGGTTTTTTTCTGCTCTCAGATCTTTAAAACACACTTTTATTTTAGGAATCATGTTGAAGAATAAAAGGAACACTTCATCCACAAAATTACCATTTATATGTCAACTACTCACCCCGTGTTACATGGAATTTGGGAAGAAAGAAAATATTGTTTTATTCGCATGCCTCCACAGTGAACATAGAATCCAAAAACCAAAAGCCAGACTCAATTGACAAAAACAGTCATTTTACTTTGCTGAACACTGGAGCTTCTGGTCTACCATTGCCTCGATCAGTTAAGCCCCTTTCCCACTGCACAAAGTAAACCTCTAACACCCACTTACATCTGGCTTTTGTATTTAATGGGAAAGGTTACAGTCGGAATCACTCCTGGGACAAATGACTCTGCAGCACTCACAGCTTTTTATCGGCTCTAGCTCTGATCGGCCATGATGGAAATAAAACTCCCGGGTAAATGTGCTGATTTTAGCCCCTTCACCAGTGCAGTGCAATGACTGGCCACCACAAAATACTGTCTGTCTCCAACCAAGCAGCACTCGAACATCATTCTAAATTTAGTCTGCACTGTGTTTGAAAGACTTTGTTTTTTGAAAGTAACCACTGTAACATTCTCACTGGCCTCCATGCTGCTTTACTGTTTTCTGGCCTGCCCCTTCATGTCGAACATGACACACCAGTAAAAAAACAGAAAGGCATTCTCATCTGCTGCAGAGCTGTGTACATGGCTCTAATCTACTGGCAATGGGAAAGAAGTCTGTAGCCTATTTGTCGCGGATGCCTTTAGAAAATGTGCATACTACACTATACTACAATTCTACAATACACTAATTTTGGTGGAAAAGGGGCATCATCCAGTCCACAAGGGGCCTCAAGCGGACTTTATGAAGACTTCTAGAGAGTCTGCCTGAGGTGCAGACCCCAGCAGACTTCACCACAATAACCCACAATTCATTGCAATACGACCGTAATGTTGTGGGGTTTTTTATGTGCTGAAAAATTGGCCAAAAAACAACAAAAGAAGGTCTTCTAATGTCAGTAATGCTCAATTTATTGAGTTATAGTCCTACTTACAAACATTTCTGTTTTTGAATGTGTGTAGCCTGTATGTTATATAGAGATGTATTAATACATTTTGTTTAGTCACAAAAAAGGTTATACATGTGATTTATATCTTGTTATCTCTAGGTACAGATGAGTAGGCACGGTTCATCAACTTATATATGACATTCATATGACAGCAGTGATAGTTGAACGCTTCCACGGCAACGAGTAAAACAGTCGAGGACTGTCTATCAGCTGCTTGCAGTCTCTGCCTTCGCAGACTTTATGTGATGACAGTAAATACATCACACTATGTACAACTGAAGTCCGGGAGGGCTCAGTCCGCAAGTCCGGAGGGTGGACATTTGGATTCAGCCAAAGCAGCAGCAGTGAGTGGGCTGTCCGTTTGGGAAGTACAGAGCATACGACTGGATAAATTAGACTTGGACTATATTGTACGAGTTGTGTGAGATTTGGTAATCGGATGGTTTGATATAGTTTTTCTGTTGTTGAACGTGGACCCTATGGCTTCAATTAATATAAAAATGTTCTGCGTTTTTGGATTCTTCGTTCACCATGGAGGTATGCAAGAAAAAACACTACGTTTTCTTCAGAAATTCAATATAATACAGGGTGAGTAATTGATATACAAATGAACATTTTGTGGGGTGAAGTATTCCTTTAATGTGACCATAATATAAGTTGAGGCCATTTTTGCAATGTTTCTATTATTCAGTAGATAAAGTCCATGATTCACAATGCAATTCAGCGCCTGCGCAGTAATGTTGTGTGATATGTTGTTGTATTTCAGGCGACATTTAAAGGATGGATGGAAATAATGCATGCAGCCGTTGACTCAAGAGGAGTGAGTATGTCTATCTATTTCCAGGCCCAACATCATAAACATGTTACAGTAACCAGCTGATCTATAAAACTGTTTGGTTTCAGGTGGAGGAACAACCCATCCGAGAAATCAACCTCTACATGTACCTCTACTTTGTCGTCTTCATCATATTCGGCTCCTTCTTCACCCTCAACCTCTTCATTGGCGTCATTATTGACAATTTCAATCAGCAGAAAAGAAAGATGAGTATTGAAGACACTGACTTCAGGCATGGAACATTTGGTAAAACCAGGAGGGTGGGCTGAAAAGTGCATAGGCGGACCATGAAACAATGGTCGAATTTGACCAAATGTGATTTATTTTTCAACACAGTCTCCCCTGTGGTCTGCATTCTTTCACTGGTGTTGCAATGCTGGGATCCCCTTGGTATAGAAGCTCTCATCCAAGTCCTCAACAGCAGATATGACCTCATCTTCAGTCCGATAGTGCTTCTCAGCCAAGTGTTACTTCATGTTGGGGAACTAGAAAATGGTCAGAATGGTGCCAAATCAGGAGAATATGGGGGGCGATCAACCAGTTCAAAGCCACAGTCATGCACAGCAGCCGTTGCACCGACGGACGTGTGTGCTGGAGCATTTTCCTGATGAAACAAGACCCCCTTTGTCAGTTTTCCTGGCCATTTTGTCTTGATCGCCTTTCGCAGCTGCCTCAGCAAGTTGGTGTGGTACTGTCCGTTATTGTTTGGCCCTTCTGGAGGTAGTCAATAAACACAATGCCCTTTGCATCCCAGAGAATTCAAGCCATCACCTTCTCTGCCGATGACACCAACTTGGCCTTCTTTGGAGGGGGTGAAGAGGGTGTTTCCACTGCATGGATTCCCTTTTGTCTCTGGCTCAAAGTAGTGGACCAAACACTCATCCTGGGTTGGGAAATTTTCAAGAAAACCAGTTAGATCTGCTTCAAAAAGTGCCAAGTTCTCCTGCAACATGACCAGCCTGGTGTGCTTTTGATCAGGGGTCAAAAGCTGTGGCACCTACTAAGCAGAAACCTTCAGCATGCCAAGTTTGTTGTGCAGAATGTTCTCTACTCTCATCACCATGTGGTGAACACGATCTTGATCGGTGGCTGTGGCAGGACGTCCAGACCTTGGGTCATCTTCAAGGCTCTCCCTACCCCTCTTGAATTCAGCTGCCCACTTTTGCACTGTTGAGAAAGCTGGAGCATCATCCCCTTATGTAGCAACCATGTCAGCATGAATGTCCTTGGGGGGTAACCCCACAGTGCCAAATTTTGTCTATATTCATGAAATGTCTCCAGTGCTAATTTTCAAAGTCTTCAATTAGCTGTCAAATGTAGGTTTACCTTGAAGGAAACAATGCAGTTCATATCAGTAAAGGTTGAATTTAATGCATGCCAAGTTTCGTTGCTCTGACAATACTCCTTTTTAGTCAGCCTATGAACATTTCAGCCCAATCTCATATGACAAATTGTTGCAAATCCTATCTGACCCAGTTTAGACGGAAATAGATTGTGCCCTCTGTTGATCACCAACATTTCATTAAAAATAATGTAAGGTGTTTTTGTATATACTTAGGTGGACAGGATATCTTCATGACTGAGGAACAGAAGAAGTACTACAACGCTATGAAGAAATTAGGATCTAAAAAGCCACAAAAGCCAATACCAAGGCCTGCGGTAAAATAACACTCAAATATAACAAATTCTTAGACATTGCTAGAGTTATGTCCTGCATATTGTCCTGCCTGTTAACATTGGTGTTAATATTGTACTAATAACAGCCGTTTGTGTTTCCCAATCCTAGAATATTATCCAGGCCTTCTTCTTCGATCTTGTGTCCAGGCAAGCCTTTGACATCATGATCATGATGCTCATCATTGTCAACATGGTGACAATGATGGTGGAAACCGACGAGCAGTCGGAGCGCATGGAGTCCATCCTCAACAAGATCAACCTGGTCTTCATCGTCATCTTCACCACTGAATGCCTGATCAAGATCTTTGCCCTACGTTGCTATTTCTTCACCGTAGCGTGGAACATCTTTGACTTTGTGGTGATAATTCTCTCTATTGTGGGTAAGTGAGATACAACATTAACTACTGCCTCTGCAACAGTGTGATCGGGGCCTGATAACATTGCAACATGCATTGCAACTTTTTAGAAAAGCTGCAGTGAAATCAGGCATTTCAGGCTGCAACAATCACAAAAATACCCCAAGATATTCTGGAGGGACTGCTCAGTGTAACGTGACGATGTGATGTTACATATGTACAAAACTTGTATCTCAGTGTTAACTTTTGGTCTCCTGGGTAAAAATTCTGTGTTTGTTTGACCCATCCATCACTCTGACCTTCCTCTCTATGTGGACTTTGTTGCTCTTCATAGTACGTCACCTGACTTCCTCCTTTGCTCCCATCATATGATGGTTAACAGCCTGTAGCCTGCGCGTGATCGCAGCCTCCTGGTGCTTGATTATGTGGTTTATATAAGAATTATAATGAATTACTTTTCAGAGGTATAAACAGTAAGTGAGACCAGCCTGACTTTAGTGTGACTTTGTGCAAAGAGATGAGCCTCCTCTTATCTTGTCTTTCTCTCTCATTCCAGGGATTGTTCTTGCAGACATCATTGAGAAGTACTTTGTATCTCCGACCCTGTTTCGAGTCATCAGACTGGCGAGGATAGGACGTGTACTTCGACTTATACGTGCAGCCAAAGGAATTAGGACTCTACTGTTTGCCTTAATGATGTCCATGCCAGCACTGTTCAACATTGGCCTCCTGCTTTTCCTCGTCATGTTCATCTATGCTATCTTCGGTATGGCGAACTTTGCCTATGTGAAAAAACAAGACGGGATTGACGACATGTTTAACTTTGAGACCTTTGGGAATAGTATGATCTGCCTTTTTCAGATCAGCACCTCGGCAGGCTGGGACAACCTGCTGAGTCCCATCATGGCCAGCCCCCCAGAGGAGTGCGACATTAACTTTGTCAATACTGGCACCAACACCCGGGGAAACTGCGGCAGCCCCTCAGTGGGCATCGCTTTCTTTGTCAGTTACATCATCATCTCTTTCCTCATTGTGGTAAATATGTATATAGCTATCATTCTGGAGAACTTCAGCGTTGCCACAGAGGAGAGCACAGAGCCGCTGAGCGAGGACGACTTTGAGATGTTTTATGAGGTTTGGGAGAAGTTTGATTCGGAGGCCACGCAGTTCATTGAGTTTTCCATGCTGTCGATCTTCGCTGACACTTTGTCTGAGCCGCTGCGCATAGCCAGGCCCAACAAGATCAAGCTGATCTCCATGGACCTTCCCATGGTCAGCGGGGATCGGATCCACTGCCTGGATATCCTGTTTGCCTTCACAAAGCGTGTCCTGGGAGAGTCGGGTGAGATGGACGCCCTCAAGCAGCAAATGGAGGAGAAGTTCATGATGACCAACCCCTCCAAGGTTTCCCACGAGCCCATCACTTCCACGCTGCGCCGCAAACTGGAGGAGGTGTCTGCAATCATCATCCAGAGGTGTTACAGGAGGCATCTGGTGCGTCGGCAGATGAAGCAGGCGTCCTACCTCTACAGACAGATAAACTACGAGACTGTAGTGGATGTGGAGAACGCTCCAGAGACGGAGGGACTGATCGCCTCCATGATGCAGCACTACGGACTCGTCGGGGAGGAGATTGCACAGACAACAGAGGACGCTCTACTGTCCTCGCCACCATCTTATGACAGCGTGACCAGAGCAGCCAGTGAGCTCTCTGAGGTCGTCAGATCATTATCCAGAGACTCTGAACTCGGGGAGCCTGGTGAAAACTACGAGGAAACTTTCCTTTGAGACTCGATTGTGTGGAGAGTGTTTGTGTGGTTTTTGTCTGTTTTGTTTACAGCAGAGAATTTAGCTAAAAATAACTCACGGTCAAAGAGATGAACCTTTTTTATATATCAGTAAATGCCGAGGAAATATGCAATATTTTTAAGTAACTCAGCCTCTGTTTAAATTAAACAACCCAGAAGTCAATTTTGTTACACAGTTTAGACCTCCGTAAGAGGAAGTTTAACTCGTCCTCACACCTTTTTAAAAATTAACATTTGGCAGATAGTTTATAAAATCGAGATAGAAAAGAAATTGCTTAGTTTTATGTATATTAAATATAAATAACACAACACATGAGTATGTTTGACTTACAGACAGAGAATTGTATGAAAAGTTCCAAAAAAATAACAAGAAAACTCATCTGATGCAACAATCACAGGAAATAATCTGCCAAAATTCATCCACACTGCTCATTTTAAACAAACTTCCTGCAATTACTGCATTCTCTGTTTGGGTTAGTTGTAAAGTTTATCAGTTCATCTGTACTGTTTTTGCTATGCATTGAATACAATATGAAATATCCATAAAATATGAGTCACTTTACTCAATGATAGAAAAGGGATCCCTTAAGGAAAAACGTTTGGAACCACTGCACTAAATGAACCGGTTATCACGAGAAAACAAGCTCGTTATATTGAGATAGGGCTGGGCGATATGGACAAAAATTCATATCTCGGTATTCACAGGCTAAACGGGGATACACAACAAACATCTCAGTATTTTCTATGAAATGAGCTACATGTTCAGCTGCAAGTCAAGCCACATTTAAGATATCACACGCACTTTTATAAAAACAGACTGTGATTAAAATAAAATGCAAAGACAGGGATTTTTTTCCCTGTTTGAAGATATACAGCTGCACAACATGTCAATGAAATATGATGTAAAATAGATAGCAGGGCTGTATGTTAACTTTTTGCACACAGCACTGGAGCTACAGAGGTTAAAAGGTTTGCAGCACAGGACACAAAACATAGAGTATAAAAGAATCAAGTAAGTTTGAAACAATTAAAAGTCTTTGTGGGGGAGTTAAAAAGTCATTTTCCATCTGTTGGCCTTTCAAATGAATCTAGTGCTGGAAAATTATTGTCTCAGTCTCAGAATGTCAGAATGTCTCACATGTCACACATTAGACCACAACTACCAAGAAGAACAGCGATGCGCTATGATCCACCTCACACACAAACTAGCAAACACGCTCGCCTGACACGATCAAGCAGTTCTGTCTCCCACACATGCAGCACAGCGCTGTACTGCATGTGTGCTACTGCGGTCATTTCATCCAACACAGACTGATTTAGCGCAGCACGTGCAACATATAGACCAATGTCACACTGTAGACCAATGAACAGACAGATTAAACAGAGGAGCAGCTCTGTGTCTCTCTGAATGCTGCTAACGCCCAGCCCTATACTGAGATAGCCAAATACGTAACTCGTTATGTCAAAATAATGGCTTTAATAGAAATTATTGCAACACGCCGTTCTTGGCCTCCATACTAATGAAGTAAAGAAGCCAACAAGTAAAGTAACGAAAAACAAACTCCGCTAAACATGAGCAATATTAATTCCAGAAAACAAATTTTAGAGTTTGTCAGAACAGATTCAAGCAGCTGTGACTACTAACCTGTGTTTGTGATCAAAACACTATGTTTGAAAAACTATATTTATAGCTCCTTTTCCACTGCATGAAAAACCCGCTTACATCTGGCTTTTGCATGTAATAGGAAATGTTACAATCACCATTCACACCAGGGTCAAATGACTCTGCAGTAGTCAAGGTTATTTATCAGTTCTCAACGGCGCTGATGGAAACACAACACCCGGGTGAACGGGCTAATTTTAGCCACCACAAATTACTATCTGTCTCCACCCAAGCCGCGCTCAAACATCAATCCAAATTCATCTGCACAAAGTTTGAAAGAGAGACTGAATTAGTAAGAGATATATAAAAAGTGACCACTGAAAAGTCTTCACTGGCCTCCGTGTCGCTTTCTACTGTTTACTAACCTGTTTTCCGGCCTGTCCGTGACATCGAACATGGTGCACCAATAAATAACCACACACACAGAAAGGCTTTGTCTGCCACAGAGCTGCGTACACAGCTATGGTCTTCTGGCAATGGTAAAGGAGTTTTCAGACACCTTTCTCAAATATTTAAACCTTTGAACCCTGGGCTTATTGATGGGGTTTATTATGGGGAAAAAAGGCAATGAGCAACTTGGTAATAAATGTCTCACAAATTGCAAAAAATAATAGATTTAGAAAATTATTTAAAAAATAATAACCAGGGTAAAAAAAAAGAAAAAAGCTAGGGCAAAACTATATTTGTAATTATTATTATGACATATTTAAAATTATTAAGCACTCTTTCCAGGTCATTTCCTTGTTTTTTGTTTTTAACTTTATTTCTTTTTTTGGAACTAATTTTCTTGTTTTGAATTTTCTCTTTTTAATAATCTCTTGCAATTTTTGGGGGGTCACTTCTTCTTTCATTGCTCATTGCCTTCTTCCCATGTTTTTGAAAGAAATCAAGACAATTTGCTCAGGTTTCAAAGGGTTGTTTTGGTGCAACAAGGTAAATCATGTGAGAAAAATTAAGCTTTTTCCACACTTTCTACAAACACAGTTCTTTTCTACACATTTAACTGTTTTGATACTGATATAAATTTAACTCTACAACTGCTCAGAGGTTTTCAAACACCAACATACTAAAGTCACAGAGTTAATAAACCTACATACCTGCAGGCTAAAAGCAGAGAATATTGAACAGCACACACTTCCTACCATACATTTCCCAGTGAGCTATCAGGCAGCTATCATGCTATATGGCCAGGTAATGTATAAGAAGTTCATTCATGACTGTAGCTGCGGTGAAGCTCTTATCCAGGTGTTACTGACATGATTTTAACCAAAGCTAACATTTGCTCATAACATTTTAAATATTTACATTTTAAATTTGAAGGAAAAACATATAACTAATTTTATTAATTTATAGTAATTTCTAATGTTTGGGATTTATTTATTTATGAGTGGCCAGTTAAATAATTCCTCTCATATGCATTTTGACTAAATGGAGGTGCTTCATACTGTGTGTGATGACAGAGATATGTCAGCTGGTTAACAAAGCTTCAGGTGTGTTCAGTTCATGACACATATACATTAAGAAAAGCACAATGTCTTGTTACCTTATTATGCAGTGTACACTAACATGACCAAATATACTGAAATGGTTCTGATGAGGGAAAACTATATCTAATTCATTTGTCAAACAGCACATTATTAGTTTAACTTGTATCGATAACAAAGACGAGCTGTGTGTCCTACTAATCCTTGAATTATGTGCCTGATATTGACTGTCGTCCGCACACTCTCTCTGAATCTCTTTAGGCCGTTTAATTTGACCTGATGGATGTGGATCGTTGGAGCGTGAATGCACTGAAAGCTCATTTTGTAATTAACTGTGTAAAGTACTCTGAGGCTGTGTAATGTATGTAAAGCTAATTTTTACCTATTTTTTGTAATGTATTTATATTGAAAGACCGTTTCAGTGACTCTCATGACGGCCATAAGAAGAGATGATCTAATTATATAAATATACTGTGTTCATTTTTATATAAAAGACTTTCCTTGAGAACCTGACTGTCTGTATTACATTTAGGTCGATCATTTCATGGATTGTTTTATTAAATGGTAATAAAACTCTTTTCCATATTAAAAACTTAGCAAAGCTTTTCAATTAGGGCAGGGTGATATGGAGAGAATCAAATATCTTCTTTTTTTTTATCACATACCTTGATGTTGTTATTGTGACAGTATTGTGGGGTTAACCCTTGGTGCTTCTGACAAAATATTAATACAAAGGGAATTTTGATAAATAATTATCAGTACTGTGGATATGACTAAGGATGCTCTCACACCTGTCCTGTTTGGTTTGGTTCAATCGAACTGAGGCCATGTTTACACGAAAACGATCCACTGAAAACAGAATTGTTTCTCATTTTCATTTTGAAAAAGTTCCGCGTTTAGACGACAATGTTTTGATAGCAATCGCCGTGCACATGGATCCGCAAAAATGACCAAGAACGCTGCAGTATATGTGCCAGGTCAGTTGTTGGCGGTGTGACGCTTACGCTTCCTTCTACAGAGCGGCGATGTATAAACAAACAAAATGGTAACCGCACAAACGTTTGTCTGGACGGACAACGAGGTGGAGTTGCTACAGTAAATCTACACTATGATGGGGAAGCGTTGATAAATTCAATAGGGTGAGCAGCACAAACAGAGATCGGGAGTCCGCCGAAAAGTCTCCGTTTTCAGAGGAACTGCATATTGCAAGTTTACATGACAACGGAGACGGTGCCGTTTCCAAAAAATTGCACTCTGGAACGTTGCATTTTCAGGCACCCAAAACGCTGCTGTTGTCAGCCAACAGTCAGCCAACAGTCAGCCAAAACGCAACTAAAGTTTACAGTTTTCAGTTGAAATCGTTGTTGTATAAACAGGACCTCAAGTTCATTTGCCCCCCAAGTGTGGTTTGTTTGGGCAGGTGTGAACACAGCAATCGCGCTTGGGTGCGCACAAAAACAACCAGGCCGAGACCTTCTTGAAGAGGTGGTCTCAGTCTGGTTACAAATGAACTCTGGTGCGGTTTGTTTGTGGTGAGAACTAGTGACTTCAGGGGAGTTGTGATGCTCAAAAAAGCGTATCCACGAATTTACAGATGTCTCTTTTGCCCAAGTCAAGGCTACAGGGCATCACACGACAATGTAGTTACACTGTTTGGCTTCTATGAAAATTGGCTTCAAAGCCTAGTGCACTTCCAGCAGTATTTGACGAGTTGGGACAAGAATGTGTTGAAATAATAGAACAGCTGGAACAGTCTGGTCAGTTCAGAAAATGACATAATACAACCTTTAAAACCAGGAAAAGACCACAAATACAATCCAAAATCAATATAATAGCAGTTGCCCAGCTCTACTTTATAATCGTTAACACATTGCCATTATCTTATTTTAACCATTAACAGTTACGGATATGTGAATGTACTTTATTGTACTGAAAAACAAAAGCTAAATTCAAATCTGTGCAGCATCTCTCCATTTTCACATGAGGAACCAGTTAGCTGATTTGACCTCATTACAAGGCAGGTGCTGTTGAATCTCTCTCTCTCTCTCTCTCTCTGAGTCCATGTGTATAAAAAAAAAAAACAGGACAGATGTGCACAAACCTCTGCATCTCCATGGCTGTCTGTCCCTATGAGTGTATTGCCCTTTAAATCTGTGCTGATTCATATGTTGGAGAGTAGAGGATCATACACAAAGAAGTATCTCACAGTAATTCTGCTGCGTGATTAACCACCAAAAAATTCTACTGATAATAAATAGTGCACAGCCGTAAAAAAAATCAGAAAAACCAAACACGTTTTTTAGCTTTTTGGCCTGTGTGTGTTTCCTGTCTCTAGGATTGCCTTCGTCAAGATATCAGTGAATTGTTTTACGAATAAAATGTTTAGATTTCAGTGCCGAATTCAAGTTAATAGTTGAGAACTCCCACATTTTCAGTTTGGAAAAAAATCATCAAGGGTGCCAATTTGGATTTAGCCCCAAAGAGATTTCCTCTCTCTGGTTGTCAGGGTGGTCAAATCCAACTCTGACCAGCTGGGATAGAGGGATAATCTGTGTGTAAAAAAAAATCACTTGTTTTAATTACACACTCACAGACACACAAATGCACGCACTCTTTCTCTCTCTCTCTCTATCTCTCTCACTCACTCTCACACACACACACACACACACACACACACACACTCATACATACAGTACACATATATGCATTAACACAACCACCACCACACACACACACACACACACACACACACACACAAACACACTATACTTCTGCCATCCATCCTCATAATAGACAGATGCTTACTTTGAATTTAATTTGGGTTTGCGCATAAAGTGCCAGGAAAAATGTGACTTGACTGAATGTGACTTGGTAATTGATCTGATTTTTAAGCGTTTGGACATGTGGCGGAGATTAAAGCTTCATCAGAGAGAGCAAACATTTTAAAAAAGATTAAAAAGGCACTATGTCTAATTACAAAATGCACCCAGCAGCACACAGTAAAACGCAGCAATGTCAACGTAATGCATCACAAATCGTCTACATATACTGTAGGCATGCTAAACTCTAATACATAAGACATTTGTTGAATTGCATGTTCCGTGTGTGCCATTTATTCAAATGACATTTAGTTAAACAGAGGTCATGAGTCATCATCAGTCAGAGGTCGGTGAGAATGTAATTCATTTTTATTTTTCTACATGATGATCTTTATATCTGCCCGTCGCTGCAATGAACTTAAACATGTTAAATATGTATAAACTGCTCAGTCTGTCCTAATCATTTTATATATTATTAATATTATTATTTAAAGACTACGCATAAGAAAAATTACCTGTAAACATTAAACCAGTTTGTAATGTTTTAAGGGGAAGCAGCCATTTGTGGTAGGCGAGTGGTTTGTATGGAAGCCTATTGATGCCAAAAAAAAAGTACATAAAAGTAATAAAAAAGTGTGCTTATAAATTTAGAATTAGTCAAAATCATCGCAAGTCAAACTTTTTATTTTTCTACTCTTTTAATAATTTTTATATTTACTTACTCATAATTTTGACTTAACGCCTCATTTCCACTTTGCATGTGACTGGTGTCCATAGATCTGTAACTATACGGATGATGCTTCTAGTGTCCAACGCAAGGAAGTGCATTTCTTTACAGATGGATAGAAACCTGATAGAAACTACCTTTGGGGTAGGATCTAATTTGTCCATTGTTCACTGCAAAGTAGTTTGAAATACGCGCTAGGATCATTTCCGGGACAGAAACAGGGCCTGCTAGGTACACAACATGTTTTGTGAAAAATTTAATTGAAAAGACGAATAACCGCCTGAAGAAGTCATCATGACTGACTGTATTATATATAACCATATTTTAACAGAACAACATAACTCAGATTCACAATGAACAGGCAACTGAACTTTAGAGAATTGTCTGTTGTTGTTAGCCTAATGTTAGCCAGTTAGCAGCCTGTTAGCTAGGCTAGGACATTGTCATACAGTCTCTCCGAAATCCACCGCATTAGGTCAGTGTTTTTTTTTAGCATACTCGAGGCAAAGTCCGGATTGAAATAATATGACTTCGGCTTCATTTGTCTCCGTACACATACGTAAGTGGAAACGAGGCGTTAAGTCTGCAGCAACTGGTTTTAAGTTCAAATAGAAAGCACAACATTAGCATTCAGTCTATTTTTTTGGACACTTGGCAAATGTAAATCCAATGATCACTCTTCTGCTTTAAAGTGGAAACAGATTACTTGTAAGCTTTTCCTGACTTGCGTTTCCAAGTAGTATTATTGTTAGCGCCACTGTCGCAAAGACAACCGGATCGCCATCCATTTTCCTTGGAGCCAAAGATGAAAAATACGAAGACAAGACCTTGTTATTCTTCATGGTAGCAGCCCTGTTGACCAGTTTCCCTCTGCTGTGTGACTTCTTGTGATAGAAGTGCAATAAATTATATAGGGCATTAAATGTAAGGTTGCAACTTTTACTAAAATCCAACTTTGAACTTAGCCCTCATACCAGTTGTTGCAGCTGGTTGCATGTTATACTGTAGCTCTGTGCTGCTGGCTGGCTGATTGTGGGTGGCAGAGTAAAAATCGAGGTTAGTCTCACTAAAAGGGTGAGTCCAAAATAGAGGAAATAGCCTTTTTAAGTACAAGAGGGCCCTTCTGTCAGTCAACATGCACTGCGGGGATTTACTTGGTGTCATGGTGGCTAACGCTGCCCAGATGGTCTGATGAGGCACTATCTAATTACTTTTCCCATGGTTCCTCTTTTTCTGATGAATACTGACAGGGCCCTAGCTGTTGGAAAGCCATCACTGCCACCACCAGGGGATTCACGCACCTACAGCAGCTCCAGGTGAGACTCTGGCTGGTGTGTAAATCTGGAGCCAGACAAAAGGCCAACAACATGAAATACCTAACATCAAACTGGAGAGCATTTGGAGGAGATTTCACTCACATAAATGAGTTAACATTTAGGACAAATATTGATCCACTGCATTGTTAATGATAATAATAATAATAATCACACAAACATGTTTGTACCTTTGTTAATTTTACTATATAAAATTCAGCGTAATTTTAATATAAAATTCTCTGCGTAGTTCAGTTTGATCTCAGGTTTTACATCAGTCTCACAGATTGCAGGTCAAATGTAGGTTGTAATAGCCTACATGATTATACACCGGTCACTTTACCAGGTTGGACCCCTCTTGCCTTCAGAACTGCCTTAATTCTTGGTGTCTTGGATTCAATAGGCCCGTTTCCACTGAAGAAGTTCCTGGTACTATTTTGGGGGCAGGAACTACTACAGGAACGTCCTCTCGCTCGGCCCTCTGTACCGCCGTGTCTCCACTGAGAGAGCGGAGTACGAGGAAGGTTCCTGTAAAGTTACGGGCTCTGGATGTGACGTAATCGTTGCGCGACCATTTACCGGGGTGACATAGGGACGCCGTTAGCTGATAGCCCTTAGCGGTGTCTGTAATAACTCACTAAATGGCCCGTGAAAAAAAATATTTTTTCCAGCGGATGTCTTAGTTACAACATGATTGAGCTATCTGGAGTAGTTTCATGTCGTATCCAACAACAGGAGGCTTTTAACAGATGATGTCCTGATGTTAGCTTTGCTGCTGCTGTTAGCTGGCCCTGTCAGTTTTACAATGGTGGTCTGTGGAGAATAAGCTTTTTGGGACGCAGGGGATTTATGCGCTACAACACAGCGAGTGGCCACTGGAGATATTTGCTTCAAGGTTAAGTGGCTTTTCTGGGGGTCTGATTAGTCCCTGAACCCCACACCTGGGATCTCATTTAGAAAACAGTACGTAAGACCCATACTAAAAATGTACATACCAAGAGCCAAAAATGGTGTGCGCCAAGAAATATTCTATAATTTCTCCAATCAGGTTTCAGCTTCACCATCTGCATCTGCAATTTCCCGTTGCAAAAATGTTCGTAAGCATGGGTCAGAGTTTCTTGCAATGAGTCTGTTTTCATAGATCACAACTGTTCCCTGGGAAGTGGCGTACGCCTCTTTCAGGCCTTGTTTTGTGCGTATGTAAAGTTTATAAATGAGCCCCCTGGAGTTTGCACTGGTTGAATTCAAGTTTCTACAGCACCTAAGGTCTGAGCTGCCGTCCACTCCCTTCCCAGAGAAGTGGTGTTAGTGTTTTAGAAGGGGAGTGAGGCGGAGGGTCAGTGGGCTAGCCATAAGATATATTTCCATCCAAAAGTGATTTGAATCATTGGGAAATGCGCATTAAAAGAAATACGAATCCTGTGTGTTTCCATTAAATGTACGGACTTTGGTGAAAACTACAAACTCGCGTGAGTTTTCTGCAGAACCGGAAACAAAACAAGTCTCGAATTCTTCTTCTTCTACGTATTCTGGCGGCCTTCCCACCTTCCCGACCCGGAGTGTGGATATCACCATGGAGAGAGGTGCACTACGTCAGACTTAATTCGAACATAACTGTTTCCATCCCCCGTTTTGCGAATCAACATTTTTTCGAATCAACCAAAACCCGGCTAAAGCCAGCGTATTTTAGTTTGTGCGAATCAGGGGATTTTAATTCGAATTTTGGCGTTTCCATCATAATTTTCCGATGCGATACTTCTAAATGCGCATCTAAACAGGCTGATGGAATCATGGCTATGACCGTAAAAGGGGGCTAATTAGCTAGCTAGCTAATTCTCATCTTATTTATGGTCTGATAAACAGTAAGTTCATCAAATACAGTACCCCATAGCATAATATCAGTGCCTCCTGTGCTGAAAAGAAATCCCAGCGCTACAGGAACCACTTGCATTTAAAATACATTCTGATATGGTGGTTTAATCTGGCTATTGTTAGCTAACATTAGCTTGCTTGCTGAGGCAGAGGAATTGCTAGCTTGCTAACATAGTAAAATACTGTCTCAGGTGATTAACGTCATTTGATTAATCTAGACTGCAGGGCTAATATGGAGGGTAAATTAGCTAGCTTGCTGTTTTCAAATTAATTTATCAGCTAACGTTATTAAACAAACAAACGCCACATCCTCGCAGTGTAGCTTACTTACAGCTAGCTGGCTAACGTTTGCTTGTTTGCTAGCCTAGCCTAGTAAAACTATCTGAGTGGATTTATCAGTTGACTAGCTTGTCAACTTACTTTCCCAGCTGACATAATCCATGATACTAAGTTATATAAAACAGTATTAATTTAGCCAACAATAAATGATTAATATAATGATGATAATGATAACTATAACAGCACAAAGCGCTTTCTTCTAGCCGAGAGCGATGCAGCAGCAACCTGCAAGGTAACAAGTTTTGTATAAATACTTGTAAAAACTTTTTTTTTTTTTTTTTTAATAAATTGTCATTGAAATCTTTCAAAATTTCTGCTTGGAATAACATCCACAAACCTTACTAAGATAATAGAGGCTCTTTTTCTTAGTGTTTATCTTTTAAATGTCAATTATTATGTTTGTGATGGACTCAAGTACAAGTTCATGTTAGATTTATATGCGGTTTTTTATTGTCAGGAGCAAACACATTGCAGTTGTAAGCAATGTATTGTATTGTTTGATGTGTTTCTTAAAGACCCTTTTAAAATATGTTTTAGGGCTTCAGAGAACAAATAATGTCACTGTAGAGGGTACAATGAGGACAGATCTGACAACACAGGATGACGAGTCATTTAGTAAAAACAAGAATTTTTGCAACATAGTGCTTACACAATGTTAAGTGTGAAACCTTTTTACATACCACTATCAGTACAGGCTAGTTGCATCAATACCCTTAAATTCAATTCCCTTCTGTGTGCGGCATAAGAGCAGTTGTGCCTGAAAGCCTCACCCTGCTTCTATTTTCAGGAATACAATCATAATTTGATAAAATTGGCATTTGGTAATCACATGAATTAGACAGTCTTGTTCTGCACTACACTGTGAGTTTTCAAGTGTCTCTTCAGGTGATTGAGGCATGTGTAAGTCTTTACACACAGGTGACAAGCGTAGGGTCTCACCCCTGTATGGTTCATGTTATGTTTCTTTAATTCACTGCCACGTGAAAAACCTTTCCCACATTCAGAACAGATGTAAGGGCGCTCTCCAGTGTGAACACGCATATGAAGTGTCACTTTACTCGCCATGGTGAATCCCCGCTCACATACAGTACACTTGTATGGCTTTTCCCCAGTGTGGGTTCGTCTGTGTATCTGCAGCTCGCCGGCTGAAACAAAAGCCTTGCCGCAGTCGGAGCACAGATACGGTTTCTCTCCAGTGTGGGTCCTTATGTGTATGTTCAGGTTTCCTGATACAGAGAAACGTTTTCCACAGTACGTGCACTGAAACGGCCTCTCGCCTGTGTGACTGCGCATGTGAAGGTTCAGGTCATGCTTGTTTTTGAAGGCTTTGCCACAGCGTGTACAAATCTGTGTTCTCTGTTGTCTGTGGCGCAGCTCATGGGCTGTCAAACAGGCAACAGAGCTGAAGACTTTCCCACACTGCATGCACTGATTGGACAGCTTGGGAGGATGAATCTTTTGGTGGGTTCTCAGCTCACTCATAGTGGGGTATACCTCCCCACACTGTCTGCACGTGAAGACACGGTTCTTAGTGTGAGTCAGCTCATGCTTACTCAGCAGATGCATTTTCGTAAATCTTTTTCCGCACTGAGAACAGTCAAACTTTTGGATGCTATGAACACACTGATGTCTAAATTTGTCCTGTATTGATTCAAAGCTATTCCCACATTTGATGCAGATATAAGCTGCTTTTGTGCACTGCGTCCTCCTGTGAGTTGACAGGTCAGAGGTCCTCCTGAAGGCTTTTCCACACTGAGAGCACTTGTAAGGGTTTTCTCCCGTGTGCAGCCTCTGATGCTCCAGAAGTTCGTAGCGGTAAATGAAGCACTTTCCACACTGAGTGCATTTATGTGCAACTCTCTGCCGTGGAGGGCCCATCATAGAGCTGGACATTACAGGACTCTCAGCAGATGTAGGGGGAGCTCGGCAGGTGTCTGAAGCTCCGTCATTATTCTCCTCTCCAAAGTTCACATCAGAAATGTTGTCACTACATTTCTCTACTGTTGTTTGTTCTGCATTGCTGCCATTCTGAATGTTTGTTTCCTCCTCAGACAGCCATCTTGCATCCTGTATTCCCATATCTCCTGCATCCTGAGGAGAAATCCCCTCAGATTCTCTTTGGTTTTGAAATGTTTGTGTGTTAGAATCTGCATCTTTGGCGTTGGTCTCTTGCGGTAAAGGAGGGAGAGATAATGATGAGAAGAGCCGCTGCTCTGAGGGGGAGGGCACTGTTGGAAAAGAGAAATTCAAAATGTGAGACAATGATTCATTTACACTCCACCATGTAAAGGTGATGACTTAATCCAAACCTAAAGACATCAATTTACAATGTAGAAAGAAAAAAATCCTCACATTTAACAAGCTGGAACCAGCAAATGCTGCTTGAGAAATCACTGTCTGGCGATCTGACTCATCGGTTAGTTGACAGATTGTTTCAGCGTTAATATGCATATAAAAATCTGGTTGGTAGCTGAGGCAGACTGACTTACCACTGGTATCCATCTTGGCCATTTTACCACTGTGGGCTTTGCTTCTGAGCAGCACTTTGAGGTCGTCTGCTTTGGATACACACTGCATGTACTCTTCCAACACAGAGGGTGTATCGCTGATCCACACTGCAGTCTGTCAAACAAACAAAAGTATCATCTTGATGGACTGGAACCAGACAAACCAACCTCTGGAAATGCTTTGTAAACTGTGTCATTGTGTCTTTACCTGCTTAAAGTCTGGTATAAGCAGCAATTCTTCTAGTCTGGTGAAGAACTCACAAACCAGTGTCTCCAGAGCTGTATCAAAGTCAGACCCATACTCCACAGGAAACACATTCTGTGAGGTGAAAAATATCAACCCAAAGCATGGATGTAAAACGTCATGTCACCGCATCATTTCACAATAAAACAAACTGCTAACGATGAGGTGAACGCAGAGACACACCTTCAGGAAGTGCTCTCTCCCTTTCGGGTCCTCCAGGAGTCTTTGAACAAGTCTGACAAAGTTGGCCTCAAGAGCTTCATTTCCTGCATGAACCTGTCAAGTAAAACATACACACACAAAATAAGCACAACGTTCCTTCTACAGTTATTTAATGTCCAGGTTTGAAGAAGTCACACACCTGTTTGGAGCTGGATGGCAGGAGGCTGTTCAAGCATGATTTTACACCTCTGAGATCCTCTGACTGATCAGAGCTTAACATCTGTAACATCATCTGGAAAAGCCATGTAGACATGATACAAATATTAATTTCTAAAGCTCAAATCTGCTGATAATTAAGCAGCATACTGATATAGAGTCCATCTGTACCTCTTACCTTTGCTCTTAAGCCCAGTGTGAGCAGTCTCATCTGTCTGTCTGTCAAAATGTCAGGGATGGCTTCAGTTATCAAAGACATAAACTCCTCCACTTTCCCATAATGCACAATGTTCCTCAGACGAACCACCTTCCACATCACAGCCGACATCATCCGCAGAGGTGGAACCAGGAGCCTCAGCGAGGACAGAGGCAGCGGACCCTCTGTAAGGAGGAGCAGAATACTGCACTTAAAATATATGTTCACAGCATCTTTACTATAATTTACAGTCTCAACTCTGTTTGCAGAGACAACAAGTGATGAACACACAGCTCATACAATCACACTTCAGTCACACCAACAAAGCGGTCTGTTCATCTTTTTGCACACATATAACATATTCTCTATGATCAGGCAGTGATCATATAAACCACACAGGGTGTAACAACAATAGAAAACAATGTGTGTAGCATTAGTTTTTATTGATCATATTATTGAGTACAGAATATGGAAGTTTTCTGAGCCTGTTGATGTGTTAAGTCTTGACCTTTAAAAAAGAAAAAGACTTTAAACTCAGTAGAACTTTTACTAAGTTAGTAAAATTTAAAGAAGAAATGAAGCTAACTAAATATATCACTTAAGGTGCCAAAAAAATAGTATATTTATATTCCACATTATGCATTTGCATTTATAACATTCCTGTTTACATTCAGCTTATTCATTTGTATATACTTTCTACTATAAATTTACATTTGATTTATGTCATTATCCCTATATTTTAACTTGCAATATTTTGTCTTAGATTCTAATTTTTTTTATTATTTATTTATTTTTTTCTTCTCTCATTCTCTTATTTTGGGCATATCTAATAAGAATTGTTGAAGGGAGCCTGAGACCCAAGATTTTCACTGACTACTTCTGTACTTTTTGTGCATACCATGAAACTTAGTTGTAATATGTGTGAGAGCAAGAGATGTGCAACAAAATCTGCCCCTCAACAAAGCAGAAAAGTTAATTCTTCTTTTCTTTTTATGCCCCAAATTAGATGTATATAGCAGTGGTAGAATGTAACTAAGTACCTTTCCTCAGTACTTAAGTACAAATTTGAAGTACTTTTACTCAACTTGAGTATTTTAAGGTCTTTACTAAATTTTGGAATCCAACATAGTATTTTTTTTACTCCACTACATTTATTTGACAACATAAGTTACCATTTACTTTGCAGATTAGGATAATTAATACAAGTATATTCAACAAATATGAATGCATTAATGTATATGTAAAACTTAGTTGTTCCAGCTACCAGCTGCAATTTAGAGTGATGTTCACATTAGTTCATCAATGATTATAATTCTATAATGCATTAGCTTATATAATATTCTGAAAAGGGCCATTTCGCACAATGAGTACCTTTTAGTTTTTGTTATTTGAGTATATTTTGATGCTGATATTTTTTTCACTGTTACTTGAGTAAGATTTTGAATGCAGAACTTTTACTTATAGCAGAGTATTCCTGTGCTGTTGTACTGCCACTGTAACTTGTACTGTAAGATCCGACTATTTCTTCTACCACTGAAATAAAGTAAAAACTGCCATTGCTTCTCTTTATAGCGTCACATGTATCTAAAATACCTCTAGGTTTGATTATGACTGTTATTAGTTTTAAGTCAAAAGTTGCTGCTAGCAGGTAAGCTAATGTTAACATCATCACAACAAACAGATATAACCCCAGGAAAATCCAAAAAATTACCCATATTGTTCCCCCGAGGAGCTATGATAATTGAATTAACACTGACGAATGTTTCCTTATGAAGAAAATCCTCTTTCTGCAGTTACTAGCCCTGAAAGTTAGCTTCCAGCTAACCAAGCACCTCGCTATTTGTTGTCAAATGCAGCTTCCTGCTTCTACTTCTTCGTGTTGTGTTTATTCTGTTAACATCCGGTTTCTTTACCGCCACCGTCTGCCACAAACATGGACGTGCTATTAGAACATAGCTACTGTCGCTGCCCGAGCCCTGCTTATGACCAGCGAGAAGCAAATAGAGGTGCCTGGTTAGATTGCACTAGAAGCTCATTATCACAGAAAGAAGAGTTTATTAATTCAGTCTTAATTCAACTATCGTAGCTCTTCGGGGGAACACAATGGGTAACGTTTCGTATTTTGCCTGGGTCATATGGGTTTGTTTTGATGTTGTTAGCTTGCATGCTAACAGCAACTTCTTACCTCTCCTATCAAACAAATAATAGTGATAACAAAACCTGGGGTATTTTAGATAAATTAGATAAAACACGACAGAGAGAAGCCACTGCAACTTGCTTTGTGTTAGATTTATTTAATATGGGGCATATTATATCCAACTGAAGTTTCCCAATTTCATTGAGAGACTGCTGCAGTTGTGCATCTGTAGTCCCATTTAAGAGCAGCATATTATTCTATTCAAGTCATTTTAGTAAAACGTTATTTATTCCAACTGTGCCAGAGAATGCTTTAAATTACAGTAACACAAAACACAGTAACAATAATTAACATTCACAACTAGTAACAACCAGAGCCACCAATGGGTCACTAACTGAGTGTTAAATATCAGGCAGAATATTCAAAATGTACAACATATAAAGTGTTTAAGGAGCAAAAAGTAGTGCCTAACAGAGTAACAATAGATAAAAATGAACTAAAATGGTGAAAAAATGCAGACGGTGCCTGATAATGAATGTTATATTGAATTTGATATGACAATGAGAAGTAGTATTGAACATAATTTTGAGAAAATTATATTGCGCCACACTGACAAGTGATAATGGTATTGACAAGTAATACTGCACAAGATATTAAAAAGTATCATTGTACATCATATACAGTAATAGTGCCCCTAATGTAGGTGAATATTGTTGTTAGTGTCCTTTGTCTCAGCTCTCCTCCCTACAGGAGTTAAGAGTTACACAGTTTGATGTCCACAGGTAGAAAACATCTTCTGTGGCGTTGTGTGGTGCTCCTCTGTGGTCTCAGTCTGTGGCTAAATGTGCACTGATATGACTCCAGGGTGGCATGCAGGGGGTGAGAGGAGTTGTCCAGGATACTGAGTTGTTTTCTCAGTATCCTCCTCTCTGACAGCTCCACTAGAGACACCACTTCCACTCCCCGGACAGAACCAGCTCTCCTGATGAGGTTATTAAGTCTGTTAGAATCATCAGCTGCCTTCACCCTGCACTCTTCCGTATAGAAGATGACGCTGGCTTCCAATGAGTGATAAAACATCTGCAACATGGTTCTGCAGACATTGAAAATCTGAGTCTCCTGAGGAAATACAGGCGGCCCTGACCTTTCTGTCATGACTAAGTTTCAAGTTCTATCAGAAGCGCTGTCAATGAAAATCCTGGGTCTCGGGCTCCCTTTAACAATTCTAATTAAAAATGAAACTAAGACATAAAGTAGCACAAGTTAAAATAAAGGAGTAATAACGTAAATCAGATATAAAGTAATTTAAATCTGTAGTAGACCGTATATGCAAATGAATAAGCTGAATATTAAACAGGAATATAGTAAATCAAAATGCATAATGAGGAGTATAAAAATACTTCTATATTACTGTGCTCTATTGTGAATTTTACACATTCTCTAATTAATATTTTTGCACATCCGACACTAAACTGCAGCTTTTTAATGTTCTGACACAGCTGTAATATAAATAGTTTTTATGCTGTGGTACTTTTTTAAACTATCTTTGCCATATTTTGATTTTAAATTTTCTAGTACTTTGCCTTAGTTTTATTTCCTCTGAATATGTTTATTGTATGTTTTATCTTTGCACCAAGAACCAAAGTAAATTCCTTGTAAGTGACAAGGAAAATATAAAAGAAGGAACGGTCATGACGACAGTAACAGTGTTCGAGAAGCCAGACTTTGGTATCAGTTCTATTAGAGTCAATGAGCTGGGCACTGCAAATCACACTTTAACCCATCATATCTTTGTTGTTTTACCTTTGGCTGAAAAATCCTTCCACCAGATTAAAAAACACTCATAATGTTATGTCAGCTGACTTTTTTTTAATCCAAATATGTGTGTTAGTTGCCCTTGTTATTGGTCTCCTTACAGATCATTGATGTGTCAAGCAGCTGGATTTCAGCCTCTGCTGAACAGAGCCATGATCTGTTTGAGGCTGACACTTAACACATCCAAACACATCAACAGGCTCAGAAATTGATAAAAACTAATGCTACATGCAGTCTTTTCTGCTGTTGTCACCCCCTGTGTGGTTTATATGATCACTGCCTGATCATTCAGAATACATGTGTGCAAAAAGATGAGCAAGCCACTTTGTTGGTGTGACTGAAGTGTGATTGTATGAGCTGTGTGTTCATCACTTATTCTCTCTGAAAACAGAGTTAAGACTGTACATTATAGTAAAGATGCTGTGAACATATATTTTAAGTGCAGTATTCTGCTCCTCCTTACAGAGGGTCTGCTGCCTCTGTCCTCGCTGAGGCTCCTGGTTCCACCTCTGCGGATGATGTCGGCTGTGATGTGGAAGGTGGTTCGTCTGAGGAACATCGTGCATTATGGGAAAGTGGAGGAGTTTGTGTCTTTGATAACTGAAGCCATCCCTGACATTTTGACAGACAGACAGATGAGACTGCTCGCTCTGGGCTTAAGAGCAAAGGTGAGAGGTACAGACGGACTCTATATCAGTATGCTGTTTAATTATCAGCAGATTTGAGCTTTAGAAATTAATATTTGTATCATGTCTAAATGGCTTTTCCAGATGATGTTACAGATGTTAAGCTCTGAACAGTCAGAGGATCTCAGAGATGTTAAAACATGCTTGAACAGTCTCCTGCCATCCAGCTCCAAACAGGTGTGTGACTTCTTCAAACCTGGACATTAAATAACTGTAGAAGGAACGTTGTGCTTATTTTGTGTGTGTATGTTTTACTTGACAGGTTCATGCAGGAAATGAAGCTCTTGAGGCCAACTTTGTCAGACTTGTTCAAAGACTCCTGGAGGACCCGAAAGGGAGAGAGCACTTCCTGAAGGTGTGTCTCTGCGTTCACCTCATCGTTAGCAGTTTGTTTTATTGTGATGCGGTAACATGACGTGTTACATCCATGCTTTGGGTTGATCTTTTCCACCGCACAGAATGTGTTTCCTGTGGAGTATGGGTCTGACTTTGATACAGCTCTGGAGACACTGGTTTGTGAGTTCTTCACCAGACTAGAAGAATTGCTGCTTATACCAGACTTTAAGCAGGTAAAGACACAATGACACAGTTTACAAAGCATTTCCAGAGGTTGGTTTGTCTGGTTCCAGTCCATCAAGATGATACTTTTGTTTGTTTGACAGACTGCAGTGTGGATCAGCGATACACCCTCTGTGTTGGAAGAGTACATGCAGTGTGTATCCAAAGCAGACGACCTCAAAGTGCTGCTCAGAAGCAAAGCCCACAGTGATAAAATGGCCAAGATGGATACCAGTGGTAAGTCAGTCTGCCTCAGCTACCAACCAGATTTTTATATGCATATTAACGCTGAAACAATCTGTCAGCTAACTGATGAATCAGATTATCAGACAGTGAATAAATGCTGGTTCCAGCTTGTCAGATATGAGGAATTTCTGTTTTTCCTCTCTTAATTTTAAATGTATATCTTTGGATTTTGGACAAAGGTTGTCAAACAAAACAACCAATTTTAAATCCATTCATGAGGAGTACTTTTGGAACATGCAGCAGCTGCTCCTCTCATTTATCGATGTGATCGGATCTGCTTTTAATCGGATCAGCACATCAGTTATCCCTGCGACTAGAGCTCCACAAAGTGCTGCTGGGTAAAAAATAAACTCACCGGTGCTGCGTTCATTGACCTACAAAAACGTTTATGTAGTGACCATAAGTTTTAATAGCAGCCACAGTGTAGAAATGATAGCACCACTTTGAAAAGTAACTCTCTTAAACAATGGAATGTAAATGAATAATTTTCTCACTTTATACATTTCTCTTTTCAAACAGTGCCCTCTCCCTCGGAGCAGCGACTCTTCTCATCGTTATCTCTCCTTCCTTCACTGCCAGAGACCAAACATGCGGAATCTAACACGCAAAGATCTCAAAACAAAAGAGACTCTGAGGAGGTTTCTCTTCAGGACGCAGAAGCAGCGAACAATGCAGAACAGGAAGCAGGAGAGAAATGCAGTGATGGAACTTCAGACACCTGCCGAGCTCCCTCTACGTCTGGTGAGAGTCCTATAATGTCAAGCTCTATGATTGTTCCTCCGCGGGAGAGAGTTGCACACAAATGCACTCAGTGTGGAAAGTGCTTCATTTACCGCTATCAACTCCTGAAACATCAGAGACGGCACACGGGAGAAAACCCTTACAAGTGCTCTCAGTGTGGAAAGGCCTTTAGGACGACCTCTGACCTGTCAACTCACAGGAGGACGCAGTGCACAAAAGCAGCTTATATCTGCATCAAATGTGGGAATAGCTTTGAATCAATACAGGACAAATTTAGACATCAGTGTGTTCATAGCATCCAAAAGTTTGACTGTTCTCAGTGCGGAAAAAGATTTACGAAAATGCATCTGCTGAGTAAGCATGAGCTGACTCACACTAAGAACCGTGTCTTCACGTGCAGACAGTGTGGGGAGGTATACCCCACTATGAGTGAGCTGAGAACCCACCAAAAGATTCATCCTCCCAAGCTGTCCAATCAGTGCATGCAGTGTGGGAAAGTCTTCAGCTCTGTTGCCTGTTTGACAGCCCACGAGCTGCGCCACAAGCGACAGAGAACACAGATTTGTGTGCGTTGTGGCAAAGCCTTCAAAGACAAACACGGCCTGAATCTTCACATGCGCAGTCACACAGGCGAGAGGCCGTTTCAGTGCATGTTCTGCGTGAAACGTTTCTCTGCATTAGGAAACCTGAACATACACATAAGGACCCACACTGGAGAGAAACCGTATCTGTGCTCAGACTGTGGCAAGGCTTTTGTTTCAGCCGGCGAGCTGCAGATACACAGACGAACCCACACTGGGGAAAAGCCATACAAGTGCACTGTATGTGGGCGGGGATTCACCATGGCAAGCACACTGACAATTCATATGCGCATTCACACTGGAGAGCGCCCTTACATCTGTTCTGAATGTGGGAAAGGTTTTTCACGTGGTGGAGAATTAAAGAAACATGCCATGAAGCACACAGGTTTGAGACCCTACGCTTGTCAGCTGTGTGCAAAGACTTACACATGCCTCAATCACCTGAAGAGACACTTGAAAACTCACAGTGTAGTGCAAAACAAGACTGTCTAATTCATGTGATTACTTTATGCCATTGTATTAATGTTGTAGTCATGCAATGAGCCTGTCCTGTTTGCGGTGTTGACTGTAAACTGTGTAAAAGGTTTCACACTCACCCTCTTGTAAGGACTATGTTGCAAAAGCTCTTGTTTGTACCGATGATTCCTTATCCTGTGTTGTCAGATCTGTCCTCATTGTACCCTCTACAATGACATCTAAGTGTATTACTTTTGTTTTCTGAAGCCTTAAAACACATGTTAAGAGTCTCTATGAAAACATACAACAAACAATACATTCCTTGAAACTGCAGTGTGTGTATGACTCTCTTGACAACAGAAGACTTTGTACTTGAATTCAACATAAAAATCCTGCAGTGGTCTTGCACAATATTTGTGATAAATGTAACATTAATAAATTAGAAAACAGAAAGTTACACACTTAATACTCCTGATAGGGGTTTCTAGATTTATTACATGCAGAAATTATAATGTTAGTGACAAATTCTTAGAAAATTTATGTATTACCTTAGAATTACACTTTAGGTTTTAGTTTTTTGAGATCTATGACTTTATGCATTCAATAGATATTCTTCCCTCAAAATTTGGCAGCAAAATTGTTAAAAATCTGTGCTAGTTAGCTCATCTCTATCTCCAATGTATTTGTGGTTGTGAGGCTGGTTGGATGTGCTGCCAAAATAACGGAAATAACTCTTGAGGTGGCTTATGGTAGCGAAATGAACATTCAGTTCACGGGCAACAGCCCTGGTGTACATTGGTTATAGTAGCAGTGAAATGAACTGAATGTGAAGTCGTTTCTGTTCATTTGGCAGTACATCCAACCAGCCTCACAACCGCAACAACATTGGAGATGGCTTATGGTGGTAAAATGAACATTAAATTCACAGGCAACAGCTCTGGTGGACATTCCTTATAGTAGTGAAATGTTTATTTTATTTAGAAAGGGACAGTGCACATCAATGAACATGATCACCTAAGTCATGTAAATGTGCCAGATTTAGCCATACAGCCTAATTTTCATCTGCAGTCCCTGGCAGGTTGATGGTGTAAATGGTCTGAATGTAAAGCCATTTCCCTTAATTTGCCAGTACATCCAAAATGTGCAGAGTCATCACACAACACAATGTCACAGATTCCACAAGTTTTGAGGAAGTATGCCGTTGGTATGCTGACTGCAGGAATGTCAACCAGAGCTGTTACCTTTGAACTGATCATTCATTTCACTACCATAAGCCGTCTCCAATGTCATTTCTGTTAATTTGGCAGTACATCCAACTGGCCTTACAACTTCACCTGATGAACTGCTGTTTTGTGCAGAAATTCTTTCTCTGTGCAAACCAATTGTTGCACCTGCTCCTCAGGTCGCTGGTCTTATACCATCTCTCAGGTGAAGATGTGGGATGTGGAGGTTCATAGCTGGTGTAGCTACATGTGGTTGTGAGGCTAATTGGATATTCTGCCAAAATAACAGAAATTACTTCAAATTGGGTTCATTTCACTACCATAAGGAATGCCCACTGGAGCTGTTGCCCTTGAACTAAATGTTCATTTCACTACCGTGATGCTGGGTTCACATGATATAATATCAGCCCAGTTATATCCAGATGCAGCGTCACATGGTGTCGGCTCTGATCATGAATGACAAAGAATGTCGTACGCGATAATCCATAATTTCATTTTATGTAGTGTCATAGTAAACAATCAATGCCACATTCAGGACGCCTCATGTCCCGATAGAAAGTCTAGCATGTTTGGTTTTCTTTTTGGTGTTCACGACTTCTTCCACAACAGCCTCCACTTTGACCAATAGAACCACACAGAGATCTGCTGCCGTAGACAACTGTATGACAACAACACCCTGATTTTATTGATATTTCTTCTAGGCATGCTACCATGACACAGTAAAAAAGGAAAAATGTCACTTCCAGTAATTTGGCAGTACATCCAACTGACCCCAGTGAGGACTCAAGCATGCAGTTGAGCTTCCCTAAGACGGTTTGTGTGGATATTCTTAAGTTGTGCAAACCAGTTATTGCATCAGCTGTTCAGGTGGCTGGTCTCAGACCATCTCTCTGTTGCTTTTGAACTGAATGTTCATTTCATTACCATAAGCTGTCTCTAATGTTGTTTCTGTTAATTTGGCAGTATATCCAACCTGCCTCACAACCACAGACCACATGTAACCACACCAGCTCAGGACTTCCACATCCAGTGTCTTCACTTGAGAGATCATCTGAGACCAACTACCCGAACAGCTGATGCAATAATTTGTTTGCACAACTGAAGAATTTCTGCACAAAATGTCAGAAACTGTCCCAGGGTTAGGGTTAGGTTAGGGTTAGGTAAGCTCATCTGCATGCTTGTCATCCTCACCGAGGTCTTGACCTGACAGAGGTTAATCATCTGAACTGACGTGCGGTTGTGAGGCTGGTTGGATGTACTGCCAAAATCAGGGAGACAACATTGGAGATGACTTATTGTAGTAAAATGAACATTCAGTTCCAAGCAACAGCTCTGGTGGACACTCTGCACTCAGCATGCCGACAGCACACTGCCTCACAACTTGTAACATCAGTGTCAGTGTTTTGTCTGATCAACAGCACATTTTAGAGTGGCCTTATATTATGATCATCCCACGACACACCTGTGTTGTAATGATGCTGTTTCATCTTGATATGCCAAACCTTTCAGGTGGATGGACTATCTTGGAAAAGGAGAAGTGCTCATTAGCACAGATTTTAACAAATTTGTGACAAAAATATGACATAAAAATATCTGTCGAGTGCATAAAAACAGTCTTAGATCCTTAACTAAAACCTGTATAGAATGTGAGTAAAAACAAAAGTGTTGAGTTTAAGTTTTTGTTCAGTATATATGATTTAAAAACATTAAAAAAACATGATGGATATGAGAAAACACTGTTTATCAAGTTTAAACATTACTGTAAAGGTTTACTTATTTGATTGTCCGGAGGGGCGGTGCATGTCACATTGACAGTACACAGTGAATGGGACTCGTCTCATCCGGGCTGCCCCGTGATAGAAAACGAACGCCGCTGTTACACACTGACACTAGCTGGGCCAACGCTCCCCAGAATGAACAACGTGTTTCAGGAAGAAGTTGGCGCCTGAAGCCCCGTATGCGGTTAGCTAGCACGCTAACCGAAAGTATGAAAGATACTCCACTGTAATGATTTTTCTTCCCATCGCTATTAAAGAATTCCAATATGAACGACACGGGTATGTATTAGCTTGTGGAGCTCGGTAAAACTGTGTGTATATCGCTTGTGCGGCTAGTCGAATAGCTAAAGCTAAGGATTAGCCGGGGCTCAGCAGGCCTCGACTAATCCCTGGAACAAGAATTGTTTTTCCCAATAATGAGCCGGCTTTACCAGGCAACATTGGCGGCCTGGTGGCTAGTCTAGTAGCGTTAGCTAATGCTTTGCTCTGGCACAAACAGTAACGATGATAAAACGGCTAAAGAGGTTTTTAATGTATGAAATGAACCCCAGCGGCTCGCTCTTTTTAACTGATAGTTTGATTTGATATAAAATGACTAACGGTAACGTACTTGCTAACAGTTAGCTGGTTAAGAACGTTAACTCTTCATGTCTTGGCTACTCAGCACTAAACGTTGCCCTCTTTGTCATTTTGCTCAGTGTGGGGTGAAGTGGACTGTCCTAATGTTTAGAGCTGCACACATACAATGAGTGGTTGGAGGTAGATGTATGCACACATCCCTGGTGCTTCAGATAACGCGCCCTGTAGTGTTGTATTTCACACTAGCTGGTGCACCATATGAATGGATGCTACAGGAACAGACCATGGCTGTACTGATTGTAAAGTGAGAAGCTGCACTGATTAGGAAATGCATTTCCAGTCTGTAATTAGCACAGGAGTCTATTCAATTCCTCCTAAAAATAAGTGCATAGATACTTATAAGCAGTGTTGAGAGGGTTACTTTTAAAATGGATTCCACTGCAGGTTACTGAATACATGCCTTGAAATGTAATTTGTAACGTATTCACTCAGATTACTCAAACTAAGTCATGTATTCTAGATTGCTTTGAGAATACTTAATATTAGGGGTGGGCAATATGGCCCTAATATAGTATCACAATATGTGACTTGAGGATATATATATATAAATCAACAGGTAACTTCCTTCTTTTAGTAAAATCCTAAATGATTGAGTTGTTTTCCACCAGGACCTTTATGCTCTGCCATTTCTCCTCTAATCATCACGCTGTAAGGCTGTTATGATACAATATTATGCACATTCTCATATATTACATCACTAAAGGTTTATGACAAAATCACTTGACGACACCGACTAAAAGAGTCTGAGAAGTCTGGGGCTGTTCACAAGACATTCAGGACGCGACAGTTTATTCCACACTACCGAAGCTGTTCCTCTTTTTGGAACCACCACGGAGTCAGTAATAATTTCGCTTTCAGCTATGTTAGTTGTTGCAGTGCAGTATGACGCTAATTTGTCTGGGTCTTAAATTTTCATGCCAAAAACATGCCAGTGTCCTGGCTGTGCATCTCCTCTGCCAGATCTGTTCATGGGAAAGACGCTGTGTCCTAACAGCAAGCAAGCGTTGCTTTCCATCCACACTGAATATGATAAATATCTACTTCTGTTACTTCACGTCGACAGACCACGTAGGTTACCTATCAGCTGTCTGCTCGACCAAAGACATAACCACTTTAAAGATGGATGAGTAGTTTCTATCTTTCTATGTTTGCACTTTTTAAACATAAAGTACAGCCAACAGCAAGTGGGTTGTTATGAGCCGTGGTCATTTACCAGAAACTTCCAGCTCCCTGGAGAACTCGCTCCAGACAGCTGCCATTTTACACAGGTTTTTGCAGCTAAATGAGGAGATATCATAAAGATAATTACTCATTTCAGCTTCACAAATCAGACGCTTTTTCGTCCATTGTGGAGCTTTCAAAGCAAGCAAAAGGAATAAATTGAAACAAGGCAGTTAGGACACAGGTTTACAACAAATAAAACAAAAATAAATAAAGTAATCTGTACAGTACAAGACAGTAACTCTATTCAGAATAATACAAATTTAAACTGTAATTGAATGGAATCATATTTTATATTCTGAATTTGTCCTCGCAACCCCTTTGTTTGACCCACTCTTAATGTCTCTTTGAAGAATTCAGCGTCCCTCTGTCCTCACTGGCACTCCTGGTCCCACCACTTCGGCTGATGTCAGCCGTGATGTGGGAAGTGGTTCGTCAGCGGAACATAAAGCACTATGGGAAACTGGAGGAGTTTGTGTCCATGGTAACAGATGCAGTTCCTGAACTGATGAGTAAAAGAGAAGGGAGGCTGCTCTCACTGGGCCTAAGAGCAAGGGTACGTGTTTTAAAATGTGTAGATCCGTTATCTGTATAATGAGAGCTATTCAAATAACAGACCTGAGAAAATGGTGTCATGGAAAAGAGCTTAACTTCTCTGGGAAGGTACATGGGGCACATTTCACTTATTTGTGACATTTTATAGACATCAATTTATCGATAATGAAGACAGAATCATCAGTTGCAGTCTAATGTCAACAGTAAAATCAGGGATTCAATTTCTTCTAGACAACTCTGGAGCTGCTGCGTTCTGAACACCCGGAAGATCTCAAGGCTGTTGAAAGCCACCTCAGCAGAATCCGATCTTCTTGCATTGAGGAGGTGAGTATGAGTATTTTTATTTTATTTTTTTGTAGAACTGAAGTGAATCGTCAATGAATCCATTAATTGATCAGCAGAAAATGAATCTGCAAGTATGCTGACATTTGATTAATCATTTGACTATATTTTAATGCAAAATTGCCAATATACTGACTGGCTCCAACCTCTCAAATGACTTTTATGTTTTATAAGACAGTAAATTGCAGATAATTAAGGTTTTGATTGTTTGTCGGACAAAACACTCAAAAGATGTGGCTCCAGGCTCTGGGAAAATGTGTGCATTTTTCACTGTTTTCTGTTTGCTCTGCTGCCGTTCAGTGGCCAACAAGCGGAGCTAACTGCTAACAGCCACCGCTGCAGCTAACAAACTCCTCCATCCGCAGTCAGACACACACGGCTGATTATTTACTGCTGAATTGCAGCAGAACTCGCAACATCGGCTGACGCTCTATGCTGTCAGTGTTTTTGTTGGCTAGCAAAACATCTTGGCACAGACTATTTACTGGGGTTTGCCAGCTTGTCGCTCATGCGGCATTTGTAGGTAATTGTAAGCACGATCGCTCTCTGCTTTTAACGTCCGAAAGTCCACCACAAACTTTTTTTTTTTTCACGTCTTAACGAAAATGAAACATAGATTTCATCTTAGTTTTCATTGTCAAGTTCTATTTTTAGCTCGCTGCCGTCTCATTTTTGTCATGAAAAAAAGGTTGTTGACGAAAAAAGTTTGTTATAGTTTTCGTCAACAAAATGAACACTGATTTGATTGCATTTCACAAGTAGTGACTGACATGATTGACAGCTGCATTAGAGATTCCTTGGCTCTGATTGGTTGTTTCTAATGTGCCGCAGTCTGATTCTAGTGAATGGAATAAGAGGCAGTTTGAAGAGGAGGAGTGACATGTAGTTCTTTTTGAAAGTAGTGGCAGTTTCAGCAAACATCACACAGTTATTCTACAAACTTTAATCAATAATGAAAATAATTTGTGTTCTAATATGTTGTTCTATATTTTCTTCCCATTTCATTTGCCTGTAATCATCTGACTGTGATGCTTTGTTTTCTAACCCAGACCAGTGATGCTGTAATTGAGGCACCAGAGGCAAACTTTATGAAGCTGGTTCAAGGCCTCATTGAAGACACTGATGGCAGAGAACACTTCCTCAAGGTAAATATTCATTTGATTAATAAGGTGCTCTAAATAAACTCAAATGTTATAAATCAATTAAATGTAGGAATTGCTCGTCTGATCATAAACGATATTGCCATGTGCTGTATTTTTTCCACGTGACAGAATGTGTTTCCAGTGGAGTACGGCCCCGACTTTGACACGGCACTGGAGACTTTGGTTTGTGAATTCTTCAGCAGACTGGAGGAGCTGCTGCCAATACCAGACTTCAAACAGGTGCAAGGAGGATTTCTGAAAGATTAGAAAATAAAGTTAATAAATAAGGAGACATTTCAACTTTAAAGTCAAACTGTCTTTTCTTTTTATAGACCGCATCCTGGATCAGTGCTGCCCCCTCTGTGCTGGAGGAGTACATGCAGTGTGTCTCAAATGGAGAGGACCTTAAATTTCTTCTCCAGAGCAAACAGTGCCACGGGAAACTGGCTAAAAGTAGTGTTGGTATGTGCACAATTTACATTTGCTAAAATCTAGTCAAATAACGTATTATGTTAGCCACACACTAGAGGATAACTGTGCAGATTTTGGGTCCGATGCACCCCTCCCAGCAATGATGGGTGGTGACAGATTCATGGCTGGTCTGAACAGATTACAGGGGCTCTGAGAATCCTTAACAAGTCTTAAAATGTCGTAAATTCAATTTTATAAATGCTAGAATTTGAAAGTCAATAAATAGTCTTAAAATTGAATTTGCGAGGTCTTATTTGCCACAAACATTTATCTCTTTTTTTTTCATCCATCTTTTATTTATTTATTTGTCAAAAACAGTCCAGCTCCTCTGCTTGTATGTCCACATTTCTTTAAATCTACCACTGAGACTAATAATTTTTTTACTTTATATTTGCACTTACCTGATGGCAAAGTGTAGATTAAGCTAACTCACTCTGATAATCACAGTGGCACAGTGGTGCAGTGGTTACTTGCTCACAGCAAGAGGGTTTCAGGTTCGTATCCCCTGGCTGGCTCAGGCCCTTCTGTGCAGAGTTTGCATGTTCTTCCCATGTCGGCGTGGGTTTTCTTCGGCTTCCTCCCACAGTCCAAAGACATGCAGGTTAATTGGTGACTCTAAATTGTCCGTAGGTGTAAATGTGAACATGAATGGTTGTCTGTCTCTATGTGTCAGCCCTGTGATAGTCTGGTGACCTGTCCAGGGTGTACCCCGCCTCTCACCCAGTGGCTCCAGAAAGAGGTGAATTTTGGGTGTTTTTTTTTTTTTTTCTTCACACTAGTCTGAAAGTAGACATGTTACAGAAACAAAAGAAAGAATCCTCTGGTGTGCACCAGGCATTAAGTGGAAAAGAGGGCGACTGTGGTATTAACATTTTTTCTTCTCTTATTTTCCCACAGCTCCGTTTCAGTCAGATGATCTTCTCATTCCCTCTCTGTCTCTTCCCCCATCGCTGGAAGTGGCCATCGCTTCCCACCCGAGTGCTTGTGACGATGAAAATAATGACGTTCCTCAGATCGTCATGTTCGATGAAGAACTGTCGACAAACCCTTCCACTTCAGCAGATTTTCCCGAGTCACCGAAAAGGACTGATAATATACCGTCATCTCCTCGCAGGAGACAGCAGACAGGGCTGCATAAATGCCCCGAGTGTGACAAATGCTTCAAGCATCACTCTGTCCTCGTCGAGCACCAGAGAGTCCACAGCGGGCTGCAGCCTTACAACTGCTCCGAATGTGGGAGGGCTTTCAGAACAGCCACTCTGCTGGCTGGTCACAGGCTGCGCAAATGCAAAAATGCTGCATATCTGTGCATTAAATGTGGGAACAGTTTTCCAACCTCACTGGACAAATTCAGACACCACTGCCCAAAACGGGGCCGCAACTACGACTGTGGGCACTGCGGGAAGAGTTTTCAGAAGTCAAGCAGCTTAAAGGAACACGTGCTGACTCATGTCCAAAGCCGCCTTTTCAAGTGCAGTCATTGTGGGGTGGGTTTTTCAGGAATCGGTGACTTGAAGTATCATCAGCAGGTAGATCATGACAAGCCTTATCAGTGTAAGCAGTGTGGAAAGAGCTTTATCTCCTCCAAGTGTCTGACCAAACATCAACAGCGACATGAAGAGGTCGGTGAAATGGAGACCGCCAAATTAATGAGTGGAGGTAAACATAGGAAGAGTGGCTCTGCTCATCGGATTTCCTTGGCATCCAGGAAAACATCTGTCAAAGCCGTCTACCCTCGAGGACGAGTCACACATAATTGTCCACTGTGTGGAAGGAGCTTTAAATATCGGTTTGAGTTTCTGGAGCACCAAAGGTTCCACACTGCGGTGAAGCCTTACAAATGCTCTCAGTGTGGAAAAGCCTTCCGCACTGAAGCTCACCTCTCCAGGCACAGGAAGAGAAAGTGTAAAAACGCCTCCCACATTTGCACCAAGTGTGGGTGTCAGTTCAGGTCTCTGCACGAGCGGGTCAGACATCAGTGTGTCCAGCTGCTGACAAAATACGAGTGTTCTCATTGTGGAAAGACCTTCAAGATGGCCCACCTGCTGAGGAACCATCAGATGAGTGAGCACCAGCTCCCCTACAGCCCCAACCACCGCTTCAGGTGCAGATACTGTGATGAGACTTTCCCCGGCATCAGTGAGCTGAAGTATCATCAGAGAGTGGACCATGAGAAACCCTACCAGTGTCAGGAGTGTGGCAAGTGTTTCCTGTCTGAAAAATGCCTGGCCAACCACGAGCTGCGCCACAATGATGACAGACCGGAGAGCTGTCTCGTCTGTGGCCGTGGCTTCAGAAACCGCTACGACCTGAAGCAGCACATGCGCACTCATACCGGAGAACGGCCTTACCAATGCACTCACTGTTCACAGTGTTTCTCCACAGCAGGAGGACTGAGGAGTCACACCAGGGTCCACACCGGCGAGAAGCCGCATGTTTGCCCAGACTGTGGTAAAGCGTTCTCCCAGATGGGTGCAATGCGCACCCACAGGCTCACCCACACCGGAGAAAGGCCCTTCAAGTGCACAGTGTGTGGCAAAGGATTCACAATGGCGCACAAGGTGACAGTTCACATGCGTGTGCATACAGGAGAGCGGCCGTACGTGTGTTCTCAGTGTGGGAAAGCCTTCTCAGATGGAAGTGTGCTGAAGCAGCACATGCTGAACCACTCAGGGGTGAGACCATACCACTGCCAGCTCTGTCCCAAGACCTACACCTGTCTGAACCACCTGAGGAGGCACCTGAAGAGCCACTCTAACATGAACTGAAGGCAAACTGCTGCAGAACATTCTACACACATACTGACACGCTGCATTCAGCAGTTAGGACACTACAGCTGCAGTGGACCAACTAAAACAAGCAATACATGAAGGACTGTAGAATGATGCTGTACAGTTGTTAAAATTAAAATGAGCAGTTTCCTCTTTAAATGTAGTTACACTAGCCAGTTCTCAAGGACTATTTAAACATTTAAAGGAATAGTTCCAACATTTTGGGGAATGCACTTATTCGCTTTGTTGCTGATAATTAGTTGAGAAAGTCATTGTCTCACATCACCTGTGTCTCAGGAAAGAAGTTGCTCTTGAACGCACTGCAAAGACTCCAGTCGGTGGCCAACTAGTACGTACGTTCTGCGCCTGCATGAGAGGAAATGACTCTCCACAGCAGCAGGTGGCGGTAGTCTGTAATCATCATTCAAAAAGGGAAACCAGAACACTAACAGGACGGATTTAAGACACTAGTTAGCCAGTTAGCACATTAACAACACAACCTTATGTTCAAAAGACAAAATATATACACCATGCGCTAGTGGCCAATACCACAAACAATTACGAACTAACTTCTGCTGAAGAGCTCAATAGCTACAAAAATATTCGTACCTGATATAAAAGTTTGTTTTAGATCTCAAGCCCATTTATTTGCTTTCCTTACTTCAGTTTCTCTGCACTGAGATGAGCTGCCAATCAGAGTAATTTCATTTGCAGATGCCAATTCAACATGCTAATTTGGCCAAAAAACAACCAACGAGGGCTGACTAAGGCCAACAGTGCGGAACACACCTCGAAAACTAGGGCAGGGGTCGGCAACCTTTACTATTAAGAGAGCCATTATTGGCTAAAAAAGAAAGAAAAATTGTCAGGAGCCACAGAGCATATTTGTATAAAGGTAACAGCCTAGTCTAAATTAGCCCATCAGCATTACGAATAGGTCTAAATGAGCATTGATTAATATGATTTACTAGAAGGTGGCTGCTCTGCGGTGGGCTATTTATCAGTATTTAGTGCTTTAATTTTGCAGCATTGGTGAAAGTAAATGAATCCGTCCACACGCTATTAATTTCCTTGAAGACATTTCCTTTTTTGGATTTGGAATCCATAGTTAGCCTTGTTAGGGAGACTCCAGGCAGCCACCGCTACTAAGGTTCATCAAAATTTAGAGTAAAAGGCGCCAGGTTGTAGGCGTATGACGCATTTTTTAATTCGATGTATAGGCTGCACATTTTTACAGTTGTAGAATGCAGTAATCACCCCAGGCCTACAACAATGACAAGTGAAAACCTGAATGTTAAAAATAACCGTTATTCATTTCCATATAATTTTATGTCAGAGCCACAGGGAGCCAGTGAAGAGGGTCCAAAGTGCCGCAGGTTGCCTACCCCTGAACTAATGTGACAGATGCTCACCGATGACCAACTCTTGGCTTGGTGTGTCAGGGCCTTTAGCATGAAGACGGGAAGCCGGGGGAGACAGATAGCCTGACTCCATCCAAATGTATTCAAACTCTGCCTGTCAAACAAGTAGTCCTGTTACATATAAAACCTAAAATAACAAGATATAACATGCCAGTTAGTGAGCTTTGTTGGCTGTAGCTTCATATTGAACGGACAGATATGAGAGTGACATCAGTCTTCTCATCTAAAGACCTTTGAACATCAAGTCTGTATTTTTCGTTTGTATTTATTTATTTTATTTGTCATGTGCACAGATACCATGCACACTGAGTCTGATTCAGTTCATTGTTCTATTTGTTGTGAAAATTTGCAATACGAGACTAAATTTGAAGACACATTTGCTCCCTACGTTGGAGGTACCTCCCCAGCTGTCGCCACTTTCCGCCTACTTTCTGGCATTTGGAACGGTGGCTACACGAAGGGGCTGAGCTGTCCTCCATCTCTGTCTCCAAACTGTCGCTCTCTCTGCATTTGTGTGTGGTCTTCATCCTGAGACAACCAGGTAGAGAAAACGACTCATATTCAAGGTGGACGACTTCACCGAATTTGTTTAATTGCATTTCTTTTCGTGGCAGACTCCTCGTCACCCTCATCCACCTGAATATTAATATCTCAGCTGTTGAAAGTGGCTATCTGAGTTTTGAAATGATACTCTGCGCCCTGTCCTTCTCTCTTGTTACAGGTTAACGTCACATTTTCTGCACTGCCTCTTGGTCACACAACTGTCTAAAGTTTTTTGACGATCTGAAAAATCACGTATAATCCACCCTGTTCCAAAAAGTTTATTGATGGACAAAAGTTTCAGTGTGTAAACAAGCTTCACACATCAGGTCGTGCGTATTTTTAACATCCAATAGTTTAAGATGAAAAATACAGACTTGGTGTGCAAAGGCCTCAACTCAACAGGAAAATAAATAGGTGTATTTTACAAAATGTTGAAGCATTCCTTTAACATCAGCACAAGCTCGTTCTCATTCCCCATCAGGTTATTCCTTGAGCTTATTTTTTGTTTTCCCTCCCCCCGTACATCAGTTTCCTCTGCATGGATATGTTTGGATGTTATTCTGGACATTGTTTGAGTGAGATGCTGTAATTTTGGTGAAAATATATTTTTGGAAAGGCCTCGATAGTGATAGAAATGAACTGAAAAAAGGCTCTGTAAATACGCTGGAAGACAAATCTTGTGAGAGTGCAAAGTTATAATGATGACACTGTTTATTTCAACATGACATAACTTTATTCCTGAAGGCCTTTTATACCCCCACAGCTATGGTTTGCAACGTTTGTGAATTTCAAATTAAATTACCTTGGTTATACTTTGTGTATGTTGATGTAATTTATTTAACAGAGGGAAACATCTGGGAGCGTCCTCAGGAAAGGTGTGCTGGAAGTTACAACAATTCCAAAAAAGTTCCATTTATATTCAGTTGAATGCAGTATAAGGAAAAGATATTTAATGCTGAAACTGATGAAATTTATTATTTTTGTAAATTATACTCACTGAGTTTGACACCTGCAACTCATTTCTAAAAAGTTGGGACAGGGTCATGTTACGTCACCAAAGTGTTTGGGAACTGAGGACACTAATTGTTAAGGATGGGTATCATTAAGATTTTAATGATACTACTACTCTTACTGATACTGTTTATTGATCCAGTACTTCAATGGTACTCATCAATTCTTTTGGGGGTTTTTAAGAGAAAAAAATTAAACAAATTAAGAACAGAATTAACGTGGCTTCATTTTTTTTATGTATGTCAGTACAGTATATAAAATAATATTCTGCGACATCATTGTTTAAAAATGAATTTCAATTTTTAATTTTATTTATAAAGCCCAATAGCAGACCAAAATATGGAGCGTGGACTGGTGGCTGGAGAGGTGCCATTTCACCTCCTGGGCACTGTTGAGGTGCACTTGAGCAAGGCACCGAACCCCCCAACTGCTTGGGGCGCCTCACCAAGGGCAGCCCCCTCACTCTGACATCTCTCCACTTTGTGCATGTATAGGTCCTGTTTGTGCATGTGTGTGTCTTTCGGACCTGTGTGTAACTGACGAGCAAGAGTGAAAACATTGAATTTCCCCTCAGGGGGATTAATAAAATAAATAAACTATCACAAATCACAGTTTGCCTCAGAGGGCTTTATACAACGTCCCTCTGTCCTCAGACCCTCACAGTGAATAAGAAAAAAACTCCCCCCAAAAAAACCTTTAACAGGGAATTAAATCGTAGAAACCAGAATGAATTGCTATTATACACAATAAGATTACCGAAGTGGATGTGGTAACAGGAGATGAACTATAAGCTAAGCGGATGAAAACGGTGCATTTCTCCTCCTGTATGTGATGTTCTTTCACGAGATGTTTCAAAAGATTGCTTGTGTTTTTACTCTTACATGTAATGGAGTTGTTGAACTTGTGGCAACAAGCAGTGTCGGCATCAACTCTTGTGAAGTATAACCATAATGTGTTTTGCTCTCTCTGCTGTTGTCACTGAGAGCAGGGCCTCTGTGTGTGTCATACAGAGTGGCAGAACTGGCCCCGCCCCTCGCACACAGAGAGCAAAAATGCCTCAGTGATGAATGTCTTATTGCAAATTAGAAACTGAGTTGGTGAGATTAAAACTGTTTCCAATAATGTTTATGTAACCTAAATAAACAAGAAATATATCTTGTGAATGTCTCCAATACTGATAGCTAGAACCATAAACGTCTGAGCTTATCAATACTACGGTCTCTAACAATTTGGCCCTGGCGACTGTTCAAGATCAGGTTTCAGTACCCATCCCGACTAATTGTTGAAGTTCTGAAAGTGAAATTCTTTCCCATTAGTGCCTGATATATGACTTAACTTGCCCCACAGTCCAGGGTCTCTGTTGTTGTGTTTTGTGCGTCATTATGCACCACACATGTTCAGTGATAGACAGGTCTGAACTGTAGACAGGTCAGTTTAGTACCAACACTCTTTTACTACGAAGCCACGCTGTTGAACGTGCAGAATGTGTCTCATTGTCTTCCTGGAATAAACAGGGACGTCCCTGAATTAGACGGTGTCTGGATGGCAGCATATGTTGCTCCAAAACCTGTGTGTACCTTTCAGCATTCATGGTGCCTTCACAGATGTGAAGTTACCCATGATGCCATGGGCACTAACACCCCCCCCGTACCATCGCAGATGCTGGCATTGAACTTTGAGCTGGTAACAATCTGGATGGTCCTTTTCCTGTTTAGCTCAGAGGACACAACGTCCATGATGGACTCATCAGACCACATTTCACTTTGCATGGTAGAGTCTTGCATTTGTAGATGCAGAGATGAGCTGTGTTTACTGACGATGGTTTTCTAAAGTGTTCCTGAGCCCATGTAGTCATATCCTTTATACAATTATGTCGTCTTTTAACCCTTTGAAACCTGGAGCAACGTGACTTTTCTCGTACTGCTTTCAGACACCTTTCACAAGTATTTAATGCAGAGCTGTCTGAGGGGGTTGAAGGTCATGGGCATTCAGTACTGGGTCTCAGCCTTGCACCTTACATGCAGAAATTTCTCCTGATTCTCTGAATCTTTTGAAGATATTATGGATTTTAGATGGTGAAATCTCTAAGTTTCTGAAAATTGTGCGATGAGAAACATTGTCCTTAAACTGTAGGACTGTTTGCCCACGGAGTTTTCACAAAGTAACTGTCCTTACTTGTGAACAACTGAGCCTTTCGAGGATGCCCCTTTCATATCCAGTCATGATACCATCACCTGTTAACTGTGAAATGTTCCAGGTGTTTTTTGAGTGTTCCACAACTTCTCCAGTTTTTTCTTGCCCCAATCATTCAGAATGAGTGTATATTTTATATAAACAAGGAAGTTTTCAGTCTCTGGACTGTATTCAACTAAATATAGGTCCAAAAAGATTTTCAAAGTTGGAGTTGTACATTTGCTGTTAAAATGCTTTCACTAGAGGGCAGTAGGTGACCAGTAACCACATCACCCCCCCCCCCCCCCCCCCCCCTGCTCTTCTTGTGTTGTTGGGCAGTGGTGATTGTAGCTTTTGAAACTAATAACACAATTAATCAAGTATTCTGCTTTTTGGAGCAGACGATTCAGAAGATCTCTGTGGAGAGTAGGGGTTGATAAAGGGTAATGCAGAGGAAGTTTGGCCCATTTCCTGTCATTAACTTTGATGTGGTTCAGAGTCCTGATTGGCCTGTAATTTCCTAATGTTTTGAGTGGCGCCTAGCATCGAGTGTCTGAGGTGGTTTAAACCATGAGAAAGACATGTTGTTGTGTTTGCATGGTACCACTTAAGCTAACAGCAAGGTTTGATCTAGACCACCACTGCTCCCAGCACTTTGTATGTTAACTTGAACCTCAGGCAGATGAAGTCTTACGTCATGTGTCTAACAGGCACATTGTGATTAATCTCTTCCATCTGTGCTGTGCTGACTTTCATGTTTTCACTAGAAGAGAGACGCTTCTTTTTTTCTGAAACCTTCCTTGTTCCATTCTTGTCTTGCATCTCATCCGTGGTCAGTTATGCATAGTGCTTTTGAGTCATTTTCTCTAAAACAAACAAAAAAACTACACCATTCACAGGGAGATCAACTCCAAAGATGAATGTGGTGGTGTGTTAAATGTTGCAAGATGTTGAAACCACAAACTGTTTCAGAAAAAATAAAAAAAAAGTCAGTCAGGAGACACTGGCTGTACTCGGCACTCTCCCTTCTTTCTCTCTGACTCAGAAATGCTGCTAATCTTCTCCACTGAACGTCAGGATCCTGTGGAAACTCGTGCTGCATCCTGTCTGCCAACAGGCTGTGCCCAAGACATTATGCAGAACCGCTCGGCTTTAGGAAGTATGTGTGTTCTCTCTACATGTAGCTGGAGTTTATCTTGACCTTTTTGAGGACATGTTTGTTTGTTGTGATTGTTTCCTCGGGGTAAAAGATAATGACTCCCTAATGAGGTAATTAAGTGATCTTGATCCCACATGCCAGTCTCAGGACTGTAAATAGCAGGGGGGGGCTCCAGTCACTTGCCTTGGACTTGATTCAGAGTCAAGTCATAAATTTGACTTAAAGGGAAACAAAGGTATTTTTGAGCCTGGACTCTATTTTCACATGTTTTTGTGTCTTAGTGACTAATGAGGAAAACAGTTTTTGAAACTGGTTTTGGAGGAGAGTGTTGCAGTGGGCAGCGGTGAAAACAGGCTGCAATGTAATCCCTGTGGGCAACTGTGCACTGTCAGTGAAGGTCCACTAAAAGTGCCGGGTTTTGCCGCTCACAGGCTCAGATTGTTTTTAGAAGTGTCTGACAACATTACAGAAAGGATCCTACAAAGAAAATGAATCTTTTTCCATACTTTTCACTGGTCTGTAACAGTGGAAACATTAGTGAGAGTGAGAGAAAGTTGCCGGCAGTTGGCTCAGTAAATTAAGCTATTTTTTTTTTGGTTCCATTGGTACCATCCACAACTTTTCACAATGGAAATGGAAAAAATGCCCACCAAACTGAACTGCACTGTACCAGACTGCTTGGTGAAGACAGGGCTTTACTGTTACCTAAAATATTTTTCAATGTCATGGCTGAATATTCAGCTGATTACGACAATGTGGAAACATCCATGACACTTCACAACAAGACTTCTCCGTCAACGAAAACTGGTTACACACAATAACAAACAGACCGGATCAGCAAAAGGTAGAGAAAAAGGTTACATTTCATTGTAGGGATCCTTTCCACAGTGTTGTCAGACACTTACAATAATCTGAGCATAATTGCTCATACATTGCAGCCTGTTTCGCTATTGTGGCTGCATCTCTCTCTTAATACTGGACCAATTTTAAAAATTGTCTCCATTCGTCACTTAGACACGAAAACATGGGAAAATAGGGTCCAGGTTAAAAAATACCAAAACATTCTCACTCCGACCTCGCCACATCTTGACGTTTGGTCATGGACATTCCATGTTCAGATTGGACATGAAAGGTACCCTGGGTGCATTGGTTGTTGACTTTTTGGGACACCGTATCAAGTTCCGCCTGTTGCATGCATTGTCTTCTTTCAAGATACACTTGTAAAATGTAACGTTCACACACAGTGTCTTCCGAAATAAACGCACTGCATTGGTACAACAGCACAAATTGACATTTTATTTCCTTCAACAAAAGCACGTGGTTAGGTTTAGGAAAAAAGAACAGGGTTTGTCTTTAAAATTCTATAGGACACAAACATCCCTCTCCTGGGTGAAAGTTGTGTTTTTTGGACCCATCCACCCACCGTGTTTCCCTCTGACGCTGCCAGTGCCATTAAACTTTAAAGGCAACCGATCGCATATCATGCCAGTGTTGGACGCTGTTATCGTACATGTCTGACGCCCAAGTGCCAAATTTCGATGACTTCAGAGTGAGACCGGGTTGAAAATAACAAGTGATGACTTGTGACATAATTTGGACTTGAGTCTTTTGACTTGAAAATACTGGATATCTTCCCCCAGCCCCAAAATTATATGTATCTTATTTAAAAAGTGTTCCACAAATTCTTTCATGTGCCTTCATTTTCTGAATCAACCAACGTTAGCACTGTTCAATCCCAAACAGTCAACACTTTTTCACAATTCTCAACTTTGTTTGAACCAATCAGACACCGTCCAACGCAACCTATCCTCATACAATGGTTTGTATGACATCTAACAAATTACCACTCCACGATGACATTAGTTCTTAATGTACAGTTACATAGATTAGGTTTAGGAGTAGACAAATGGAAACGACGTACCCCAAAAACAACTCAAAGTTAATTTGGTTTCATTCAGTCCCAAACTCTGGTCTCCTGGGGGAAGTTCCTGTGTTTGCTTACCCCCTTGCGTGGACTTTTCATCTTCGTGCTACTTTATTCTTTACTTCCATCAGCGCATTGGTCATGTGATGGCAGCCTTCCCGCTCGTGATTAAATGGGTTACATAAAATTTGTAGTGCATAACTTTTCATAGGTACACATAGGAACAGTGAACAAGAACAGCCCGTCCAATTACATTGCAGGATAGAACCGGAGAACTAACGTTATGTTACTGAGTACCAGTTGAAAAAAATTGATACCAAAAATAATTTTGTTTGTGGACAAAATCTACGCTGTGGTCAACAAAAAAACAAAACAGTCTGCAAAATGGACCTCCAACTTTGTAGTTGCACAAAAAACAGAAAGTCAAGACTTTGCTTGGCCTGCTGGCCCCACGACTCGGCCCCGGATAAGCAGATGAAAATGGATGGATGGATTCTCTGTCCAGTTTCATTTTTTTGTCAGTATTGTAGATAAGCCAGTGCACACTGTATGATAACTGTCAATTTTCATATATCACTGCAAACCTACTGATAACTAATAATTTTGGTCACATTAATCGTGACATGAAATTTTCATACCGTTTCATCTCTGGACTTGCCTGTCTTAAATTGGGACTGGAGTGCAAAGACTCCAGACTTGTGACTTGTAAAACAATGACCTGGACCCACCTCTTGTAAAAAGGCCCAAACGAGATGAGAGGTGCTTTCCTTCGAACAAAGTCTCCCAATGTAACTGTGAAAACCGAAAACACTCCTAAATGCTTCGCTAATGATTTTCTCAAGAATTTCAGAGTAATGATCCCTGATGAAGGCATTGAGACATCAAAATGCATGCATCACAATTTAAACACAGCTGCCAAAAATCCAACAGATTTACTATGAGAGCTTGCTAATAAACACAGATCATTACCAGATGTACCCCTCCTTCTTTCTTTGCATCCCTCCTTCCCTCCCTTCTTTCCTTTCCTTCCCTCCCTCCCTGCTCCACACAACTTTTTCTCCCTGAAACAGTGATCTCAGTGGAAACTCTGAGTCCAGGCCAGACTTTCACTTCACTCCCACACTTTGAGCACACACACACACACACGCGCACACACACACACACACACACACACACACACACACACACACACACTCATGTATGTCCACAGCAACCGTGCAACATCCACCCCCATCAACACCTTGCCAAATGTACACTTCCCGCCTACACTTCTCTGCCTCCTTCCATGGAAGTGCCTCACTGCACCCCGAAAACTCTTTCCAAAGTCCTCTCCAAGATCTGCCCAGGAGAAGCACTAGATGGCACTGTGTCTCTTCCTGCTACCCAGGAAAAATGAAGCACCCCCCCACCACCACCTCCCCATCCTCCTGCTTTTATGTTCAGGTCAGGTCAAGTGAACCAGATGTATTCATACCCCACCCACCCCCGTATTCCACGGAAATGAGAGACTTCTACAGAAAGAATATAAAAATGCTTCCAAGATGTGTCAGCTGCTTTTCATTAAGTTTGATGAAATGACTCCAGTGTGCATCTATTCACGGCTGCATTTGTAGATTTTGCACAAATTCCAGATCTCATCTAACTGCATGAGTGAAAAGAAGTTGCAAAGCTTTTTCTGATTTTATTAAAACATAACCAAGATCAGTTTCTGCAGGGACGCTCTTTCCTACAGAGACAAACAATCAGTGCATGTTGGAACCTCCTTCAGAGTCAGCAGCTTTTTTGTTTATTCCCGTGTATCCACGTCCCTGTGGACCTTTTAAGGAAGCAGGCATATCTGGGATTTTGTATAAACTTTGGGCTGGTGCGCGCTCTAGTCTACTCATCGTCCTCAAAAAGCGCGCGCCTGAGCTCTTCCTCCTCCATTCTCCTCCTCCCTCTCCGTGCCGTGCGCTCTGGTCCTCCTCTGCGCGCTCTGTGTCTTCGCCTCCGACAGACTGCGACGGAGCGCTGGATCACGAAAAGTTTGGCGAATCGGTTTAGAGGTGCCGGGCTCGGGGCCGGAGAGGTTCGGTGTTTGTTTCTGGGGGTGTTGTGTGTGTTTTTTAATTATTAGTTTTTTTGAAGTTTAGCCATGGAGACTCTCAGAGGTCTCCTCGCGCTGTTGTGCGTTCTCCTGGCTGGAGCGCAAAACCAGAACCAGCTGGGAGGCAAGTTTGCGGGTAAGTTTGCAGAAAATATATTCATGTGCTTTCCAAGAAACTGCTCTATTGTCTTCTTTATGGCATTATGATGCTGGGTTTGAATGTGACATGTCTTATGCTGAAGGGATGTTTGCTGGTCCAGCTGTTCGGTGTCTCAGGGTTGCATAGTTCTCGAAGTCTGAGCCTTACTAATGAGCAGCACAGATGCAATAACTACTGAGAGTAAGATCAGAATATGACAGTAGCCTAGCCCAACATGAGCAGGCCTTAGTTTGGTCCTATGGTTGTCTTATTGGGTTGAATAGTGAGCGTTGGGTGTACTGCAGACTGAGATCTATCAGTGCTGTGTGTGCCAGAGTTATAAATGCAGACAAGAACCAAAGCAGGTAATGGAACATCAGGCCTGCCTCCATGCTGAAGTGAAATAGTACAGGTGTATATGCAGAGCACAATGTTGTGAGTACAGGCCTGTGTTACCTGGACAGATCAGGTAGATCAGCCTCAGTGTGACGCAGCGTGCTCCAGGTAGCATCATGCAGACCTCCAGTGCTGCAGCAGTGATGCCTGTGCTGCAAATGCATTTTAGATTTATTGGTTCATAAACTCTTTGTTAGCTTTATGGTTGTTGAGTGGATGATATGTACTGACAGCCTTGTTTGTTTGTTTGTTTTGTGAGCAGACTGTCCTGTTGACCTTTTCTTTGTGCTGGATACATCTGAGAGTGTCGCCCTCAGACAGAAACCTCCCAGCTTTTATATCGACCAGATCAAAACATTCACCAATGACTTCATAGATGAACTCAAGGACATGTAAGACACACACACACACACACACACACACACACCTGCAATTATGGAAGAAGCATTCAGATCTTTTAGTTATAAAAGAAGCAATAGCACAGTGGAAGTTACAAGCAATGCATTTAAAATCTTAAAGAGTAACTTCTCACCTTGCTACACTGATGTACGGATGTATTCTGGGACACCGTGACATCACTACGCTCAACCACGCCCATCACTGATTGAAACTTTTGACCACAGACAGCAGTGAAGCAGTGTTTTTCAGCCTGGTGTTAAGTTACTCCTTAGAAGTGCAGCAACATTATCAGCAAAAAGTTTCCATGACGCTGCAGAACTGCTCGTCAATGTCCTGATGTTATGACACTATTATTATATTGTTTTATTCTGTTTATGTACTGATAGTTACTCTAATCTACACATATAAATCAATTTTTACTCAGTCATCACAGATTAGAGCAGTGTGTAAAATTGGAATCTGCAAAGAAACTAACTCAAGCTGCCTTTTTAGAATTTATAAATATTTATAAAGATTTAAATATTTACAGTATTTGCCTCTAGAGTGCAGCGGAGTCAAAGTATGACAACGACTTCAAAGCCATACTTAAAGGTACACTATGCAGGATTGTTGGTTACTGTCGGTTGTACCCGATTATGTCAGTCAAATCAGATTCGGCCATTTAATATGAATTTTGACAATTCGTTTTTTCCATATAAAGCTTTAAAGTTTGAATAGGGCTCAGCGGGACGTGTGACAGCGGCATTCATGTAATGTAGTAAACAAGCTAACAATGCTAAGGACGGACCAAAACATCCTCAGAAATACACTGCACAGCACACTGACTAGCAACTGCAACCAGTAACTAGTCACAGAGTCTCTGCAGAAAAATACATCCCCACACACTGACAGTCGGTTGTAAGTGATGATTGAGATGAGTCTTCTTTTTAGGGGAAATCCTGCATAGCTTACCTTAAAAGTTACAATCTCGAAGATCTCTGTTTTGTTGTCTTTGGCGGCACCTGTGGCGATAAGCGGTAATTACAAGTGTGTTTTTAGATCTCACCTCCCACAGATCCAAACAGTGTCGTCTTTATGAGTTAAAGATTGAGTCTGTTGCAGAGCCACTCACAGGCCTTGCATATGTACTACAGCATTTTCAGTGGCTTCATGTTTACGTACACATATCTTGAGATGATTCCGTTTTTATGGAAAACTTTTAAAAAAGAAGTGTGGATATGGCCTAAAGCCCCTTTCCCATCAGACAAAACCCTCCCTAACACCTGGCTTTTGTATTTAATGGGAGAGGTTACAATTGGCATTCATTCCCAAAACAAATGACTCTGCAGTAGTCATGGGTATTTAAGCTCTGACCAGCAGTGATAGAAATACGACACCACAGGTGGACGCGCTAACTTTCACCCCTTGTCCAGCACGTTGCTACAACAGATCACCACAAAGTCCATTGTCTCTGTCCGTGCAGCGTTCAAACATCATTCCAGTTTAGTCTGCATGGAGTTTGAAAGAGAGCCTCCATGCTGCTTTCTACTGTTAACTAACCTGTGTTTTGACATTGGATGTGACACAAAAGAAAGACATACTTGCGATGGCAAAGGAATCTATCGCATATTTTAAGCATGTTTCCCCACGTTAAAGAAAAACTGCATATACGTGGGGGAGGAAAGGGGTGTAACTGTGCTCTGCTTGGGATATTTGGGGGGATTTCCACAGAAACCCAGTTTTTCGTCTCAACTCCATTGTGTTACCTCATTTTGCGAAAGATAGTGTTTTCCCAAAAACGAATGTAAATGAAAACTTTCAATTATTACTTAAATTATGTGCAGTACTTATTCCACCACTGCCTGACTGTATCATGTTGCATATTAATGTTGTGTGTTTTGATTACTCTACCTAACACCTGTATTCATTCAGGCGCCACCGATGTGACCGCACCCTGACGTGGAACTCAGGAGCTTTGCACTACAGTGACGATATCAAACTTGTGTTCGAACTGAGCGACATGAGGACTAAACGCAATGACATGAAGGCCGCCGTCAAGAAAATCGACTACATTGGCAAGGGCACATATACTGACTGCGCCATCAAGAGGGGCCTCGCTGAGCTGCTCATTGCGTAATAACACACACACACACACACACACACACACAAACTTTTCAGCAGATTAAGTCATAAGGAGAGTGACATCATGTGTGTTTGTGTGTCTGCCTGCATGCAGGGGCTCCCACTACCATGAGAACAAATACATTGTGGTGGTGACTGATGGTCATCCTATCACTGGTTACAAAGAGCCATGTGGAGGTGTGCAGGAAGCTGCGAATGAAGCCAGGCAACATGGAGTCAAAGTGTTCGCAGTCGCCATCTCACCTGACCAGGAGGTACAAAACACACACAGGCAGTTGTACTTATCAGAGCTGTGCAGAGACCCTCAGAGGGGCAGGTGCTCGAAGACCAAACACCATACACCAACATAACTTAGAGCGTAACCTGTTGAATTATTAATTAATTAATTATAAACAACCTATATTTAAACAGAATGTAACATGAAATTTTACAATAAGCCGCATCGCACAATTACTGTCCCCCACCCAGTGAGATCAGAGGGGGATTATTCTAAATAAATATGAGGAAATTGTGAATGTTAAACTGTCATTTGAGCTAATGTTCCCTTTAAAATTTCTCAAATACTGCTCAGTAAAATCAAATGAATCTTTGTATGGCTGTCGTCATGTGATGATGATGATGCTTTGATGATGATGATGATGCATTCTGTCTGTCACCAGGACACCAGACTTTCACTCATTGCCACAGACCAGACCTACAGACAGAATTTCACTGCTGCAGACGACGCCCGATCCACCAAGATGGAAACCATTCGCACCATCATTGACATGATCGTATGTCTCCTCTCCTCTTCTCTCCTCTCCTCTCCTCTGTGTAAACACAGTTTAAAATTGTTGATTTATTAGCTAACTGTCTGTTTTCTTCCCTTCTTTTTCCCAGACAAACGCAACGAAGGATGCGGTAAGATATTTCTGAAAGGCTTTTTTTTTTTTTGCATGTGTCTGTGCGTGTGCTAACTGCATTTACATTTAAAGGTCCTGTATGTCGGGTTTAAATAGCCTTTACCAGTGAGGTTGCAGATTGCATGTAGGAGAACTACAGTAGCCTACATAAAAACAAAAAAGCCCCTATTTTGAGTAGACTTTGGCTTGTCTGTTCTGGGCTACTGTAAAAACAACATGCAGACTCTATAGAAGAGGACCTGCTGGAGTACGACACCGAAGCTAAGCGATATACTGCTGTGAAGGGAGCTGGAAACTTAATGAATTTTAGCCACCTAAAAAAAGTCTTACCTAAAATAGCCAGTATCAGTTTAGGTGTACATTATTTAGAATATTTTCACTGCTTTACCTGAATAGCAGACAATGATTTCTAACAGGAAAATGAAGCAGTTATATCGTTCTCTTCAAAGCCAGACTCCATTGAGAAAAACAGTGATTTAACATTGCTGAACACAGGAGCTGCTGGTCTACTGCTGCCTTGATCAGTGAGTTAGTTTGTGTTATTGTGTGACTTTAGCATTTTAGAGGGTTAGTTTGGATTCACCACAGTCACACAGTAACACACACAAACTAGCTCATCAAAGCAGTGGTAGACCAGCAGCTCATGAGCTAAAATTACTGTTTTTCTTAATGGAGTCTGGTGGCTTTGACAAGAGCAAAGATGGGGACCTAAATTCGTAAAACAGGCTGTCTGACAGTAAGACAAAGGGGTGAAAATACTCCAAATTTCAGGCACAATTTGCCTAGCTTCTGTGTCGGATTCCAGCCTGCTTCTCTAAACTGGTGGCGTGCTGACCACCATCTAATATATATCATACACTGACCACGGATAACTATGTCATACAGCCTTTTGGATTTCTTCAGCATCAAACATCGAAAATATTGCACCTTATACTAAAAAAATGGACACAGGTACAAACATTTGAGTTCCACAAATATTGTTTATTTTTTATCCACAAATTTTCTTTTTTTTTTTTATATTTGGTGCAATGAATGTGCGACATTCCTCAAACCTGCACTGTCTTTGGTGAAAGTAAAGTTTTTGCTCCTTTATCTTGGTGTCAGCTACAGAGTCATCTTGAACTACATTAAATTATTAACATGGGGGATTATGAAAACAGGATTAAGGACTATTTTAGTTTTAGTTTATTGCCATCATTTTCCCACTCATAAAACTCAAATACACTGGTAGATAGACAATAAGTTAACATTGAGTTTTTGCATTTTAGCATTTAAAACAGTACTGAAAAACTGAATTTAACCACTGAATGTACATGTCCAGCTACTGAATGCTATTAATGCAGTTGTCTGCTGTAAATTGGCTGTTGGTTTTAAGTCTGTTGTTTTTTTGTTTTTTTAAATATTTTTTAAATTTATTTATTTATTTTGCTGCTGCTGTGTTTTTAGTCTGTTTGTTCTCTTATGTGAAACTTTTTCTGCTGCTGTCTGGACTTCCTGGCGAAAGAGATTTGAATCCCAGTGGGAATATTTCTTAGCCTGAGTGTCAGACTGAAGCTGCCAGAACCTTCAGTCTGACATGGCTTCCATTGAAGGCGATTTACAAGGGGGAGGGAATTTGATTTTTTCCCTAACCAATCAGTAGAGATCAACGACTCACCCAGAATCTGACGTCATTAGTATCCATGCCTCGGGGGTGCTGAAAACAAGCGAGCATTGCCCGTTTAAAATGTCTCCGTCGTCGTGCACGCCCAGCTGCATCGCCGTTAAATCCAGTTTAGCAGCTTCCTTAATTTGGTCCTCCATTAACGCGAGTAGTGGCGAAATACCTCGATAGCATCGTTAATGTGGTCTGTAGGATCTGTAGCGGTCGCCATTGTTGCTATCCTCACCAGTTACCCACCGGCGTACAGCTTGACATCAGCGTGGCGCTGATTGGCTAATCGCTAGACCCCCGGCGTTCATTGGTCCGTCCATCGTTTGGACGAGATAAATCGCAAATTCATTGAAGTATGCCAGACCAGAGATGCAAGCCTACTCAGTTGAGTGGGCGGGGTCTATGGTCTGGAACCAGGCTAAATATTTCTGGTAAAATTTAGTTAAATGAATAAGTAAATAAATAAATAGATATCTCAGAACACTTTAAGGTTAAGGTTAAGGTTACTTTATTGGTCTCCCTTGGGAGAAATTTGGTTTGGATGAAGGGAAAAACACTTTAATTGCAAATAAAATGCACTTTGCATAATCAGCAAAATGGAGATATTACCAGGAGTGGAAAGCGTCTTTTTTTCCATATTTAAAAACATAATCAAAAATCTAATCAAGTTATCCCTAACAATGTAACTACAGTCTAATTACACAGATTTTTGTGTGTAATTCGGGCTGATTACAGTTGCTAATTTTGTGTAATCTGATTATGTAATCCTGAATACAAGGTGCACTAAGGTACACAGTAACTGTATGAACCTGCAGAAAGTGTACTGCAGATCCAAAAGACTGGATCTGCTCTCATTTCGAGCCGTGGGACAACATGTGTGAACAGATGTGTTTGTATTAACTGAAACATTCCAACAGCAAAACTGTTTATGTTGAGTGTTTGCTGATGCAGCTTGAATCAAGACAGATTATACTGGCTAAGTGTCGTGGCTTTAAAATGTTTACAAACCGGATTTCTCAACCAAACAGACTTTTCTTCTTTGTGGCCACTAAAGCTGTGTATTTAGTGCAGTCAATCTTAGCTGAATGTAGTGAGGATGTCTCAGTATTAAGTCTTCTTACAGCTGCTCTCCTCTGCCGTGTAAATTCTGCCGAACTCTCCCATACTCGGGAAACAAGGGGGGTCAGGCATGACAGCGACAAGAAGCTGAAATGAGCAAACTGAGATCGCAGTGATTTTCAAGATCAGCTCACTTTTATATCTCCAACAAAATCACTGCAGTTATATCCTAAATATTGGACATGTTGGGAGGTTGCTGTTGGAATGTAATAGGTTACAGATCATTAGTTATTGCACAAAATAAACTCTGTGGCAAACAAAAGTTTATGGTACTGACATGCTTTGTTCAGCAAGATAATCTTTACAAATGAACACTTCTGATTTCTGAAGCATCAGTGCAATCAACAAAGTAAAAGCTAATGTTAGACAACAAACGAACTACATCACAGTCACATTTACTGACATTTAAGTCTCTAAGCTTGTGTTATATGAGTCCTCTAACCAAACACCCACTTGACTTCCAGACATAGGAATCATGAGAGCTAAAATGCTAACTCATCTCCAGGTTTTAGGACTCATTCCTGCGCCACTCCATTCAAACAAGACGGATAAACGGACAAAAATGCAGCCTGTTTAGACGTAGAGACAACTGCTCCTTGTAAACCATCCTACCATTAATGGTGTTGCACTCAGATTTGCCCCCACCGCGCTGCTGACTCGTGTCATCTGTAAATATGCCAAAAGAAGACTTTCCTGCTCTGCAATAAGATGCAAAGCAACAAAATGAATGTTTTATTCTATATAGAAACTTTTTACTGAAAAGAATGAATGTAACCCCTTTGTAATCACTAATATTTTGATCAGCAACTGTCATCCGATAGTTAAAGTGTTGCTTGTGATCCGACCTGGAAACATGGGCCATGTCTCCTTAGATTTAGATATTTAGACTCATATGTCCCCCCAAACTATCTGATTGTGTCACCTCATCCCTGATCAGCAAACCACTCACAATCATTCAGAGCTCAAATCATCCGCTCCACCAATCTTTATCCCCCTTCCCTCTGGATGCAGGTTCAGACTACCCATGTGGAGAAGGGCCAGTTTCATCAGGAGCTTTAAGCTCCAAGTAACCTTCCCCTGATCTGAAATTCAGTCTGTGGTGTTTTATTTTATTTTATTTAACCTTTATTTAACTAGTAAGTCCCATTGAGATTGAAAATCTCTTTCACAAGAGAGACCTGGCCGAGGTAGCAGCCAATCAGAACACATTTAAAATGCAACAAACACCATGTTTTTGTCTCTTGTGTATTAACTCTTATATCCTATGTGTCTGTGATGTGCATTCTGTTTGTCTTACTTGTTTGTGCTATGAATTTCCTCCTTGACGACAAATTAACTATCACTCTATTGGTCAAGAATAGCCAATAATCGTCTACATATGCAGAGACATTTTTCCTTCCTCAAGGTGCTCATCATCTTTCTTTTTTCTTTTCTGCAGTGTTGCTCTTTCGACTGCCATGTAAGTACGCCGTTTATTATCTTATTCCCATCATAAATTCTTCTTCAGCTTTGTTTGTAGAGCAATTGTCTCACTTTTTGTGTTTTGTCGTTTTGTCTGCAGGCTCCAGGAGGGCCTAAAGGACCAGACGGAGACATCGGTGCTAAGGTGTGATGATATGATATGAAAACAACCCCTGTATTCAGTTGCGCTAGAGATGATTGTCGGGCAAAATGCACAAACTCTACATGATCTCATCTTTATTTTTTTGCCCTCGTACAGGGAGAAACAGGAAGACCAGGGATGCCAGGAGAGAAAGGAGATGTCGGCGACATGGTAGGTGACCTCCACCATCATCCTCCTCCACCCACGCCAACACCAACATACAAACATGCACCCAAAAGGACATCATCACATGTTTTGGTTTGATGAAGTGTCACTCAGATGTAATACTTCTGTCTCTGTGTTACAGGGCAGTATCGGAGATCCTGGTCCCGTTGGTTACAGTGGAATGAAGGTAGAGTGCACTTAATGAATCAGTTCACGTGAGCGATACAGAAGAGGAACAATGTCTGTCAGTGACATATGGAATAGGTTACATCTTACAGAAACGTGTAGCCATTTCGTCCAGTCTTTTACATGTCGTTTATTTTGAAGGTCAGTTTCTTCATGCGGCTGTGAGTCAGCTGCCTTCATAAAGTGTCTGTTTGAAATGTTATAACTGTTCTCAACTTCTTCAGTCTTGCTACTGAAACATACCTCTCATATTATAATTTTAAAAAAAACAACTAAAAGTTATACTGAAACTAATAAACACTTAATTATAACTTAACATTTTTAAACAATAAAATCTGAACTGAAATGAGCAAACCAGCTCTGGAAACTAAACTAAATTAAAAAGAAAAATTAAATAAGTAAATAAAAACTAGCAGTTGCAGGTGGTTAAATAATAAATACCTGTTGCCATTTTCATTTTACTAATAAAGAAGGAAAGAAGAATATAAGTTAATCTATTTCAAACCAGCCTGCTTCAGTGTTATTCAGTGTAATATTTTACCACATCATCACTTATTCATGATAATAAGTTCATACAGTGATCACTGCAGCAGAAACTATGAATTCGTCCCCATTAAGAGAGATGCTGTGTGCATTTATGCACAAGAAAAGCAGCGTAACTTCACTGATTATTTCTGAAGCTAAAACTTTAGTTCTTTTCTTCTGTCAAGTTTCTAACTACAGTTTTTAGTTTCCTTGCTGAAATGCTCCATGATATTTGCTGCAGTGATGTTTCTGCATGCAGAGAAACATTCGGAAAGAAGCCTCCGTAATCATCGAAGTCAAAGAAAACTCTCATACGTCACTACAGTGTATAATATAAGAGCACTATATCGTACAGACACCGGTAGAGGGGAAGTGAAACGTCCATGCAGGTACAGGTCTCTAACTCAGAGAAATCGGATCCATGCATCACCACTGCAGCCGTTTCCTAGTGATGGCCCTTATCCTCCTTCTTAGCTTCATATTAATGTTCATGAACAAGAAACAAACTGACAGGTAGGGTTTCAACGTTCTGAGGTTTTCACGCTATGATAACCGTCTCCATGGTTTCACGGTATTACAGAATTAGAATTATTATCAGTCAGAACGACCCTTTAAAGAACGAAAACGTAAAGGTTAGTTGTGATTGAACAAACTTTTTACTACTGTAATTGAAACTTGAAACCATTTTGTTAATGGAGGTTTATGTAAAAAGTCTCCCCTTTGAAAGTAACTAAAATAAAGGTGAGATTCTTCGTCCATTTTTTTTCCTCCCTAATATTGTGGATAAGCAAATGCACATGGTGTGATTACGGTCATTTTTCATATCACGGTATACCTTTGAACGGGTTTATCGCTGCAACCCGACTGACAACAGGAAGTTTGTGCAAGGAAACATTCCTAACCCTGAAGGTATTTGTAATTTTCCATGTTGTTTAGCTGCTGTTGATCACTGACTCCAGGTCAGACTCTCACCCTCCTCACTGATCCCTTCGCTGCTTGTCATGATGATAACTCTGATGTGTTTCTGTTTGCAGGGAGACCGTGGAGGCAGAGGAGAGAAGGTACTGTCAAAGCACACAAACACATAAACAAGATTCAGTCAAAGTTTAAGCATTGCTTTGCTGTGTAAGTTACGGACATTATGGGCTAACGCTGTGTGTGTGTTTCCTGCAGGGTGACAGAGGACACAAAGGCTACAAGGTGAGCTCATCTAACAGCTGTCTGATCTTCAGGTGGATGCTCTTGTTTCTGTGATTGTTCTGAAATCTACATTATTCTTTCGTTCTTTATCTTTCGCTGATTCACAGGGAGACAAAGGTCAAAGAGGAAATGATGGAATCGATGGACGCAAGGTGAGTGACGGACCCGAACATCCAAACAACACATCCCTGGCTCTCTGGCTGTCTGTCTCTTGTTCTGTTGATAAAGTTACTTGAAGATACTGTTCCTCTGGTTTTCCTCTTCAGGGTGAAGATGGTTTCCCCGGTCTTCCCGGCTGTAAAGGATCTCCCGGATCAGACGTGAGTCCTATATCTCAATCTCAGAATAATCCCACTGTTGAGGGGGGTCTTGCATTCCAGCCTTGACATTAAAGTCACATGTTACAGACAGATTGAATCACAACCAGATGGGAACCGGTCATTAGAGGTTGACACACACTGACGATGACATCAGGTTTGAGAACTGCAGCAGATGTTAGGACACACACACACTTTATTGCTATTTTGGTGACTTAAAGGTATAGTTTGGATTTTTACAACTGGGGTTGTATGATGTCTGACAGCTCGGACATTCAGAGGGAGCTTGGAGTAGAGCTGCTGCTCCTTCGTGTCAAAAGGGGTCAGTTGAGGTGGTTCGAGCATCTGATCAGGATGCCTCCTGGGGGCCTCCCATTAGAGGTGTTCGAGGCACGTCCCACTGGTAGGAGGCCCCGGGGCAGACCCAGAACATGCTGGAGGGATTACATATCTCATCTGGTCATTGAACGCCTTAGGATCCCCCAGGAGGAGCTGCCCATAAGCACAAATGTGATGTGCACTGTATTATATCGTGTTTGGATCAGATTTTCGGTGGTTTATTAAAGAGACAACAAATTAAAAAAAACAGTGATAATGACAGTGATGGCAAAATGCTATTCTCTGTGGCGACAGGAGGATATCTGTCAGGGCCCTGACTCACCAAGCCAACAATCAGGTCGTCAGTGAGCGTCTGTCACCCTAGTTTTTGCGGTGTGTCCCACACCGTTGGCATTTGTCAGCCCTTGTTGACTTTTTGTCAGCCAGTCCAGCATGATAGATTAGCGTCGGAGCTGGCTTAGCCCATCAGTGAATGAAATCACTCTAAATGGCAGTTCAGCACAGCGCACAAGAAGAGAACCGGAAGTGAGGAAAGTAAACAAAGGGCTAAAGTAATGGGGGAGTGAGATCACAACAAACTTGTTGTAGATGAGAGAGAATAATTCTACGCACATAACATAGGTGCAAGGTGAGCAAAAAACAGTGTACATGAGGCAAAAAGTAAGTAACCTTTGTCAGGTCAAAATGATCAGGTCAATTGTGATTTTAATTGTGTTTTTAATACTCTGTAAGTGTCCTTGAGTGTTGAGAAAGGCGCTTTTAAATAAAATGTATTATTATTATTATTATTAATTCATTTGACATGGTGAAGATCCAATTAGGATCGAAACGGTGGCTTTATTAAACTTATGTGGTGTGGAATAAGTGTGCAGGATTATTTTTTTTTAGCCATTCAGCTCTTGAGCAGAAACGGTGCGTAATGGTTTGTGGTATTGTTAGCCTACGGACAATAAACATAATTTGTTCTTTCAACATTTGGTTTGTTAATAATGTGCTAACAGGCTAACTAGCATCTTGAATCCATTTTGTCAGTGTTCCAATTTCCCTTTTTTGATGACAAATACAGACCACCACCTGCGGGTATGGAGCGTTATTTCCTCTTACACAGGCACAGAACGTATGCACTAGTTAGCCGTTGGCTTTGCAGTGTGGTCAAGTGCAACTTTTTGGCCTAGATACAGGCAACGCAACAGTCAGCCTTTGCCGCCTAGTTCTTTGATGTTGGTTTAGTGTGTCTGGGCCTTTTTGAACCAGAGTATACAGAAGAAGTTATGCAGAGGGAGACTGAACAGGAAAGGGAAGGGCTTTCTGACAGCAAGATGGAGCGGTGGAAATATTCTCAATGTAGCATCCACTTAGACTGATATTGATTTTTATTAGGTAGGCCTTTCTTTAAGATAGCTAACATATGTTTTGCTGCTACTCCCATCCACAGCAGTACATTGCTTAGCTTCTGTGTCAGTACTCCTCCCTGCTTCTCCAAACTGGGGGTGTGCTGACTGACATCTTCTATAGATAATATCACGATGGATAAGTATCCCATTCGACCCCACTCCAAAAAAATCCCAACTATCCCTTTAAACCCCCTGTTTATCAGATACACACGCTCTGACAGGCCATTTCCGTATCAGCCTGAGGCTCAGCCACATTGTTTACACATTAGCCATTAGCCACAGTTGCATATTTAGGAATACCACCCTCATTGGGGCCCTGACCAACATCGTGCCCTGCGTCTGGATCCGCCTGCAGCAGACCGAGGCCCTTGGTTCTTAATCACTGCTGCGTTTACATTCTCTGCTGTCAGATTGTTTAAATGAAGCCATAAAGTCACACTGTAAACAAACACACGCATACATGTGCGCACATGCACAGCGGCCTCAGAGACTGAGTGTTGTGGCTTCAGCTGCTTGTGATCATGTACTGAGACTGTCTCTGTGTTTTCTGCTTCCAGGGCATGCAGGGAGACCCTGGACCAAAGGGAGACCCTGGTCCTTACGGACAGAAAGGAGAAAAAGTAAGATTCAAAGAACAGGGTCTATTTGCTGCGCAGGCAGTAGTCCAAAACAAATACATCACAACACAACACAAGATCCATATCTCCTACACTGTAGAGGGTGAGTGGAATGGATTTTCATTCCTGTCCCATCCTAGTCCCGTGTTGTGTTTTAAAATTATAAAGAAAATAGTGTTAGCACTGAATATTTCTGTATAAAAACAAAGCACATTTTATTAGTATAGCATAATGCTAAGATAACTCCTATCATAACAGCTATATTGTACATGTATTTTAGTATTTTTTACATTTTTATTGTAATGTTTTTGCCTGTTGCAGTAATATGTTGACTGTGTGCACCAAACACCAAGGCAAATTCCCTACAAGTGAAAACCAACTTTGTAAAAAAAAATTATTCTGATTCTGACTGCTACAACCATGTGTCAAATAACTAGTGCTTAGTCTGTTAGCTCGATGTTAACACATAAAGGGATAATGGGACGTAGCATCACGATCATGATATTATTATCTTAACAAACGATCCACTTTACTTCCCATGCCTAACATAAAACAACGTGTGTTCACACATACAAGCATATATTTTTTTCTATGCACTGTGAAAGCAAACTAGTAGCTGCTGACTTCACATTGTAAGCTCAATATTGTTATTATGATTCTCCTGCTGCCTGCTCCCAAAAACGTTTTGTCCCATCCTGTGGGTCACAGGAGGACAGTGAGGGTAACAATATTTGAAATGGACACATCTATTCACATACATACAGAAAGTATAAACGTGGTTAATGTATGGTTAATGTTAGATAGGGAGACAGAGATGGATGGAGCCCTCTGTCTGTATTCTGCGTTCATTCTGCCCGTATTTGTGCACGTTTCCTGAAAGCTTACGGATACAGATGAAACGGAGCAGTACCACCAGAGATCGTGGAGGCAGTGTGGTGTAGTTCAAGCAAAATACGACCATAGGAGAGCACAAAGAAATTTAAATAATGGCGGAACAATAGTTAAAAGAATTCTCCATCCACATGTCGGGATGTATTTTATGGCCTCACAGACCACCACCATCTACAACGCTACCTCAGCTTAATGGTACTATATTACAACCTCCTACGTTGTTGTCTCGTTTGCTGTTCCTCCGTCCTGATGGAAGCATCTCCAACACTGACAGTACATAAACATCAAACAACAGACCTCTGTTGCTGGTTGCTACTAGCGAAGCGCCATAGCTCCAAGTTAAGACAAAAACACTTGTGCTCTTGAAGATTTCGAATCGCCTCTCTGTGTTCTGTAATAACACATTGTGTGCTTGTTTCAGGGAGATCCCGGAAATGACGGTGATCCAGGAAGGCCTGGAAACTACGGCCCACTGGGACCTCAGGTAAATCAGCGCAAAGAGCGCGATGACAAAGCACAAAGTGTATCACACAAAGCAAGAAATATGACATGTTTTGTTTGTGTTTGACAGGGTGAGCGGGGCCCTCGCGGAAACAACGGGGACAAAGGAGAACGCGGTGATGATGTAAGCGATGAAAGTCCTGACAACGCCAGAAAGTTTGCGATCTTTATTGTCTCATCTAATATCCTGTTGTGTGTGTGTGTGTGTGTGTGTGTGTGTGTGTGTGTTTTAGGGCGCACCAGGACCGGATGGAGATCGCGGCGAGGGAGTAAGTACGATTAATATTGACTTTTAATGAGTGTTACTGTGTGACAGCTGCCAAAATATGTGTTGACATCTTTAAAATCCCTTGTAGGGACAAGTTGGAGAGAAGGGTGAGCAAGGTTCCCGCGGAAACAGAGGTCCAAGAGGAGAGCCGGTAAGTGATGATAAGGATGATGAAAAGTCTCTCGGGGTCTGTCTGATTTTAGCACCTCCTCCTTCATGGGAAATTCTGTTTGGCAGTTGAATCAGCCGCAACCACAGCGGCCTTAATGGAATACTGTTTTCATAAAGTCACTCCCCGTGAACTGCTGCTGATCTAACTTTGTTTAAAACTTGGCTCTGTCTGCTTCTCTTGTCTATTGTTACTGTCTTGAAAGTCTTTAGGTTCATACGTTTGTTCTTTTCCTTGCCAGGGAGATCCAGGACCCCGTGGAGAGCAGGGGAGGGAGGGCTCAACTGGCCCCAACGGAGAACCTGTAAGACACACTCAAATATAATCACACACACTCACACAGGAGCTACAGTACCACTGTTCGTTAGCCTGTTGTGTAGAGTTTCAGCCCCAAGTGAGAACCACCCACTTTCCTCCCTGGCAGCATCCTTTTCTTTCCAGTCGGAGAGGAGGAGTGTGCGCATGCGTGCTGCACTTGTGCATCGATATTTCATGTTGCGGGGGAGTGTGTTGGGCAGGAGCTTAAACAGAGGCGAACCTGGCTGCTGCCCCAGAGTCCTGCCCACTCCCCCCATCTCCCCTCTCTCATTCTCATATTTTCTCTCCTCCCAGGAACATCGACACTCACTCTTTCCCCTCTGACTCAGTTCTTCTCTCCATCGGCCTGAGCCAAAGCCTCAGTATGGTTTTCTTAATAAGGCACCAGGCAGTGTAATAATAATAATACGTTACAAGCATTAGTTGTGGTAACCTCCGTGATGTCAGAACTTTCAATGGCTCTTTTGTGCTTTTCTGCTGCGCCTCCTCTCCTCACCAGAGCTGAACCAACCGTAAAGAAGTGAATAGTACAGAAAACATGGAATAACTGACATGTGGGGCCAACCTCATACACTCAGGGAAAAACTGTACATGCGGTAATGTGCTGCACATCATCTGCACACATTAAACAAACCACAGACTATATTACATGTACAGAGCACTTAATGGTTACAGTGTTTTGTTTAACGTTAACATAAAATTAAAGACACACTCTTTTACATTTATGCAAAAATATTCATTTCAACAATGCACATCCACATAGATGGATCCTGTTTTGATTTAACTCTGATTATCAGACACTGAAAACATGGGCAGTTAGCCTTAAACAAATGTTTAAAAAAATAGCCTCCTGAACTCTAAAAGTTTCCCATTTACATCCTCATCAATACATTAACAGGGTTCCTGCAGATCCTTAAAAAGTACTTAAAAGACATTGAATTTATTCATCTAAAAATAAGGCCTTTACTGGTATTAAAATATCTTAATTTCTCAAAAACTAAAATGCTAAGACTTTCAAAGAAGGTAAATTAGTAGTAGTAGATTTTATTAATTTTTTAAATAAATTAATTTTATGTTAATTTATTTTATATTTTATTTTAATTTATATATTTATTTATTATTTATTTTTATTATATATTTGTTTTATTTCATATATTCATTTTATATTTTATTTTATTTTTATTTATTTTATTTATCCTTTTTTTGTCAATCATTGCATTGTAAAATCTCAAAATAATTGGTGACATCTATTTTTCTTAAATAATTAACTGAATGCCTCTTGCATTAACATCTCACAGATCAGGATAGCGGAAACTACGATGGAGTATTAGGGCCACATTGAAGAAAAAAATTTTGGGAGATTTGAGAATAAAGTCATAATTTTACAAGAAAAAACTTGTAATATTACGAGAATAAAGCTGTAATTTAATGAGGGAAAAAAATTCATAATATTACGAGAATAAAGTCATAGTATTTAAGGAAATAACCAACAACAAACAGAATGGGTCAGAGGATGAACCTGCTTGTGGCAGCTGCTCTTTGTCTCAGGTGTGTTACCTCGACACACACATTAATATTACGAGTTTTTTCTTGTAATATTACGACTTTATTCTCGTAATATTGTGACTTTTTCTCAGTTACGACTTTATTCTCATAATATTACGACTTCATTCTCGTAATATTATGACTTTTTCTCAGGACGACTTTATTCTTGTAATATTACGACTTCATACTCGTAATATTATGATTTTTTTCTCGTAATATTATGACTTTATTCTCGAAATCTCCAAAAAAAAAATTCTTCAATATGGCCCCAATACTCCGCCGTAGGAAACAACAACACTCATATTTTGTTTCTGGCTGTGATATTTAGAGCAGAGGATCCACACTGCTCACAAGCTGTCACTGAACTCTGGATGACACCGGGAGGTGCAAATCAACCAAAATGGGCTATTTAACCAAGATTTTGCAGCATGGCTGACACCAGTACAAGGCAATGCATACAGGGCTAGTGTATTTTTATGCAACAACAACAAAAAATTGAAACCCTGCATGATGGGAATCAAGGCAGTGGAATCCCACACACAGGCTGAGAAACACAAAATAGCCAAGAATACATGCCAACAAACGGCAGGTATTTCCTAGTTTTGGTCTCCCTTCATCTCTGACATGTAAAAAAATGTTTTATGTTAGAATAAACATTTTGGCCAAAGTTTCCTAACCTTATACAAGGGTTGTCGCAGTCATGGAAAACCTGGAGAAGTCATGGAATTTGTAAAAATCATTGAAAGTTTTGGAAAACTTGTGGACTTTTGTTGAAATTAATTGGTACAGTAATCTGGGGAAAACCTTTCATGTCATGTAACATTTTTTTAAGTAACTTTAAGTAAGTCACAATATATCGTTGCAACATCGATACTGGGATGCGCAACAGTAGCATCGAAGGATGTGTAAAGTCAAGTGAGGCTAATCAACAACAAATGGAAAACTTACACGGTTCTCATTTTCCATGATTTATACCGGCCAAACCTTCTGCTTTTAGATGTTATGTATATATTTGATGTAGCGTGGCGGTGTTTGTTACAAGAAGCGAGACTCTTCTGTATGTGTGTGTGTGTAGAAAAGCACCGTAACCAGGCCGTCAAGTGCAGCAGACACAGTGAAGTACATGCTTTTCCAAAATTGAAAAAAAATATATATATATTATAGGTCCTTGAGAAGTCATTAAAAGTTTTGAAATGTTCATGTTTTTCTTACTTTTGTTCTAGTTGTAAATTTGGTCTTTATTTTCAATCTCAGTGGCACTAAAAACTCTTAAAATGTCTGAAATCTAACTCACCTCAAGCTGCAGGAACCCTGGTTAAAATGATTTGTTCCATTTCCACAGTGTGACTTCACTGTAAGGACAGGACTGAGGTACTGCACGTAGCAGCTGGGCCCAGCTGTTGTTTGCCAGGAAATAGGGCCAAACCAAAAGCTAACACTTCTGTTAACTACAACAGCGCCTTTTTCCATTTCTATAAATTCTGTGTAAAATGCACAAGATACAGTGTGTAAATTAGACCGCTTGGGAGGTTTGGAAAGAGTTTTGTTTTCGGGTTTTTTGGGGCGGATTTCTGCATGATTCACATGGGTCAAATTTATGAGGAAATCTGGGTTAATCTGGGAAAATCACATACCTGAGTTATGTGCAGGTGTACTCCAGGACACAGTGACATCACTGTTGGGTGTGGTTACTGTGGGTGGTCCAACAGTCCTTGAAACAGTAAACCAGGGGGCAGTAATAAACTTATTTTCAGCCACGTATTAAATATCTCTTTAGGTTGAGACAATTTCAGGCCTCTGTTTCACCAGCCATCAAATTTTAACATTCTGCTGATGCCAAAGACTCAGCGGGAGCTGAAGCTGTTGAATGCTGACAATAACCATTGTCATATCCAGCGGAATTTTTTCCATTGCAAAAAAAACGACATGGTCATCGGTGAAAAGACTTTTTTTGGTTCAAAATAGGGCTGAAAATTCTATCACAATATTTTTAGGCTATATCTCAAGACAAGATATATATCTCTTCAGAAGCACTTCATCAATGCTCGTACTGGGAGACAAAACCAAACCAAATGCCGTCTCTGATGCGACAAAGTTGTAGGGATGACTTCTTATTTTTTTCCAGAAATTTGAACACAATGACATTTTTGATCAGTAATCATCAATATTAAGGATAAGTGGGTTAAGGCAAGCATTAAACTGATAGAAATGTCTGGTGAGTTGATACATTTGCATCACTTACAGTAACTGTAACACAGCCATTAAAACAAGGGAAAAAACACCATTTATGCCACATCACGATACAACTATCTCCAAAATCTAAGACGATATATAGTCTCATATCTCGATAACGATATAGTATCTTCCTATTAGCCAGCTCCAGCTCAAAAGTAAAAGTTTTTTCACAAACTATTTAATTAAGTTGATTAAACGTTCACATTTAGACAATATTTCACTGTGATTTGCAATAATGAGATTTTTCATCCTGTACAGTGTGCAGATTAATAGCCTGACTAAGAAATCACATGCAGATTTTTAAGTTGACACTCAATATTGCAAATCCTGATGAAATAGGGTTTAAATGTAACTGTTTAATCATTGCCTTCAAATAGTCTGTGAAAAAACGTTCAGTTTTGACCAGTGCAGTATGAATTTAGAGAAATACCTGCAGTATCATCTCTCTTTCAACATACAGCTTAACATATTGTCATCATAATTTAATTTGTTTTTGTGACACACTGATGCTGTAACTGCATTGTAGCTGTTTGAAAAGAGGGTGAAACAAGATCTGAGACACTCAGACTGAATATCAGTCTGTTTTCAACCGGAAATCAACGTATCTTTATTTTAAAGTTATTACCAAGCACAGCAGTTTATTAGTATAGAAGTATGAAAAAAAAAATATTAAAAAAACTTTGCCTCTGTGTTGTAGGTCGTGTTGGTTCATAATGGTGTCACAGTCTGAGGCCAGTTTTTTTCTGTTTGCTTTATGTGGTTGTTTTTGTCTGCAAAGTGTTTTAACGGTGTCATTAACGCTGTTGTTGTTTTCCAGGGCGAGCCTGGCAGAGCTGGGTCTCCTGGCTACAGAGGAGATGAAGGACCACCTGGACCAGAAGTGAGTCCAACAGGCCACACACACACACATACACACACACACACACACACACATGGACTATTTATATGCGTACATTTAAACTTAAACCATATTTACTCAATCAGACTCTTACTATTAGTGTTTCAAGTGGGCGGGGCAAAATTGGGAAAAGGTGATGTCACATGCACCAATCAGGATTTAGAAATGTGGGTTGTTTGGTCACTGTTAAAGGGCCAGTGTGTAATATTTGGCATGGTTTATTGTCAATCTGAATCTGAATCTGAATATTCTACCCATTAATATGTTTATACAAGTGTATGATCGCTATAAAATAAAATTCGTTTGGTGGACAATCCAGCCAGCCAGAGAACACGTTTCGCGTGTATAAATTAACCAACGAAGACAGCGGAAGGAAGGAAGAAGGAGGTGGAAACAGCAGAGTGTTAGTAGTTCGTCGATAGAGAGTAGTGAAAAGTTTTTTTAGTTATAAAGTTTGCGAATGGACCACACTTACCACGCAACAGGAGAGAATGAACCCGAACCGTCATCTGCAAGGAAAAGAAGACGCAGCTTCACTTCTTGTGATGCACTCTCTGCGGCGCTTTTCCTCCTGGTGATATATCTCCCCAACGATGGCAGCAGTAGCACCGAATCCCATTCTGTGCATTCAGCCTCTCTTCTCGCCCGCTCAGCATCAAACACATGGAGTTCCTCATCTGTATGCTCCGGCTCAAACAGGTATGGCTCTGGGTCTGTGTCCGCTACAAGAAACTCTTCAAAATCGCGTTCAGAGTCGTCCATTGCAGCTATTATAGTCCGGAGATATTGCTAGGCTAAATAAACAGCTGAGATCTGTTTACCGGCTACGCTGTAAGTCAGTGTGCGGGCTGGAGATTGGCGGAGCAGAGAGGGGAGGGGGGTCCCCACTTAGTATGGCAAACGAGTATGTGTGTAAAGTTAGAAGTGTGTCTGTTACGCTAGAAGAGTCAGAGTTTGGGACGGAGTCTTTTACGCCCTGGAGTGTTACCAGAGTTTCTGGAGTGCTCAAATAAACAGGCCTTTTTCCTGAACGCTCCTCTGGTCTCCTGCTTGTGAGGGATTCATTACAATATCGTAACATGGTTTAGATTTCTAAATAAACATTCACCTTGTCGCTAGACAGACCTACTCCTGAAAAAGTCGTGCGCAAGGCTTTTTGTCCCTACGAGGCCACCGTCATTTACCGGACGGGAGGGGTGAGCGAGTGAGCCCTGCAATCTAGAATTTGACCACTGATGTCACTGTTTTCAACCCATTTTACACACTGGCCCTTTAATTAAATCCAGTGGTGGAAGAAGTACTCAAATGTTTTAGCAGTACAACAGTGTGAAGATACTCTGTTACAAGTAAATACCCTACATTCAAATACTTAATTAAGTAAAGTACAAAAGAGCTCTTAACAGTTGATAAAAATACCTTTTAATTTATTAGTGTCTTATTTAGTAATGACAATGTTTAAGTTAAACTTATGAGAAATTATACCAAAAGTTGTTTTTAAACTATGATTTACACCAGGGGTTCCCAACTGGTGGGTCACGGTTCAAAAGTGGGTCACGGGTCCTCGCAAACATATCAAGTTTTTAAAAAACACACTTTAATTTGAAATAAGGCAAATTTTCGGCACAGCTGTTGTTGGTGCTGTCTCCTGCTGTAGACTGAGTGACTAACAGACAGCTGCTTCACAAAGACAACAAACTAGCTCGACGACATGGCCAAATGCAAGTAACCCTAACCCTGAATGATTAAACTGTGTGGACCTTGAACTAATGACCAAGGCAAAATCTGGACCCTGTGGCTGAACCAGTTGGGAACCACTGATTTATGCTTTTTAATGTTATAGCAGTTATTAAAGATTTGAAGCTGCGTTTTCAGGAGCTTTAAAGGATCACTTCCCCTCCCAAATGACAATTTGTATGTCAGTTACTCACCCTGTGTTACATCAGATTTATGAAGAAAACTTTGTTTTTCTTGCATGCATCCACAATGAATGAAGAATCCGAAAACTGAGAAAATTTGTGATGGATTGAAGTCAATGGGGTCCACATTTAACAACAACAAAACTTTATTTAGGGGCCGTACACATGCCACGTCTTTAACTGCTTCGAAAACGTGAGGTCAGGTGCTTGATGCTACTCTTAGCATCGCTAGCACAGAGCACTGTGGCAGGTTGCGTCTGAGGTTGCTAAGCAACCTTAAGAAGCACGGTATCAAAGCCTACAGACCTAAAATCCTGAGTGCAGAGCTGATCTTCCAGGCGCTGTTTGTGTGTAGGCCTGTTGTCCATGGGACAGATGTACAGCTCTGGCACGTCTATATCTAGTGGATGTAGCCTTGGTCAGGAGGAGAGGTCACCAGGTGGTACCCAACCCCTTAACCACAACACTCTTCAGTTAGTGGGCCTGCAGTGGTGGCCAGGTCACCACCCCTCCCCCCCAGACTTCCAGCAAATGTCCTCCCTCTTATGCCAGAGCCAACAGGAGACTCTTTCTGCTGCCTCTCCCAACATTCGAATTGCACTTTTCCTCTTTTGCACTCTTATTTCGATTTTAGTCATCAGATTCCACACTACGTCAAAAACACCCTTGGTGTCACCCATCTTGGGCCACTTGACTTTTACCTTAATTGGTTGGGGTGGCACTGGAGGTGTCTTGGATGTGTTCTTGGGTAGCTGCAGGCACTATGGGTGCTTTCACACTGGCCCTGTTTGGTGTGGTTCAATCAAACCCAAGTGCAATTGCCCCCTAAGTGCAGTTCTTTTGGGCAGGTGTGAACACAGCAATCGCTCTTGGGTACGCACCAAAACAACCGGACCGAGACCTTCTTGAAGAGGTGGTCGCGCCTCATTTTCAAACTGTATGGTTTGACTAAAATGAACAATGACAGCAATATAGTCCACGATGACCAGCGCTAAAATCAACCTGCATAGTTGTCCCTCCATTGTGACATTAGAAAGTGTCACATTTGTCTTACAAGTGTACTCTTCTTCAAAGTTTTGTTTACTTCCTGGATTTTACCCACATGGAAATTCTGACCAATCAAGAGCAGCTTTATTGCCCGAGGCATTTGATCTGGTCTGGCTGTAAATGCTGCCGTGAGAACATGAACCAATTGTAGACAATTATGCAAATCTGCAACAAAATTAGTCCCTGAGTCGGACCAAAGCAAGACAACTCTAGGCCTGAAAACATCCTGAGAGATCACTCGAACTGTGGTGGGCTTCCCATCTAGCAATCTCCTGAATCTGTGCGGTGTGCATGTATCTCTCCTCATCCACACTTGGACTTGCTCTGATGTATCTTGAGCCCTAGTGCACTATGATTGTCCTACCCAAGTTGTGTTAACAGATGTTTTGATGTAGTTTTGCTGATGTTAAACACGGTCCCAATTTACTTCAGTTCTTTAAGAATGTTCTCAGTTTTTGGATACTTCGTTCCCTGTGGAGGCCTGTGAGAAAAACAAAGTTTTCCTTACCAATTCAACGTAACACTGGTGGAGTGACTGATACACAAATGATCATTTGGGGGTGAAATAAGGCAAGGCAGCTTTATTTATAGAGCACATTTTGTTACAAAGAAACTCAATGTGCTTTACATTAACAAAACATCAAGCACAGTATTCCTTTATGATTTAAGCCCCCAGCACTAACTTTACAGCTCCAACTGTGACACCACAGATTTAACTCCAAAACCCAGAAAAATGTCCTGTTCACAGTACTCCAATCAAAAATCTGCTATTATCATAAATCGTAAATATTACACACATTATCACACAATCCAGGAAATCAGCCAACATTAACCTGTAACAGATTGTAATAAATTGTTGTTACATAAACCGCTGAAGTTCAGGGTTTTTTGTTCACACACACACACACACACACAAAACAATGTCCTCACAACATCCAAAAGTTTTCAACAAACACATGTCCCATTTCATATGTTTCTAATCTCATAATCTGTTTCATCTCTCAGGGACCCAAAGGACCGAGAGGAATCAAAGGAGCTCCGGGAGACAGAGGCCAGATGGGGGAGAGGGTGAGCGTGGGAGACAGAGAGCGGGGGTGGGGGGGTGTGGGGGGGGGGGACAGATGTGTGCCATCCATCATTTTCCCTGCCATGAGGCTTGTGTATGCAGATGGATCTGTAAGTGTGTATCGCTCTGTTAATTTCAGGGAGTAGATGGTGCGCCAGGAAATGGTACCGCAGGCTGTCCTGGTTTCCAGGTGAGTGTTAATGCATGTCATGTTTGACACACTTTGCTCAGAGTAAATGTGTATATTCTGAACGTTTATGTCTGTTTTAGGGTTATCCTGGACCCCGCGGAGACCCTGGTGAGCCGGTAAGTTATCTGTCAAATCTCTGTTTTAACTCGGAGCTCAGACTCTGGGCCAGTTTGTGTTTAAACTGATGTAATGGAGTTTATTACACAGTATATTTAAAGCAACTACAAGGAGTTTTTCACTGGTTATGACACAGTCTCAGTTTAATACTGATGATCAGCAAGAAGATTGGCAATTCCTTTCTAGTTATTCTTAAAACATGTCCGCAGGTTCGATTCCCCACTGAATCGGACAAATCGACTTCAGCACGCAGACCGGAAAGGCCTATGTTTACATTTTCCCGGGCAAAGTTTGGCAGATAGTTGTATGTTAGCCGGTTGAAAGGAAGCAGGAGCAGATTTCTCTTCAGAGAACTGATTTTTGTGTGTGTGGTTATGGCTGCTACTGGGATCAGCAAAGAGGAAAAGACATGACTTGACCACAGAACAAAAAAAAAAAACTAAAAGGGCCGGTGATAAAGCACGGGCTCAACTTTGGTCGGTCGTTCAACAGATGGAGAGAATTGCAGGATTTAAAAGGATTTAAACGTGATCCTGAATTGGCCCACTTACTCCTAGACACATATCTCATAGTATTACTGAGCAATCAAATTTGTAAGCTCACCTTTTTATTGTTTATTGTTAATTTGGGTCCACATTAGTTGTTACCAAGGCAACAGCTACTCTTCATGGGATCCATGTTAAGAAAATAATATAGACACGTATATTTCACATACATGCATACATAAATACTCCTAAATCACCAACCTCGGCCCCACCCACCCCAATTAAAACATTATACTGTAAAACTTCATTTAATAGCCCGGGCTATTATTTGCTTAAATCACTGAAATCAACAGGCCTATATTTGGGACGGGCCTTTAATTCCTTTCACACAACACTGTTGATCAGCAAAGATGGGCAATACAATCAAATTGTTTATGTAAACCAGTATGAATATTACTTAGCTTTGAATAATATATCAATTATAAATCATTCATTTGATCTAGCTTCAACAGACAGTGCATAAGAGTTTTTATCCCGTTAAAACAATACCAAAATACAAAAACCCTTTTGATTCTTTTGATCTGAGGACCCTTACGGACTAAAGGAATATTAATAACTTACAGGGTAATCGAGGAATGGACACATTATTTAACTCTCTGACTTAAATTTTTATTATTTTTCATCTCTCTTGTTAACCATGCCGATAAATCTGAATACGTTATTTTCTGGTGCTAGTGGTTTCAGTAAAATGAACTGAATGATTGAATTATCGAGAATCTAGCCAAGTTAATGATGTGTAGCATCTCCATGTTAACAAATGGTCAAACATTTCTATCTGAATGCATGATCTAAGCAGCTAACTAACGTTAGCTCAGATGGGTAGCCAACAACCTGTTTTATACATCCAAAGAACTTCCATAAAAATGAACTGCTTGGCAACCAGACCAGGCCTCTAATTGAGACAGGCCTTTATTTGTCCAAATGTGTAGCCACACCCAGCTAGTAAAAGGGGCTGGGCCTTTAATTGAAACTCAGCTTTTAATTGGACTTTTACAGTAAATACATTTACATCACTAGCATCAGCCCCCCACACCAGTGTTGGGCAAGCTAATTGTAAAATGCAATGAGCTCAGCTGCAAGTTACTACATCAAAATTAAGTTTCCCCACATTGATGCTATCCCCAGAGAAATGTAGCAAGCTAAGCTAAGGGAAAATGGCAAAAGTAGCACACTTGCAAAACGACTTTTATTTTTTGACTTTATGTCAAATCAGCGTTTTCTCAGTGATCTGAAAAACTCTCAGCCAAACATATTGGCAGAACTGAACTATATATATATATATATACAGTACAGGCCAAAAGTTTGGACACACCTTCTCATTCAATGCGTTTTCTTTATTTGCATGACTATTTACATTGTAGATTCTCACTGAAGGCATCAAAACTATGAATGAACACATGTGGAGTTATGTACTTAACAAAAAAAGGTGAAATAACTGAAAACATGTTTTATATTCTAGTTTCTTCAAAATAGCCACCCTTTGCTCTGATTNTTGGCCTGTACTGTATATATATATATATATATATATATATCAAGTCAAGTCAAAATTTATTATAGTATTATAGTATACTATAAAATACCAGGCTTAAATTACAGATGTATGTCCCTCATATACAGACCTCGGTGTGGCGCTGGCGTCAGTCACATTACTTATCCTCAGTTTTATTATCCTTACTTTTATCCACACCTCCGCAGAAAAAAGTCCACTGCACTTCAGAGCTTTTCCTGGAAAAAAAAAACCTTAGAACTTTTGATGTTACTCAGTCAATTAATCAACTTCACTTCTGAAAAACTTTTTGACTTAGAAAGTAGTGACCACACTACTGATTTATTCCCGAGTGAGTCTTTATCCTCTTTCTCTTGGCTGCTTACCATCTGCCTGCTGCTGTTAGATGGTGACACAGAGTTTCAAAATAAAGTGTAACTTAAAGATCATGATATGGATCAATGTTTTTCCTTGGCATCTATGATATTGAAACATCAATCATTGAATCAATATATCAGTCCAGATCGATGGATCTTTACACCCCTATAAATCAGCATTAAAAATTAGTTGAGTGTTTCTTTTACTCGCCTCCAAAAAGATCTTTATGACATGAGATGATGGTGCTTATAGGAAACACAGTCTTTACCCCAGGAAACACTACCACTTTTGTCCACAGGGGGCGCCAAATCAATGTTAAATAAAAAGTACTTGTAGTTGCTTTAATGTAGAATGGATCTTTGGTTGTGTACAGCAGGCTTTAAAAGGACACTTTACCTGCAAAATGGACATTTGTATACTAATTACTCGCCGCGTGTTACCTTGAATTTCTGAAGACAAAATGTGTTTTTCTTGCATGCCTCCACAGTGAACGAAGAATCCAAAAAAAGTGAACTTTCTTCATGAATTGTAGTAAATGTAGTCCACGTTTAACATCAGCAAAACTCTCACACAACTTCTGCAGTATAATCCAAGTCTCAATTATCCAGTAGTATGCTCAGTACTTCACAAACATATGCATTTTCACTTTTAACTGCTGGAGCAGAGTTCAAACACACGCACTACTTGGCCATGCATGAGACTGTTTGGACTGACGTGTTTTAAATCAGAACAATCTAGCATAAATTTAACTGTATGTGAAGTACTGAGCTGGATAAATGAGACTTGGATTATACTGTCCGAGTTTGTTTGTGAGAGTTTGTAGATGTTTTGGTACAGTTTGGTCCTCTTTTACTTCAATTCATGAAAATGTTTGCCTTTTTTGGATTCTTCGTTCACCTTAGAGGCATGTGAGAAAAACAAAATTTACTTCACAAATTCAAGGTAACACGCAGTGAATAATTAATACACAGATGTTCATATTGCAGGTGAAATATTCCTTTAGACTAAACTGAATTAGATTGGCCTGTCTTGTACTTTGTGTTTTACATTTACACACCAACACTCAACATGAGAATCATTTTTGCCTGCCAACACTGTGAAATCAGTTGTCATGCTCATGTTCCGTCTTGACCTCTCTGACATTTGTTATGTGACCTTCAGGGTGGTAAAGGAACTCCTGGACCCAAAGGAGACGACGGAGATCCCGGAGATCCAGGCGAAGATGTGAGTGTGCCTCTGACTTGTCTCCTTTTTGCAGTTGTTCCTCGCTCTTGATCTCATTTTATTTTTTCTCCAATCCGTTCTTGGCAGAGAGCGCTGACAGGATGTGAGTCACATGTCGCGCTTTATGGCCGCATTTACATATTTCTTTTTTACTGGTCTCTTTTAAACACTTACAATAATATGTAATAATGAGTCTCGCCTTTTAATTTCTGTCTTTCATTTTGGTTTGTCTGTGTTAGCCCCCCACATTCTTTACTCTTATTTTTCTAAATCTATCTGGCTCTCAGACTCTCCTTCTGTTCTGCAGCTGGAAATGCTTTCTGTAGTAGGTCTGTTAGTGTGTGTGTGTGTGTGTGTGTGTGTGTGTGTGTGTGTGTGTGTGTCTTTGGGGAAGAGGGCTTTGAGCTGATGCAGCTGTGTATATGTCGTAGTCAAGGATACCAGGAAATGAGCAGAAACGATGAAGGGACTGCATCACTCTTTTGGTGTGTGTGTGTGTTTGAGTGTGTATGCGTAGCAACTGTACACGTGTGTGATTACCCGTGACCATATAGCGTGCCCGTTTTAACACATTAACCCCTGCTGGTTAAAGTTGGTCATGTTTACAATAAAATTATTGCATTTCCAAGGTTCATGTTTCACGGCATAAACATTTCTGCATGTGTTTGTACTTTCTATCATCCGTGCATCGGTGCACCCTGACCTTGATCCTTCAAGAGCAGTCACACGTTGTAAACTCTGGATTTACAGTGTCGGATCAGTTTACCACTCATCAAGAACTTGCGGTGCTGTAGCTCGCAGCAGAATTAGACACATGCACTCCATTCAGGTATAACTCACCCAGTCGCGTCATTGTTTACCTTTTCCATGTTCTGCTTGTCATTGCGTGGTGACAGCAGCAGACAGGAAACATCTCATAACATCTGTAACTGATTCTACAGCAGAAGCTTTAGTTTGATTATTAAGAGCCATATCACCAACCAAAATGTAATCGAGTCAAACTTCTTGATTTGTGCTGCTTGAAGGTTGTTTTTTTTTTTTTTTGCTCCTTCTCTTAAGGAAATACCAACGATCAACGCCACGCCTCGATCTGTCTATAAACTTGTGGTGCACTTTGGAAAATGTTCGTCAGGAATGTAAAGTAAATGGGCTAAAAATTCACAATCACTCATATGATCCTCTAAGGAGCTCCACTTTTATATCTTCTTGTACTTTTGGTTAAATATATGTAACCTTGTTTGCGGCACCTTTTTTTAAAGAACAGTTTAAAGGTTTTTGGAAATATGATTATTCACTTTCTTGCCAAGAGTTAACTGAGAAGATCGACACCACTCTCATATCTTAGGCTACGGTCAGGGTGCAGACAGAAGTCACCCAAATCTGTTTTGTTTGTTTTTTTCATGACAGGATGAACAGTACAAATCACCTTGAATCTGATCTTTTCAGTTCTGATGATTGGGGCCACTTTCACACGTGCTCCTAAATCAGACACAGGTCTATTTTTTTGCAACGCGACTTCAGTCTGAACAGTTATGTCAGAATTCATGCGAGGTTTACATCATGTACCTGAACTGGAGCGTCTTCCCACGAGAGTTTTGAAAAGAGGCCCTGACAAATGTAGTTAAAAAAGTTAAAAAAATTTAATAACGTGTTTCAGTGAAGCATCACATCATGTTTCCACTACTCCTAGCTCTAATTCCACATCCACACACACTTCCGTACAGAGGTACAAGATTGAAGTAGCAGCCATTACTCCCCAAAACCAACAATTAAAAATTTGGCTCTCTTTCTCCTCATCCATATTATCATCTGCTAACAAATTTGCTGTCTTCCAACGTGCATCAACTTATAAATGAAACCGTAAACGCTGACCTCTGTGGCCCAGCCCTGTTGCCAGAAGAAAATGTTGGTATTGTATGTTTCTGCATTCACGAGTATATTTAGTAAGTAAGTTAGTAAGTTTCATACGTGTCATATCAACATTTCTAAAGTTGAATATGAGCTGACTTTGTCACTGGGAGGTGGAGGGGATGGTGGATGGTGTGCAAAGTTGCCCTGCACCTTGTTTTTGAGCCCACACGTAACCATACGTTAACCACAGTGTCGTATAAATGTCAAGCTTCAACATATCTGCTACATAATAATCTACAAATCTAACATATCTGTTTGCAGAAATGTACAATGCCAACATTTATTATGGCAACAGGGTTGAGTGACCTCCATGTTTACTTCCTTACAACAGCATGCTGCGCGTGACTTTTTTTTTTATTGTTCTTTTGCGCATGCAGGTCAATTCAGGACTGTGACCAGTTGCCACTGCAGCCTGATATTAGCTTCATTTAAAAATCAAGTGAACAGCTAAACAAAAACGGCTTCCCATGTGAACGTAGCCTTAGATACACAGCCACAGCCGGCAGCTGGTTAGCTTAGCATAAAGACTGGAAACAGGGGGAACCAGCCAGCCTAGCTCTGTCTGAAATCTGCCTGCCTGCTGACACTCACTAATTTAGACATTACGTCTTGTTTAGTTCACACACAAAGTATTCAAATGAAGAGTTGTGGTTTTACAGCAGGTTATCTGCCTGACCTTTTTTTGGCCTGAGGCAGAACTTCTTAAAGTCCAGCCCACATAACCCCTGGCTGTTGGGAGACGTTTCCCTTTCTTGGTGAGGTTTTGGAAAAAGATCATGGTTTGGGTTAAAACGAAAAAACCTGGCAAACTTCTCGCATTTGTTAACCCCTTGTAAAATCAGATTAAACAGAGGAGATATAACGTGCTACTTAGTGAGCTTTAAGGGTCTACTGTGTAAGATTTAAGGGGATTGAGAGCATCCAGCAGCGAGGACTGCAGATTGCAACCAGCTGAAACTTAACATTCCTTCAGTGTTCATTGTTCAGGAGGTTTTTACAATAATCCGAATTATCCACAGAGGTCTCTTCTTCTCCAAAACAAACAGACCAGGTCATTAAAACCAGCAAAAACACTGAATAAAGCAGTTTCACTTTATAAATCAGTGTTTCTTCAATGCTGTTTGGCATGTTAGAGACAGCTGCTAACCTAGCACTTGCTATGTGTGCTCACCTATTTTCTCTGCTAATTCGAAATCCAGACATTCGGGAGGTTTTTCGCAGGAGCTGAATTATCCACAGAGGTCTCTTCCTCCAGAAAACAAACGGACAAGTAAAACAAGGAATGAAGCAGTTACATGTTTAAAAAAAAAAAGGTGTTTTCTGACACTCTCCTAGCAGAGGGTCTGCTAACTACAGTAGCAGATGCGAAAACGTGAACATACAAATGTCCCTAGCTGGAGCCAGCGTTTGGTTTGTCCATTCTGGGCTACTGTAGAAACATGGCGGTGAAAGGACCTGCTCCCTATGTAGATATGAACGTCTCATTCTAGGGTAAGGAAAACACAACGATTCTTATTTTCAGGTGATTATACACTAATTGATTATGATTATACTGCTAATTTATCCCCCTGAATCCTGCACTCTGGACCTTTAAATGTGCTGGTAGGCAGATTTCATAACCGCCGGACAGAGCCAGGCCAGTTGTTTCCCACTGTCTCCAGTCTTTGTGCTATAAGCTAACCAGCCCTGTGGTATCAGTCTTCTCATCTAACTCTCAGCATGAGAACCAATCAGAATATATCCCAAAATGTCAAACTATCGCCTGAAACAAAATATCACTAATCTTCCCTCTGCTGCTGCTTCACTGGTCCGTCCATGACCACGTCCTAAAATACGTAATAAAACAAAACATATTTTGTCTCAATGGAAAAAAAACCTGAATCCAGGACATTCCACTTATCCCGAGAGGCATTCATCCAACTCTTTTTCTCTCTTTCTAACGGTCCATTATATCTGTTTCTCTGAACAATCACTTGTTTGTTTCCACCCGTTTTACACTCTGCTGCTCACTGTTTTGGACGGCACAGTGGAAGAAACAGTCACCAGTTTAAAATGAAATCACGAGACATCAAACTGGCCGAAGCTATTTTCAGGGAGTCAAAAAACCACTGGCCCCATTGTGATTTTTTGAGCGACAGGTCGTCTAATTTAAATTGTTTGAATACTTTCACACTGCGCAGGCATGTAGTCTGTTGCCTGGACTTTCTCTGGCCAGAGGGCTCAGGAGGGTACAGACAGACAGACAGACAGACAGGAGAGTGTCAGATAAGATGAAGGTGGAGACGGACCTTCTGACTTCTTCACCTTTTTAACTTTTACCTAACACGCTGTGGAATGATAATATACACGTATTCAGCAAGGCACGACAAACAGTCACATCTGGCTGTGTGTCGTCAAATCTGACTCAAGGTCAGGACATGTGTGTGTGTGTGTGTGTGACTGTGGATGATATGGCCCATGTCCTTTACATCAGACTGTTTGAAGTGAAGAATGTGCAGTAATCTGAACCGTGTGTGTGTGTGTGTATATGTGTATATGTGTATGTGTGTGTTTTTATTCAAGGCTGACAGCCGTGTGTGTGTGAGTGTTAAAAGCCAGGTGGTACACATTACTTCTCTCTCTCCCTCTCTTTCTCTGTTAAATCCGTCCATTCGCTGTAGGTAGCTGGTTGTGCAGATCTGATGGTTAAATTCGGCGTCCAACTCAGATCAAAGAGCAGAAATTATTCACTGTGATGATTTGTGACCCTCTTGTCCTCACTGCGCCTCATTTCTGTCTGACATGTTGAGCTATAAAGACATTTTTATGTGACTACCAATCAAAATGTATTTGGAGCAGAGAGGAGATGAACTGTGTGTTGGCAGCCCGTTCTGATTCCCCTGACATATTGTCACACCAGTCGTAGTGTCACATAAGGCACCTTTAGCATCTCTTCACAATGTAACACATGGAAACTATGAAACGACTGGGGTTGGGTTTAGGAGACATGTCTACCAAAGCATTTTTAGTCCAGTGTAGAGGTGGGAATCACCAGAGGATCCAAGATACGATTTTATCACGATACAATATTGTGGTGATTTCAAATATGTTATGATTTATTACCCTTCTCAACTGTAAAATATGTCCTCAAAGCAAAACTTTGTCAACATGTGTTTAGAAAAGTTTTCAGGCTGTTCATCTCACTTCAGCCATTTTTTTGCAGCAGCAAAATGTACGTAGAAGACTAAAAAAATTATTATTCAAGTAGGCTACCTAAAGTTTAATTTGCATTTGTAATAATGATAATTTATTTTAAGAAAAAAATTTGACGATATCAATATTGCCACACAAAATATGGCGATACTATGATGTATCAATTTTTTGTTACAAGGGTCTGAGCATCTATTCTGAATTTCGAGAATTTAAATACAGTATGTTCAGTTTTGGATGAAACACTGCGCTCATCCCAGCTGTCCAGTCACAGTTAAGGAGGGACAAATACCACAAAGACCAACTGTCACAATGACAGTGGAGGAGATATTTGTTGATATGTAGTATTTTTTTTTTTTTTTTTTTTTGCTCTATACGTTTCCTCTCATGAAGGCACACCAAACGAACGGTCCGTCCTCTCTTCCTACATGCTTCAGCCTTCCCTTCATCCAGAGCAAGTGCTCTACCTTGTTCCGACTGTTTTATTTCCGCAAATATTCCGTACTATAACATTTCCTGAGGAGCGCCTCGCGTTTTCAGCTGGGAAAGAATGCCTTGATGGACACTGGGCCTCATGCACGAAATATATGTTGCACAGATGCTAAGCATCACGTAGGCAGGGTGGAGCGTGGTTTGTTGCATGCTACAAAGACCCAGTCTCTGTAGCGTGTGGTTGTTGCCAGCTTCCCTGTATGTGTATTGAGTTTAGCCAGGTAACAATGCAGCTGGTTGTGCAGGTTTAGGAAGTGTAGGCTACATTAACAGGTACTGAATTAATTAACTGGATCAATTTATCTACAGGATCTATTGATTTGATTGACCCATAAGGTTGTTCTGCAGTGTTGCATTGCCTCTGGCACAATCAGGTTTTAATTTTTTTTTTACATTTTTAAACAAATTGTAATAACTTTTTAGACATTTCTTTGTAGTTTTTACCTGTTGCCAGGCTGCCGTGCTGCACACAGAGAAAAAATAAACCAGCCACGAAATGAAAGCATTAAGCCTTGTAGTTGCCCGCACGTGCAAGTGCGACCTCCATGGTCAGCGCAGCAGCTTCAATTGATTACAACAGATGCACTCTGCTGTGAGGCATGCTGCGGCAGACATGTTGTGCCGTGTCTGTCTCCCATGTGCCTTGGCTGTTCGGCAACAAAACTGAGATCATGTTTTGGGTCAAAATAAGAATGTTTGTTACATAACTTCACATAAATCTGCCATGACAGTGCATGATGACTGAATTTAAATTGTGTAACGTTACGTTAAAACAAAACTGAATGTTGGTTTCATACGGGACACAAACTGCGGTCTCCTGGGTGAAAGTCTGGGCCCTCTGTCGACTTTCTCACTCTTTATACTAGAGTACTGCTTTCAGTGTCAAGTATTGTCACAGATGGTTTTACTTGAAAGCCCAGTGCATCTTACAAAAACGCTTAGAGCTGCCTTTGGTGTCAGTATCACACACAGAGGGGTGTGACAAAACCTTTTCAGTATCAGTTTTTTTTAAAGAAAACAATAAATGCTGCTCTTTCCAAAAATAAGCTTGTTGAAGTTTTCAGTATTGTCCATGAGTTAATACTTTCTTTAAAACAGCTGCTGCCTTTGAATCAGCACGTGTTTGAAACCCGTTATGTAACGCCATAATGCGTGGCATCCGCTCTTAATTTGCAATTTTGCATCAGTTTGAAATTCTCTGCAGCTGTCCGCAGTTACAGCAAGACACCCGCATTTCTTTAAAGTGTGTAACAGTATCTGTGGAAACATGGAGCTTAAAGACGGGGTAATTTTCCCCAAATTGATTTGCAGTGTTTAAGCTCTTTATTCTCCGCACTTGTAGAGTCTGGGTCACAATCTCACAGCGATCAGTAGAGGGTCAGAGTGCAGCAGCTGCAAGGGCTTTGACTGCTCTGTCTCCCTGCAGCTGCACTGGTGTGGCAGATAGAGAGACAGACAGGACCAGACCTGGCCTCAGTTAAAGTGGATTCACAGGATTTTTTTTAGCCTGACTTACCCTTTGAAAGTGTTTTGATTTGTTGATTCCATGTCCTGTGTGATATACTGCAGCCTTTTAGAAATGTCAAATAGGCTCATCATTTAGCTGTTTGAGAACGTCTTCCATGTGAACACAGACAACATGGACAACATTCAAGCTTTTTATCATCTCTGCGCACAGTGCAGTAAACTGAAGAGGAGCTCAATTAACCCACAGACCGACATGCGTAACCGGGCAAAAAATTTCTTGGCTGGTTAGCCGTTGACATCCCTTGGCTTGACTATAGAGGAATCCGGCAACCACTTTGTGTGTTTGGCGCTGCCATCACTGCGGTGTGCTGCTGACAGTGACAGTGACTGCGTTAACTGGTGACTTTTAAGACCCGTTTGCATCGAGCAGTACGGTACGGTTCAGTTCGGTTTGTTGTGGATGGTACCAATAGAACTGTACCGTCCCCATTTTTGGTCCCCCCTCTGTTGGGGTACCTAGCACACAGATCTGGTACTAAAAGGTGGAGCTGTGAACACTGCCGTCGTCAACACTACTTGATGACATGAATCCATTAATGCACCTTAAATTTCACTGTGACAACTTTGACCATCACTTTAGTTTTTATATGACATGCACTATTAGTTTGAGTGGATCTTCAAGCATTTATATGTATTAATTTCGACCAGTCTGTGAACTGCATATATTCTAATCCTCACCCACAGAAAAAGAAGCATTGTTGTTCTGAAGATGTCGGCATGCAGCCTCGTTCTATGGACAATATACCAGGTGCAGACTTCCATCTGTGTCACCGGTGATGAGGAAATACAGGGCACCTGCCCACATTTAAGAGTACTGTTTATGGTGGAAACACTTAACGGACATAGGGTCTAGGTACCATGTCTGAAGGGTTACCTCTGGTTCCAAAGGTACTACACCAAAAGTGTTTGGTGGAAATGTGGCTTTAGCCAAATGCGCCCATGGTTGCTCGTAGAAGTTGCTTGTTTCCTTCCAGTGCCTCCCTGTATTCATCTACAACAAGTGTTTCATCCTTCCAAAAGTTACATTTATTTTTTAAAAAAAGAAACTAAATACAGGTATGGGCCACTCTCTCAATCTCCTTTAATCTTCTCTTTTCACAGAACAACCAGCCAGGACCTGAAGGACCTAAAGGGCCCAAAGGTCACAGAGGACCTGAGGGCAAGCCGGTAAGAATACCACAGAGCCGCAGCATGAGCTGTGTGTGTGTGTGTGTTGTAGGCTCGTCTGCATGTGTATGCAAGTTTGAGGGACTGCCATTCACACATGTGAAGTAGACCCCTCCCTTCAAGACATTAACCTACTCTGACATTCAAACATAGTTTTGGGGTCGTTTATTACCTACAGCGGAACATTCAGCTGAACCTGAGTTTAACCTGGTTTGACTAAACTGAAAGTTACATTTTAATTTGCTTATTTATAAAGCGAAGGCAGCAGTGTGTTAGTGTGTGAGACTGTCACTCAGCATGAAGCCCATTCATTCAAGACATTAGGAAAGAGTTCATGAAAAATATATTTTCATCTATGGAAAAGGGGCTAAATCTTATCCAGCAGCTGTGCACTGTAGGTTTATACAAAGGCCACTCAAACAATTTTTCCAGTGTCCACTCGCAGTATTGTAGAAAAAAAAAAAAAAAATCAAAAAAAAAAAAAAAGTTCTTTTATTATGAATGTTTGATCCATGGAGGTTTTATATTTGTAAAACTTTCCTTGAGCCAAGTAAAGCGATTTAAAAATCCACAATGTCATCACAATAGAGCACCCCCGGAATGGGTCCTAAAACCAGGAAATGGATTAGCATTTTAGCGCTCATGGTTCTCTTATCTCAAAGTCAGTGGGTTTATGGTTAGATGTCTGAAATAAGGTCTGTGGTTAACACAAGCTAAAGAGACTTAAATGTTTTGTTCTATGAAATAAAATATGTCAGTAAATACCAGGGGCGATTCTAGGACCAGAGGTTTAGGGGTGCTGAGCACCCAGAGAGCTGCCCGGCCAGGCAAGATAAATTTCACTGTTTTGTACATTTTAACTCAATTTCATTCCCACAATTGTGAAAGAAAAGCACAACACTTTTTGGGAAAGTCTGTGACTAAACCATCAAATCTGATAAAGGTTATTTAAATGCTGAGCCACAGCAAAAGAGGAATGGATTGGAATCATAAAAGAAACATATCATAACCCTAATTTCTGGGGGAAGACAACTCATTTTGATATAGCAGCTCCTCAACATACACATAAACAGTATGTATGTTTCTGGAGTAAACCAGCCCCCTATAGTGAAAATAAAATACCAAAAATGGACCTTGGACTTATTTTTTGGACTTTTATTTGAAATGCAATGCACAACATGTAACATTAACACATTAACAATAATTGACTTTTTCAATGTTTGTCTCTGCCTTTTTCCTTCTTGTCTGTATTATATAATACAAATACATAAATAATAATACACTTCAAAAAAGAAAAGTGCTTGAAATCTACAAAATAATAATAATAAATACACACAACAGGAGTTATAATGTTAATGGGCATCCAGTCAGTTAAGTAGTCAGTAGCACCTTGGCTTTAATATTAACCATAGACTGTATGATATTAACACATGCACATGACACAACAGCTAGCTTCTCTCATTCCAATTCAAACAGAGGACAGTGGTACTGACCACCTGTAACGTTTCCTAGCTAGAAAAAACGTCAGCTAACTCCTACCTAACAACATAAACAGTGACCTACGATTAAATGCAGAAAAAATGAGGACTGGTAATGATAATAATGTGTTGGTACTGAGTGGTGGAGGTTAAGAAATGTGCCACATATCCTGGTTTCAGCCATGTACTTACACCACTACTGCACATGGAAGGCAGCACATTGCTCCGTGCAGATAGGGCGCTCAGAGCTCGAGTCGGGGAAAGGTGGGATGGATGGGGTGGATCAAACCATTTTTGAGGCAAGGGGGGGGTGCTGCTGTATTTTTGTTGTTAAAATATTACGTTGCAACCAAGTACTGTATGGTTTTGACACTTTTCTAGCTTGTTAAAAAGGGACATACAGCAAAAAAAAAATCTCTCAAATTTTAGGGGTGCTGGGATTCAATTTAGGGGTGCTTCAGCACCCCCAAAAATGGTCTAGAAACGCCTATGGTAAATACATCACTTGTGAATTTTTGAAGCTTTAATGTGCCTTAAAAAAGGCAGTTGCTAACAAGTGGCTAAATGCTCGTAATGTCATGCAACCGTAGTGTAGTTTGTTTATAGCCTCACGTAAGGTTTTTACCTCTGGCGATTACATTTAGCCTTCGAAAATCATCAAAGTGGGGTTCATTTGTGATGATAATCTCACAGAACAAAAAGTTATCATAGATGCTAGTTTGACTCAGAGCTTACTTTCTGCAATAATCCAAAATCAAATGGAAAAATCCCACAGGCTTTTTGGCGAGGGAGCCATGGCGACGTTAACTTCTGTGTCAGGATACAGAAAAACGTCATCCCTGCAGCACTCTGTTGGTTGGCTTACTGCTTCCACCTTAGGAGACATTGCCAAAGCATGTACCCTGCATCATTACATAGCAATGATGAAATTTGTTGTTGTTGTATTTTTATAATCAATTGAATTAATTTAATCAGTTAGTTGTTACAGCTAGTCTTTTAATGGGATGACACTAATTATCTAAATACAGAATATAACCAGACCTTTAGTGAGATGGGCCAACAAGAGCAAAGCTAAACCCAGCACTGTGTGTTTCCCCGCCTGTGGGCCGAGGTTTCTACTGATACCATAGACCTCCAGTAACTGAGCCACAGCTAGCTAATCCCCCTACTCAACATGAAACCACATGCAAAGACATAAAAGATGGCGTCCCTTAGTTTCCCTCACAGTATGTTGGAAAGATGGTGTAATTCCCTTTCACCAACTGGCAAGTGAACTCTTGTGGTATTGGACCATGTGAAAAGATGAACAAAGATCAGATCTAAATTTAACACTGTGCATGAGGACATGTTCTCAAGGCAGAGTCCTCAAACTCTAACCTTTCACACTCTCCCTGCTTTCTGTCTCCTCCTCCTTTTCCTCCTCCTCTCTCCTTTCCTCACCTCTGGCTTGTGTCACTGCTGCATATTTCTCTACAAACAGTTTGCGTCATGTGTTCTTGGGACAGTTTCTCACATCTACAATTAACGGTCGTCTCTCTCCCGTGTGTGTGTGTGTGTATGTGTGTGTGTTTGTCTGTGTGCACACATGCAAGCTACGTTGGCGTCTTTGTCACAGAGAAGAATGCCGTTAAACTGAGTTTAATGTCTGGTAAAACAAAACAGATGGTTTTCCTGCAGCCCAGCGAAAAAACAAAATGCTGTGGCAATGAACTTTTGGAAGATTCACATGTTGTTGCAGAAAGATAGCAGCGCACACAAATGTGTGGGCGTGGATGTGGTTTTTCAGTGACTGAGGGATTCTGGTTTGCCGTGATGGTTTTTCCAAAGAATCTTTTTTTTTTTTTTTTCTTAATTCCACTTAAAAAAAAAAGAGTCTTCCAGTTCTTGCTCTGTCATCTTGAAATCAGACCAGATAAACTTTTGTCTGGCCAGCTTTTTTCTTGAACAGATAAACACATCTATCAGGGAGATGAATCACTCAGTCCCACTATCTTCTTTTCTCACTCGTTCTCTTGTCTTCTTCAGGGACCTCCTGGGCCTCCTGGACCACCAGGAACTGATGTGAGTATAAAGAAAAATCCAATCAGTCTATTTCATCTGACCCTTCGCCCTCATTTTCACCACAGGACAGGTCGGCTAAGCATGACAGACTTAATTCTCCTCGAGGCTGCACTGGTTTTGACTCTGAAACTGATACTGTATGTTCAGTCCAAAGCCACACATTCAATTTCCTGAACACAAAAAAACTCGCAGCCTCCTACCGACCAGTCCTCCGAGTAAAATATCACCATTGTCATGTTTTATTTTTCATTCTGGAGCAGCATGAAACAGTCTAGTTTACATAAAGTTATGTAATGTGATTTAACGGTGCATTGCTGTACTGTAACATGTACTCCTCCGCTCTCTTCAGGAATGTGAAATTCTGGATATCATCATGAAGCTCTGCTGTGAGTTCAACGCTCAGCATTTTTGCACATTGAAGCCACATGTACACTACGTTAAACGCTGAGACCCTGATAAGCAATTGAAACGTGAAGAATTTGAGGGTTAGGCAGGTTATGTTTTGTTAGGCTCTCTGGTGGAAAGATGGTCTTCATAAAACTTGGCTGTCTATGTAACAGAGAGATACAAATACTTCTGAAATTGGTACCACATAACCAGAGAAAACAGAGGAAAAGGGTTGTAGCATTTGCTTCAAGAGGTAGACAACCTACAACTACCAGAATGCCCACTGGACCAGGCCTATCAGGCCCAGGGCCCAAAGTGCCAGGGGCCCCCTGAGCTTCACCTGCAAAATGTCACTCAAATTAACACATATCGACACAAAATGATCTCAAAGGGACACAAAATGACTACAAAGAGAGATAAAACAACTACAAAGAGACACAAAATGACCAAAACGACACAAATATAACTTACAGAGTCACAAAATTACCTTGAAAGAGAGACAGTGACAACGAAGACACAGAGAGGGACTAAAAGAGACACAAATATACCCTAAAAAGACACAAAAGGACTGCAGAGACACAAAACGACTACAAGGAGAAACTCAATTACAGAAGAAGACACAATTATACCTGAGTCACAAAATGACCTTGAAAGAGAAACAAAATGACAGCAAGTCATGTACAGGAACAAAAAATGGACAAAAAAAACTACAAGGAGTTACAAAATGACCAAAAAAGACACAAAGAGTCACAAAATGACCTTGACAGAGAAACAAAATGTCAACATACAGAAACCACAAAAGGACACAAAGTAACTACACAGAGACACAAACTGACTTTTAAAGAGACACAAAAGAACAACAAAGAGACACAACTAGACCGTTAAAGAGACACAAAACGATATAAAATGACCAAAAAAGACACAAGTTTGGGATCAATAAAGTACTATCTATCTATCTGAAGAGTCACAAAATGACCTTGAAAAAGACACAAAATGACAAAGAAGACATGAAGGGGAACTTCAAAGAGATATGAATATACCTCAGAGACACAAACTGACCTTTTAAACGAAAAAAAACCCAATAACAAATACATGCAAAAGAACTGCGAAGAGACACAAAACGACTTCAAAGGGACATAACAATCAAAAAGACACAAATATACCACACAGAGGCAGAAATTGACCTTTAAAGAGACACAAAATGACAACAAAGACATAAAAAGGATCAACAAAGACACACAAAATGACTACAAAGAGACAAAATGACCAAAAGAAAACACTGATCTCTACGTATTCATATTTACAAACAAGAATTTTAACTGCTTCATTTAAAACTGCCTTTTGTGCTAAATCTGGTTCGTGTGCCCTGCCTCTAAACTATTTGTAACAGAGGTGGTAGCAGGTGTATGACAACGAGGAAGTAGTTCAAGCAACAGCCCTAGAGACAGTGAAAATCTACCTGATGATACAAATTTTTACATAGTTCATTTACACATACTATCCAGGCTGTTACAGTCTGATACAAAGGTGGTTAAAAATCTGTATCAAAGTATATCTTTGATTAATTTTCTTTTCTTTTTTTTCTTCATCTTCTCCAAATATCGTCACAGCTTGTTGTGGTAAGTTTGAGCTCAATCTAAAACACAGTCATTGTCATTATAATGGTTGCTCATGCTCGAGGGTTGTGATCATATGTGATTGTGTTTGTGTGTGTCTCCAGAGTGCAAGTGTGCGCCCATGGACCTGTCGTTCATTGTGGACAGCTCAGAGAGTATCGGTGATACAAACTTTGCTCTCTCCAAAGACTTCATCATCGCAGTCATAGACAGACTGACCAAAGACCAGCAGCTCAAGGTAACTTCCTTCTCTGAATCCATCTTGGGTTTTGACATTTGACTCCGCTGTATTTCATATTTATCCATGTTGGCACAGCCTCCGTGGGATAACCGCCATCTGACCTTTGTGGATTGTGTTGTTTCTTCAAAATGACACCAAAACCGTTGCAAAAAACTGTTAGGAAATGATGTTAGGAAAAGCTGCGCTCAGAACAAACCTCAAAATAGAAAGTGTGAATGAAAAATATTGTCTCGGGTTTTGGAACTTGCTTTTATGTCTCTCCAGTGACTCTCCTCTCCCAGTGTGGATATAATTAGTCAGGATGGGTGGGACACAGAAATGTTGACAGAGGAAAACACATGCTCGTAGACAAAACACACACAGCCCAAAACACACGGTCACCATGCAATGCTTTTCTTTCCAGTTTTCAGGTAATGACTCCGGGCTGAGTGTGGTACAGTACAGTGGATCCAAAGCACAGGAAAAAATCCGACTGGGCGTCGAAGCTGCCACCCTCAACGAATTCAAACAGTGAGTTTGTGAATCCATAGCCCTGCTACCTTTCCTTTCCTCTGGCCCTCTCCTTAACAACATACTGCAGCGTTGAGTCAGAACTGATTCAGGTCTGAACTGGACTTTACACAATGATACTGTTTCTTGACTGTCAACTGCTTCACACTCAGTTTTAATTCTTTTAAAAAATACAGCCATGTTTTGATGATACTCTTGATGGCTAACTCGAGGCCAACCATTTATCCTGATCCCAGTCTTTGTGCTAAGCTAGGCTAAAATACAATCCAGACTTACGTGACTCTAGTGAAAGCTGAAATACATACCACACCTTGAGTTTGTAGCAAAGCAGCAATGTTTGCGTAGGTTTTTATATCTTTCTGCCGGCGATAGCCGCGGCCATAGACATTATGTTTTCAGGTTGTCAGTCCATCCGTCCCATTCTCCTGAACGTCTCAAGAACACCTCAAGTGAATTTTTTCAGATTTGGCACAAATGTCCACTCAAGATATAGACTGATTATGGATTAATGGTGGACCTTGCCTCTGTCTCATTCTCGTAAATGTGATATCTCAAGTACATCTCGAGGGAATTTCTTCAAATTTGGCACAAACGTCCACCTGGACTCAACAATAAACCGATGAGATTTTGGTTGTCAAAGTTCAAGGTCACTGTGACCTTGAGTCTGTCTTATTTTCGTGAATGTGATGTCTCAAGAAGGCCTTGAGGGAAATTCTTCAAATTTGGCACAAACATCCACTCAGACCCAACAATGAACTGATTAGAATTTGGTGGTCAAAGTCATTGTGACCTCAAAAAAAAAACCCATGTTTTTGGCCATAACTCAGGAATTCATGCGCTAATTATGACAAAATTTCACACAAAATTTTGGACAAAGGTCCAATAGGATTAAATGATGAAGTGATGACATTTTATATCCAAAATGTCAGAGGTCAACTTCACTGTGACATCATAATGTTCTGCATAAAACACTTTTATTCAGCATCATATCTTAGGAACATAAGGGGAGACATTTGGTCAGATACTGAATTGGTGACACTAATCTTGGGTGTCCATCCTGAAACTATGCTGATTGTATAGATCTTCTGTGCTGCCACATTAAAGATTGACTGGTTAGTAGAGACATACAACCGCAAGGCAGTAATTCCATTTTTTTCTGTCACTCATTTTCTTAAAAAGACACTGATTTGATTTTGTGTGTGTCTGTATAGGAAAGTGAGAGAGTTGCGCTGGCTGGCTGAGGCTACCTACACAGGCGAGGCCCTCGAATATTCCCTGGACAACACAATCAAACTGATGACGCATGACAACAAAGTTGTGATTGTTCTCACAGACGGACGTTCTGATATTAACAGGGACAAGGTTCCCCTCAATGTACTCTGTGGTAAAGACCTCCGGGTGAGTACAGAACACAGATATAGAAACAGTGAACGTTCATGCAACAATCATGAAGTACCTGTTAAACTGAAAACCTCTGTCCTCCTTTCCAGGTGGGCGGTATAGGAGTGAAGGACTACTCAGGCCGTGAACCCAACCAAGAGCAGCTCGGAGAGTTGGTTTGTAAGAGTGACCCTAAACCAGGCTTTCCAATTGTGCTGGACAACTATGCCCAGCTGCTGGAGGACTCTTTCCTGCAGAACCTCACATCCAACATCTGTCAAGGTAAACATACACACACACATTATTGATAACTTCCATCAAGTCAATACATTTGTGCCAACCAGTGTAGTGGTAATTTTGGTAATAAAAAAAAATGATGAAAACATTCATCAGCAACCTTTTTTCCATGACGAAGATGAGACATTAATGAGCGACAAAAAGGATCTTTGATATTTAAAAACTCAAACAAAATGTATGTTTTGTTTTCGTTGACGAGATGGCACTAAAATGTTAGAGGTGGCCCATCTGACCATATAAGGTTGTAACATGTTGGTAAACACCAGAAAACAGTCAGCTCCAGGATGTTTCGCTAGCCTGCAAAACACAAACACTGGAGTAGCATCAGCCATTAACTTGAGCTGTGAGCGGTAATTCAGCAGTAAATAATCAGCTGTGAGTGTCTGACTGTGGACGGTAGAGCTGTTGAATGGATTTGTGAAGTTCGTTAATTGCTACGGTGGCTGTTAGCAGCTAGCTCCACTTGTTAGCCACCAAACCACAGCAGAGCCAGCAGCTGCTGGACTTGCCAGGTAGGAGGTTTGAGTTAGAAGCCCCTCTGTGACAAGCAGGATCAGATAAAACAGATTTTTAAAAGTGAAACTGCGTCATTCAGTGTTTTTACCAGTTTTAATCACCAGGGGTCTCATTTATAAAACAATGTGTAGGATCCATACTAAAAAATGTACGTATGGACAAAAGCCAAAAGTGGTGTGCACCAAAAACTATGTCACAATTTCTATAATCAGGATTCCAACTCACCATCTGCATCACCAATTTCCCGTCTTGGTTTCAAATTTCTAATACCTGTATTAGCCAAGCTGCAAGCCAACACAAAGTCCCAAAAACTGCAGTTCCCCTATTGGCCACTTGAGGCTGGCTCCAGAAGCGAGACAATCCTCATGGACCCTCATGTTAAAATGTCCAACTTTACAGCAGAAATAAACATGTTTACAACCTGATACAAAATGGTTTTGGTCTTTAGAGTTTATTTCCTTGTTCATGACAACTGCACAGGGGGTGAGTTTTTATGTAACTCACCGGTTCGCATTTTATCAAGATTTAAAGTTATGCATAGTTAAAGGCAGGGCTGCTTGAGTGACAGGCAGTCTGCAAGGCATCACCACAGTCTATGAGTCAGATCCACTCCGGGCTTTTCAACAGCTCCACCCACCTGTTAGATATAGTCACTTTTGGATCCAAAAAACAAAGATGGCGACAGCCAAAATGCCAAACTCGCAGCTTCAAAATGGGAGTCCACAAACCAATGGGTGACATCTCTACACTATGTCCATCATTTATATAGTCTAACCTAATTGGATTAGTTTAAACAGAGTTTGAGTTGTCATTGACTAAAACCAATAAGCATTTGCGTCTTAGGACGAAATCTAAGAATCTGCTGTAATTTACACTGGTACCAACTCCCGAATAAACTGACTAATTAACCCCTGTTGTTCTCTCATTCAGAAAAGAAATGCCCAGACTACAAATGTCCCAGTAAGTCTGTTTTTCTTTTTCAGTAATAATAGTTTTACACTTGGTTCACTGTTTTTTATGTTTACCTTTCTTATGGCTGTTGACCTGCTTTGCCATTTATATCTTTAGTAACATTTTCTCACATTCTGTCTGTATTAATAATCAGATACAACAAATACATAAGATGTATGAGACATAAAACATAAAACCACCAACAAATTAAACCAATAAAATGTACAAGTGAATTTAAAATTGTATAAATGCTATGTGTCTGTCTTGCACATTGTTATCTCTGTAGTCTGTCATTAACAGAACCATTGTAAACAGGTACTGATCTGATATATTGTGTGTGTTACAGTCACTTTCACTGAAGGTGCCGATATTTTGATGATGATGGACAGCTCCGCCAGTGTGGGCCAGAAGAACTTTGAAACAAGCAAGGTCTTTGTCGAACGCTTGGCCGAGCGTTTCCTGTCTGCCAAGAAGGCGGGTGGTGCCACTGTCAGAGTAGGTCTGGCCCAGTACAGCCGAAACGCCGCATGGGAGCAGGAGATGACTACCGACCTGACCCTGCTGATCAATAAGACAAGAGATGTGGCCTTCCAAAATGACGGCACCAACGTGCTGGAGGCCATGGACTTTGCCATTAAGAATTTACGTGGCCGCCGTGGTCGTGACCGTGGGGACACATCGGGAGACAAGAGGAAGCTGGTGCTGTTCTCTGACGGCAGGTCTCAGGCCATCACCCCGGCCCAGCTGCAAAAGCGCGTTACTGATGTGGCGGATGCCGGCTTGGAGCTCTTTGTCATCGCTGTTGGCAGCCAAGTCAACGAGGCCAACCTCCGCACGCTGGTGAGCAGGGGGCGGCCGGACGACATCTCCTACGCACAGCGCCACCTGTTCCGTGTCCCAGACTACGCCTCTCTGCTCCGCGGGGTCTTCCACCAAACCGTCTCCCGCAGGGTGGCCATGCCCTGAGCGCGGGGAGAGCGAACAACAGGACCAACACGCTTTAGATTTTTAGTCCCAATATGAATAATCAGTCTCACTCATTTACCAAACACTGTGTTCGAGTTCTTAAAAAAAAAAAATGTCACAAAACGACAAATGATTGTGTGGCAGACAAATGGAAATGTCTTCAGTTCCCCAGGGACTTTTTTACCCTGAGCTCAGCATCCAAGGCAGACTATCTCAGGCTGTGTACGATTTCCACCTCCTATTCTGGGACCATTAAACTATAACCAAAGTGATGGTGCTAACCTGAACCGTGTCAGAGATGTAGAGCTTGTTGTGACAGTACACAACTAGCAGGAACTGCTGCCTGGCAAGCAAAGCGCAGGGTACAAAAGTCCCATTTCAAATGGGTTGCCTCGGTCCTGGAGAGCCACCAGTAGTCGCCACAACTTCAATAAACTTCTAGCTTTTAAATGCATTGGGCTGATTTGTACTCAGGTATTCTGCATCACTTTCAGCTAGTCTGGACCCTCGACTAACTTCAGCTAACGTGTGTGGGTTGAAAACAGCTCATTGGTAGCTCTCCAGGACCGAAGCTCCTGCCATTTGAAGGGTTTGTGTTTAAGGTTTAATGTGGACTCATTTTGTAGCTCTTACCACTCTTTCAAGTGGTGTCGAATTTGTGGTGTTACAACGTAAGCAAACCAAAGAACGTACAAAAACTGCTACCTTTAATGCAGATGTCCAATCAGTGTTGATAATGTCATCTACTGAAGCAATAACTCTGTCAGTGTGCGCTTTATTGATAGACAAGCTGTTGTTTTTCTGCATTTGGAGCCATGCTTACATGCACCAGGATATATGCCATTGCGATATTTGTGCGCACCGAAACACCTGTTAATGTACAAACCTTTCATTATGTTTAAAAATCCATGTGCTTCTTCTTCCAACCAGAAATGTGGACTTTTCTTTTGCATCTCAAAAACTGTTGGTGAGTTGGTTTGTGCACGATGTACAGAGCCGACCGTAACTAGGCGAGACGCATATTTCGAATGTGCTGTATTCAGTCCAAATGCTCCTAAACCTGAGTAATATCGGCACATCCCACCTGTCTTACACAGAAAATGTGACACTCAGAAAAAGGCCTTGTTTTGAAAATCCAAATGGAATATGCTGTTTACATGACCCATATCAAATCCGAAATATTGTCTTATTCGTAAAAAGAAATAGTGGAATATTAGTGTGCATGTAAAGGTAGTCACTGTCACGTCAAATGGCGGCGCTGGAAGCACAAAGAACAACAGATTTATAGCTGCAAACTCAGCCCTCTCATTCAACACAGCAAGCAGTGAGGAATTTATTCCCTCAGTTGACTCCATTTATCACCAACACTAATTACACGTCCACATAAAAGGTGGCATATTCTCCCTTTAATTTGGACGGCTGGCTCATGATTGGCCAGTCAGCTTTATTTTAGGTGTAGCCACTATAAATCATATTAAAATGGTCAGCTGGAAACTTTTCCAACGTGTTGAAAACTCACACCCGACATCACTTGAAAGCTCTGTTAGAAACAGGATATGACATCAGGCAGACTCCTAAACAAAACCATCAGCACTTCACCTGGTACTAATGAGGACACGACAGCTGGACTCAACATGTGTGATTCTGCCCGGGTGTGTGTGTGTGTGTCTGTTTGTGTGTGTGAGTGTCAGCACATCAATTACATGTGTATGTGTGAGGAGGTGATTCTTTATGTGTAGCCTTGGGCTGTTCTCTAAACAGTTGTGCTCGGGTCACTGGCTCATATGACAGAAACCTGTTCCTCTTTGGCCTCTGTCAAACACACACACACACACACACACACACACACACACCTACCTTCGTGCTTCATCAGTGAGGTAGGAAAACATCTGTCAGGGTTGAAGGCTGGAAAAGAAACCTAATGGGACTCATGCCCATCACACCCACATCCACACACAGAAGACAGTTTGTACCTTTTAGCTCAGCTGTAATTTCCACACCTTCAGTTTCGCTGTCATCAGTGACCCAGAATCACTGTGCTATTGATATTATCTGTGGTGCTATTAGTCTCAGTGTATCAGTCTCTACCCATGTTGTTAAAGAAGATATTTTTACCTGAGGGTGCAAAACCTCAGTAGTTTTGTAAGAGCTCCTTCAATAAAGGTTGCTACACCACAGTGTCTTGGCTCACTTTTGTCCACACACACAAATCTGTGGCTTCCAAAGCCGCTATAGACCGAAGCACAATAACTTCCGGGTAGAACTCCCACATCAGGTGCATAAAATGAAACAGCGCTGAGCAACTTCTGCCTCAAGTGGTTAGTTTATAGCTGAAGTTCAAGGAGGCTACATCATCAAGTCCTGCCAAAGGACTGCTCAAAAGTATCATCCAAATTCTACCGAGGACAGAGTCCTTCCTTCAGAGAATTTTCAAGGATGCATGTGTGTATCCTAAGCGGGTATGAGGTATCCACACATGATTTGCTGAAATTTAAGGCGGGGCCTCCTTGATGAAAGCTGCGCCAGCGGAGCTCGGTAGGATTTAGATAACTGTTATGTATTTGGATTAATGTCTTCAAGAGTTTTTTTCATACAAGCATGTGAAAAGTATTGACAGAAACCTCATAATTTGCAATGTGTCTTTTTTTTTTTTTTTTTTTTTTTTTTTTAAATTAACACATGGTTTAGATAAAACCTAGAAATGCATTCCTCCTGAAAGTGACTGGACTCTGAAAATACTGCTTACAGTCACAACATTAGAGAGTGCCAAAATTATCACAGTACCCTGAAACCCCCTCAGTCACCAGAGGGTTAATGACGCACACTTGGGGACACAGCCTGTTCTGATAAGTGTTCACCAAATGCTAGGAAGGACTCTTGCCCAGCCTCTGAGGGATAGTTCCTTGGATGGACCCATCATACCAAGGAAGGATCCTTTGACTTTGAGAAGCACCAAGACTGTCCAACACTCTGAGGGAGGAGTTGTACAGTTTTTAATGGCCACAGGCAGGAGTGACTTCCTGTGGCACTCTGTGGTGTATCCTGGGGGAATGAGTGTCATACTGAATGTGCTCCTGTTTGACCAGCACATCATGAAGTAGGTGGGAGACATTATCCATGATGACACGTATCTTACACAGCATCCTCCTCTCTGACACTGGATTTACCTTTTGATGTGTTCATTCCACACCGCGGACGTGCTGTATCTTTCACAGATCAAGCTGCTCTTTGTCCTCCACCTTGCTAGCCTTACCAGCAGACGTGTTTCCATCTGTTTTTTTTAGGCATCCCAGTACCATAGCATGTGATCTAGAAAGCTAAAATAAAATGGCAAAGAGCAAAGCCGACCCAAAGTGCTTTGTAGTCACAATCCACAGGTTAAGCGAACCGTAATGTGGACTTGAAGCAAACCAGACTCGGACCGCTACCTAAGGAGGTCTGAGTATGGTTTGTTTCAGAGGGGTGTGAGTTCTTTTAGAGCGTTCATATATGCACAAAAAATGCTGACTCATCACTCTGAGTCCACTTTGAGGACTGAAAGGTAACAAGTGTGAAGACATCCTGAGTTTGGTTCGTTTAAAAAGGACTATATGTGAAAACACCCTTAGGACACATTCACAATGGTGCTATTTGGTCTGCTTCCACTGATAGTTCGGTTCGTTTGGAGTGGTGTGAATGATCATTCGATATCTGGTGCGGACCAAACAAGCGAACCCTGGTCCGCTTGAAAACTGGGGGTCTCGGTTCACTTGCAAGTGAACCCTGGTGCGGTTTGCCTACAGTGGGAAATGCAAACGGACTCTCCAGTGAACCAAAAGGAGGACGTGAACCAAAGAGAGGAAGTGACGTAGAGCGCAGTGCATTTTGGTGCTTGGTGTTTTTGTGGTGACCAAGCCGGCTGAAGGGGATGGATTTCCATTTTCGTTTCTGGCCAATTGATGAGCCATTTTTCTTCTTCCTCGTGCTTTTTTTCTTCCGGGTCAGTGGTCATTTCGGGCAATACCGCCCCCAAACGAACAGCTGTTGTAGCTGCGTGATGTTGTCCAGGCGGTTTGGTCCATTTTAAAACTGCAGTGTGGAAGTGAACCGAACCAAATGAAGATGTGAAATTTTTCGGCATTCCCCGCCCAATTGAACCGAGTCCCCTGGAGTATCCTGGTGTAGATGTGCCCTTAGTGTGTTTTCACACTTGTTTCTTTTCAGCCCTTCAAACAAACGCAGTCATGACTCAGCATTTTTTTTGCACATATGTGGACACTCCAAAAGAAGTCTGACCCCTCTAACAAACCGTACTCAGATGTCCTCTGGCGGTGGTCTGAGTATGGTTCGGTTCAAGTCCAAGTTGCAGCATCACTTAACCTGTGCATTGTGAACACCAGGTTCTCTTTGCCATTGGATTTTAGATGCTTGAAAAAACCAATGGACAGGTCAGGCAGGCAAGGAGGAGGACAAGATGCAGTTTGGTCTGGGGAGGAAACTACTGCACTTTTCCAGATTTGGCATGAAGAACACGTCAAACAGCAGCTGTCTACATCGCACAGAAACACTAATATTTCCTCCAGTTCTCAGTTCATGTTAAAGCCTGGCCCTTCATTACTATAATAACACTGTCAAAGTGCCTGTCAAGTGTTACCACACACTTCTTTCCCTCTCAATGTAATTAAACTACTGACTATGTACTGTGTAATACAAAGCAGGAAAGGTCTGAGCTCTGTGTGAACAGAGAGAGGACTGAGGCTCCATCAGAGCTGAAGTTGACCAGAAAGAGAACTGAGTCCTCTTTCAAATGAACTGACAATATGAACACAAAAATAACAAAACATAAAAGTCCCTTCTCTGTTGGTCCACTTCTTGGTGCATTTTAAGAGGACTGAGTTCAGTTTGTTTAAAAAGGACTATATGTGAAAACACCCTTACAGCTTTTTGGAATTATTCCAGATCTCTCATCCATTTCAATGGACAAAACTTTTCTAGGATGTCTAGATCTATAATCGCTGTCATCTGACTTCATCCAAGTGCACAGACTTATTTGATGGGATTTCTGTCAGCCAATCACAGTGTTCAACATCATCTGAAGTCGACTGCAGTTGAGCCACGCCCTCCTTTTTAACAAGCATGGCCACCATGAGACAAAGAAGAAGCGTAAGCTGTGATTCAGTCTAATAATCGTATTATTTGAGGACATATTTTGTGTTTAAACTGTGTTTAAAGTAAACAAGAGATATTATATTACCTATAGATTTACTCTTTGTTTTTTGTTTTTTTTTCTTCAAAACAATGGATGGTGGATCTGAGTGTCACAACAAAATGAATTTGGGAAATACTGTTCTGATTGGGACGGCATGGTGGTGTGGTGGTTAGCACTGTCACCTCACAGCAATAGGGTTCCTGGTTTGATCCCAGGAGGAATCCCTTCTGTGTGGAGTTTTCATGTTCTCCCCGTGTCAGCGTGGATTTTTTCTGGGTGCTCCGGCTTACTTCCGCAGTCCAAAGACATGCAGGTTAACTGGTGACTCTAAATTGTCCGTAGGTGTGAATGTGAGTGTGAATGGTTGTCTGTCTCTATGTGTCAGCCCTGTGATAGTCTGGTGACCTGTCCAGAGTGTACCCCGCCTCTCACCCAATGTCAGCTAGGATAGGATCCAGTGCCTCCCTTGACCCTCAAGAGGATAAGCTGATTGGATTTTCTAACGATACAATCAGCTTGTAATGCATCTTATTGATTATGTACAATGAATATTTATCTCAGTAGGTTTTGAACACAATATTTTCTCAGGATACTTCAAAAATAGAGGACTGTGGTGACAAATACAATACAACATATATGTGCAATTTGTTTTAAAGCAGGGGTGTCAAACTCATTTTAGTTCATGGGCCACATACAGTTCACTTTGATTGCAGGTGGAATGGCCGGATCAGTAAAACCACTGCATAATATACTATAAATAACAATCACCTCCAGAATTTCCCCCCTTTTTTTAAGGTTTAATGAAGAACATTTTAACAACGCTCATCTGTTTAAAAAAGCTGACATTCTTCAGAAGAGTGGAGCTGTGAACACTGCAGTCTGTTGACTGGTCAATAGAGGACAGTCACTCTGCTCAGGGCTGAGCTGTGGCTGATTTTGAGGCTCATGTAACCACTGTTCATACTGAGTTTTATTAGTGTACTGTAACTATGAATTGAGAGGATGTTTTACTAACTTAATTCAATGGACCGACTGTTGGCAACATTTTAGATGGAACGTTAACTTGTAATGTTACTCAATACATAAAGTGAAGACGTGAATCCATCCATTTATATGACACTTTTAATAATGAGTGGATCTTCAAACGTTTATTAATTTCGGCAGGGTTATGTGAACTGCATATATTTTAATTATCCCTCATGGGAAAAAAAAAAACCAGCACGGAGCGTAGTTCCTGTGGGCTACAGCAACACTAAACCCCTGAGCTTGCCTGAGAAGGACTAAATGCACAAACCTGCTATTTTTAGATATCCCATGGAGAGAGACTCTCACTGCAGCCTGTTTTATTTTGTTCTGAAAATGTCAGCATGCAGACTCACAACAACCCCGCCCACATTTAAGAGTACTGTTTGCAGTGGAAACGCTAGGGTCTAGGTACCATGTCTGAAGGGTTACTTTTGGTTCCAAGGTACTGTACCGAAAGTGTTGGGTGGAAACGGGTCTTAAGAGAGCTTCTCACTGTTTAACTTGCTCCTGAAACCTCTTAGCCTTCACAATTGCATCACTATTAGGTCCCCAGGCCGTATGTTTGACACCCCGGTTTTAAAGCATCATTTTATGAATTGATATCATTTGATCATTTGTTAAAAATAAATAAATTTCTGTTGTTTTTTTTTAAGTAAAAAGGTCTGTTAAGCATGTTTATTTTCATTTTTTACAATTAGGTGGTTTCTGCGTTTATATTATCTGCCTATGGACAGGAAAAATAATACATTATAAAGTATCCTCATTAAAATGCCAACAAAATTGCCAATGATTTGTGAGTGCATTAGAGAATAGAAAAACACCATTACAGTTTTTATTTTGTGTTTGGAACATAACTGCTAATAACCGAGGCGGCAACCAAGGATTTTTTATACTGTGCATTAATCCAGATGTTACTCAATACCACTTAAATCATTTGTTTTCTGTTGCAAAGTCCAACTTGCC